ATAATATTTTAATAATACATGTACTATAAGCAGTAAATATAAGACACAGTAATGTGTTTGTTACACATACCATAGCCATTCATTTCAAACCATTTAACAGTGATATGACCCAATATATCTTATATCAATACTGACCTCAGAAAAACAGATTGTGTGGGTCTGTGTACAAATTGTCTCTTTACCAAAAAAAAAAAAAAAAAAAAAAAAAAATTAAAGGAATATTAAGAAAATTGTAACACTTATATTTTAGTAATTAATAGGATATAAATGTACATATTAAATGTTAAATATTAAATGCTAATTAAAATCTTTTTGATCACATCTAGTCTGCAATTTTCAAATGGGGGGAAAATAGCAACAACATCAAAAGAACACCTACATGCTGATTTTGGCAAAATATTTTTTTTTAAATTAAATTCTATGAATTTATCTCATCTTCCATTTTGATTTCCTCAATTCAAACTTCACACAATTGTTTTTAATTAACAATCCTACTTAAATATTCTTTAGTAAAAAAAAAATAAATAAATAAATCTTGCAGAAATATACATTCATAATCACCACATGGTGCAATATAGTACAATCATGAAAGTGTTCTATTAGTGTTTTAATAATGTGAATAATATATATATATATATATATATATATATATAAAAAGAAAACACAATATATATATATATATAATTTTTTTATTGATGATCATGGTTTAGTGGTACTGAAATATTGATCCTTTTAGAATAATTCTTAGTCTACAACTTTTGTGAAAAGAACTTAACAAAATTAAAATAACCTAGAATGAATCATGTTATTTAGGGATTTTTTTTTCAAATCAAGTAGTTCAGTGTTTATTAAGAAGTCGTCTTTTCGATAATTTTACCAATTCTAAACTTCGTTTACATTTTAAAATATTTATAGATAATTAAACTCAACCTACCACTATTTTATTTAGTACATCAAAACCTTGATACCGACAGAACCAATATAGAATCTCATGATCTAAAACTATGTATAATAATTTTATAATATCTGTTTGATATATGACTTTATCTATGCTTTGTAAATCAAATCTTTAAAATTGCAATCTTTGGCAAATTTAAATACAGTGGTACATGAATATAATATAAACAACCACGTATTAATTAATGCTTGAACACTATATAACAACTGTATTTATGAATTATATAAATATCTCATGGTGATTTAAATCTTCTTCTCATGTATGGGGTATTGTGGAAAGACTGTTATATATAAGTCAAACACAACCAGTGACTGGGTAAATGACAGTATGCTTTATAAGGTTTAATCCCTGGTGAGTCAAAGCCTCAGACTCAGGTGTAAAAACCTGCTGAAAAGGATCACTGCAGACTTAGAATCTAGATAATTATGGAAAAAATTATCCCACTGACAACCATTATATATATTAATGTTCCATGCCATTCTTCTTATGAGAAACACGAGGGAGTAAACCATATACATGTATTACTTTGATATTATTAGAAGTGATTATGACATCAAAATCCATTCGTGTCACCTTGATTATTTTTTTTTTTTGGACCAAGTAAAGAACTGGATGGACTTTTTAGGATACAGATTATCTTTATGTCACTGACTGAACACAAAGGTTAATTCTACTACAGATAAAATCATATAAAGTTAACAATAGTAATTATGAAAAATGATGAAGATATATGTATATCATATTAGATGTATATGTATATATAACAAACATGACTATTAATACAAACAAAAAATCAACTCTTTCAAAAATTAATGTCTTGTTGTAACAAAAAGAAAAGCCAGTCTTTCCTTGTAAAAATTTCCTTTATACAACAATTAATGGAAAATGAATACAAATTGTTGCTGTTTTTTCTCACATTTTAATTCACACAAGGAGGAACATTTAAGGATACTGCCTAAATTTCACTGTTTTAAACAATTTCTGAGCTAAGCTTTCAAATTTCTGATATCATCAGTTTTAAAGGTAATGTGGAAAAGTATCTTTAACATATGTATGATACACGTAACAAATTATTTTGTTCAGATCAAGATTTGCAATCAAATTTTCAAATAAAATAAAAACAAATGAACAAAACAGGTCTCTTGCAGTTCAACTGCTTTTAAACTCAAGAAATTTATCAGCATGTACATAACTACCAGGGTATCAAAATACTATGAAACCACACATATTAACTGCAAATAAAAATATATAAAGCTATTAAATTTTCTCAGAGAGACATCAGTTTTTGAATTAACACTAAAATTATATGTTGACATATGGCAAAATCTGTTCATTTGTTTTCCCTCCAGCCAACCATACAATTGAAAAAAAAATATTATAAAAAGTTATAACTTAACTTAGTCTGAGAGAGCTGATATTAAGTTTTTTCTTTACCCTAAGACTACAGTACAATAATAATCAACAAGGCTAAATAATAACATAAAATAAATACAAAATCAATGAAAATATACCAACAAAACTATAAATACAAGAAGGCATACCCTAATATTTCAAGATCAACAAAGTACACAGTTTATATCACAATATAACTTAAATTACAAGGAAAATATGGACTTAGTGTTGCTTTCAGTGATGGTATATCAGTTCTATTCCCTAAAAATGTACAAATTCACTAAAGATACTAAAAAAAAAAAAAATTAAACTGTAAACAAGAGCAAAAAATTCGAGCAAATTATTACATTTTGTGCTGACTAAATACCCAAGATGCATTACTGAGCTTAATCATTACAAAGTTCACAAGGAAGGTGGATATCAAAATTATATAAAATATACGACAGAGGTAAAGTAGAAGTTTTACTGCAACACAAGTAAGGCAGATTGAAAATGAATTTGCAGGATAAGCAAGAAAACACAGTGCTGTCACGATTATGTTTATATTTTTTTTAAATATAAATAATCATGCCATTCAATACTTGTGTGGCAAACAGAAATGGCAGAAAGTTGACAGGAGCTTCCTGAATATTAACATTCATGCACTTTGAGATAAATGAAATGACTTATTATAGCACTATAGAACTCTAATACAATAATAATTATTAAGAATTCTAGGTGAAAGTGCACTATTCGGCGGTAAAAATTAACGAGGCTTAAAACATCCAAGATATATCAACTGTATAATTTGATTATAATCTTACATGTACATTAAATGTATGTGAAGCACAGAGAAAATAACCTAAAATCCTTTTTTTAATAAATCAGCACTATAGATAGAAAAAAAAATTAAAATGCAGAGGAGTAAATATAACAACAGGCTTGTTGCTGCAGGAAAGCACTAATTTTTACAATAAGCTCTTTATACATGAATGAATGGTGTCATCACTATACAACTGTTTGTCTGGAAGACTTTCTTCAGTATCAACTGTAATATATTTCTAATTTTGATTTAAAACAGGTGAACTACCAATTATTTTTACTCTTTGGGTGTACAATATTATATAAAATAGGGCAATAATGAAAACACTAAAGTTAGACAGCTTATTAAGTGTATGCAAGTGGAACAACATGCAGCTGCCACACACAATCGTACTTTCATAAGAGACAACTGTGCAAAATGCATTTCAAAACATTTCTTCAGTGCAGAGGGTTTATATTACATGGATATGAGTATCTATGCCATCTAGATCAAAGTATGCATGTATCTAGTAGGTATTACATGGTGATTAATCGCTATACTATTTACAATTACGTTCATATACAAGTACTTTTCAATGAAAAAAGATTGAACTTTTGGCAAGAGTGAATGAATTAAAGAGAACTATCAGACCTTTGCCAGATCTATACCCAACAAACATAATGATTCAATCCAGAAAATATCACAAAATATATCAACCAATGAAAGTGAAATCACTCCTGAATTGCAAAGTTACTGACTTCTTAAAAGACAATCTCATTTCATATCACAGCATATCTCATAAATTCCTTCAGAATTGTTCATTATCTTATAAAATAAGCAATTTCTGTACAACTGTGCGATCATTTCAATACTGAAAAAATACAACCAAGCAATCATTTTATTCATGATGATGGTGTTAGGGTCTATGGTATTGAACTGCTTAAAAAAACTTTACTAAAGATTCAGATGTTGAGCTTGCCAAATTGTGAGCATCTTATTATTGAAAAAAAAAATCAGACATTATTTAATGGAATGGAGGAGATTTCAGGGAGTTTTTTTTAATGTTGAGATACTACAATTTCTGTATGCTGAAGTCATCAATGCATTGATCTACCATCCAATCCATGAGCTTGACATTAAGCATCTTTATGTTTATTAACAGGTGCAATGTACATTTAATACATGTATTGGAAGTACATGTCCATGTCCTACTTAACATTGTTTTTAAGTCATAAACATTTTTCTGTCACAACTTTGTACCATTCTGCATAAAGCCAGATAAAACATATTAATTAACCTTCAAAAAATGGTTTCAATTATATGTACTCCAAAAAAGCTAACCCTATCACAAGCTTGTAATGTATTTGTTCAATTCAGAATAAACTTGATTGATGCTTTAATAATGACAGTATTTTTCCTTTCAAGTCTAACAATTAGGAGAGCTTAAAATAATACTGAAATATTATACAAAAAACTTGCAACTTTTTAAATTTCTAAATGACTGAAAATATGTGTACTGACATCAGTATTGCTTGTCAGATATATTCTAATTTGCTTACAATCTGCTGTACGTAATATATAATTCACTTTGCATATCAAAATAAATTATCATGACACCTGTAAACATGGAAATTTGGTTATTTAATCTAAATACGCAATTGAAAAGGTTTTGTGTAATTATCCCCTATGTACCAATTCCTTTATACATGTTTTATTCAGTTTTAACAATACATAATCCTGGTATCACAAAAAAACCCCACAGGCACATTGCTTTGTACTAATTTGAGTAATTAACAACATGCACAAATATCCATGTTTACAGTATATAAGTGTAAACATACATTTAAACTCATATATATAAGAGCCATAACATCAGCTTTACAGAAAGCATTATTTTCAATTTCAGAAGCATGCGGCACATATACTCAGCAACAATAAGCAGAGACCTATTGCAAGAATACTGCCAAGACTGCCTGACTATAAGTAGTAACGGTTTACCACAGTTCATCGACTAGTTATGCACCGGTGCTGGACACCTTTGACTGCTTTGTGTTGACCGGTCAGTCTTCATCATCATCGGTTTCGAGGTTGACCATTCTGCTTCGGCGACCAAAGCATAGGCAGCTTGACTTGCATCGCTGCCAGCGTGAGAACTGGTGTTTCTGCTGAATCATGTGTTTGGGAGTCATGTCTCTAACGGCCATGGTATAATGTTCCACTTCTTGGGTGTACCTTAAATTAAATTCAAAAATCAAAACATAATCACTGTGAGAAAAAAATTCTGGTGATGATTTTGTAAAAATTTGTCTGCATGAAAATTTACATGCAAGCATGATTAAATTGAGAAAATACTAATAATTTATGCATGTATATGACACACTCAAAAATCATCTCATGGTACATGTATCAAAAATTAACATCCTCTTTAAAAATCAATTTACTGCTAATTAACAGTAAGTATACTATTCATTTAAGTGCACTCAATGTGTCATGTTATATCAGCGCTGAGCACTTGCAATTCAACTGTGTTAAAAAACATATCACCTGCTTCAGGATCTTAAAATTAATGAAGGAAGTTAATTACATGTTTGTGTATATATTTCTCTTGATTTTTGTTTTGAAATTTAAAAAAATCAAGTTTATGACAATTTTATCTGAAAAGGACCAAATATACTTATTTAAATAATATACACTTATCCACTGGCTGTGAGTGGGATAGCTCTTTTATCAAACCCACGACAGGAACTATTCCCCGAGGGCTTGCCCGAGGGGAATAGTTCCTGTCAAGGGTTTGATAAAAGAGCTATCCCTGTCACAGCCAGTGGATAAGTGTTTTATTATACTGATGTATATCATAATTTCTGAGGGTTGGATTTATCTGATACTACAGTTCTATAGTAAAAACATGAAAAAAAATTATAAAAGTCTTGAACAAGTATCTGGAATAAGATAACACTGCTAGAATGAGCTGAAATCCTGATGACGTCACAATGTTACTGAAGTCAGTATAACATCATAAGTCTATAGATTGATTACAGGAAATCAAAATTGACGGCAAAAATTGCATGAAAATTTTCCGAGGGGTGGATAGCAAAAACTATATCCCGGGGTATAGCTTTGCTATGTGTGGAAATTTTGAGACTATAAAGATAGTTATTTTACCTTCTTAACTTTATATAGGAAACATTTTAACAGAAGTATAATAATAAATATTATTGTCATTTTTAATTACATGAAATTATTCAATAATCATTGTTACATTGGACTTTCCATAAAAAAAATCATTGAATGAACTAGACATCATTGAGATGATGACCATCTCAAAGGGCAATGGTTTTAGCAAAGGACATTTAATTTTAAAATAGGATAAATTCAGATGTGGTCAATAGGAGAAAAAATGCTCAACAAAAGAATTTTAAAGAGGTTTCTTATAACCTTGAACACTAACCTAGAAACTTGGTTCAAGGACACTGCACACCCATGGACAGTCTTACGGGTGTTAAGTTTGAACCTGGTAGGGCCAAGGGGAGAGAATATTTATTTTCCAGACAAGGATTTTACACAGAGACTTTCTGACCTTGACCTTTCATCTAAAAATTGTTTTTCAAGGTCACTGCCCAAACACCCTACCCACAAGCACTCTATAGATGAAGTATCAGCCAAATACGGCAAGGGAGAGAAAATATTCTTCAAACAAGGTTTTACAAAGAGAGTGATTTCCACCTTGACTTTTGATCTACTAAAAATTTTTCTAAAAATTGCTTCAAGGTCACTGCACACCATCTATCCGCAGATATTCTATAGAAGAAGTCTGAGCTAGACTAGCCAGAGGGGAGAGAAAATGTTTGACATTTCATCTAGAAAATAGTTTCAAGGTCACTGCACCTTCTACCCACAGGCACTCTATGAATGAAGCATGAGCACAACTGGACAAAGGGGGGAGAAAATATGCTCCAGACATGGATTTTACACAGAGGTTTTTCAACTTCTACACTCTTTGGGTGAAGTATGAGCCAAACTTGGTCAAAGGGTGAGAAAATATACTCCAGACATGGATTATTCACAAAGAGATTTTTCAACCCTGACCTATGAGTCACTCTATGAGGTGTGAGCACAATTGGGACAATGATGAGAAAATATGTCCCAGATGGGGATTTTACAGAGGGTTTTTTTTTTACATTGATCTTTAATCTAGAAAAGTGGTTCAAGGTCACTGCACACCCTCTACCCACAGGCAGTCTGTGGGTGTAATTTGGGCCTGACTGGGCCAAGGGGAGATAAAATATGCTTTGGACAAGAATTTTACAGATTTTTAACCTTTACCTTTAATCTACAAAATTGGTTCAAAGTCACTACATACATTCTACATGGGCATTCTATGGGTGAAGTTTGAGCTTGACTGGGTCAAGGGGAGAGAAAATATGCTCTGGGCAAATGAAATTGGATAGATGGACAGCTAGGAAGATGGATAGACAGACTGATCACTATAGGGTATCTGCAGAGTGGGACCCTAATAATTAAGACCATTTTTTACACATAATATATTAGAAATTACTTCTTTATTGTCTGAAGAGTTAACATCAAATATAATCTTATTTCTGCAAAATACCAGTCCCTGTGGACAAAAGTACATCTAAATGTTTTTCATATACAAACCAATCTGGAGGCCATTTGTTGAGGCCAATATATCTCTGGTTTTCTGGCTGCAATTTGTAAAGAAGGCTGAAGTACTTTCTATGCACCACATTGTAATTTCCACACACATAGTCTAAGCACCATCGGGCTAGCTCTGTAGCATTGTGGAACTGTAAAGATTTGACAATGAATTTTAAAAACAACTATAATTCACGTTGTTCATAAAACTAAATTTCATATTTTTGGATACTGTAGTGACATTCAAATTTTTTAAATTAATTGAATATTTCATAACTTTTCATTTCACATATTTTCTATGTGTGTCGACCATGCTAATTAATATTGGCACTTTTCAGACAACTGTTGTGTCCTTTAACCTCAGCTGTGATACATAAAGTATATATATGAAATGATGTACTTCGATCCCTTAACATTAATTATATTGTATTTTGTAAAATTTTTACCTCAGGTAACATTTACTTAAGTTTTGTGAGAAGAAATGAATTTGTACTTTAAGAAACATTTTTTCAACTGCTTCAAGAGGATTACTAAGGTTAACAGTTTTGGAAAATGTTCGCTCAGTTAAGTACAAGCATGTCAGAAATATTTCCTTGGTGTACTAAACACCAGACACAAATGTTTGATAAATAAAATGCATGCAGCTAAATCTCCATATAACAATGGTGAAAAATGATTTTTTTCCCAAAAGTTTCATGGTCTGAGAGGACACTTCACCCTGAGTAGATAGTGTGAAATAATTAAGATATCATTTATCAAAGTGATTATTTGATTTGACATATACTTCAAAGTACTTTAAAGTTAATTTATCAGTCCATATTCATTTACATGTAATTTGCTAGCTAGTACATGCACTTAAAAAGAACAAAATTATTCATCCAGAAAATTAGCAAAAATAAACTACATTTTAAAATAAATAATTAAATCAATCCCTCAATAGTGCAAATAAAAGAAACATAAACTTCAGCAGATGAAAAGTAGTTCATTTTATTATGCAACCACCCCTTGCATTGACTGACTAAAGATAACCTAATAAACCAAAGCTATTTTTGGTCAATGCCCTAAAAAAGCCTCGTGCGTTTATTCTGATGTTCTAAAAACATTGTGATGTCATATAAATTGCAATATTTGCACCGTGGCATCATAGTTTCAACTGCAGAGATGTGCCTAAATCTGTTGAAAATAGCTCATTTTTGGACGTCAAATATAAAAATATGTTGCAGGATAAACAAAATACATGATAACTGTCTTGAAACATAAGCGATATTTTGGCTCGGGTTGAAAATGTGAAGGAGGGCTCGGCAAGCCTTGCCCTCTATTACGTTTTCTTACCCTCGCCTGAATATTGCTTATATTTCAAGACAGTAACCATGTATTTTATATGTAAGGCTGTGGTGCTATAATCAGCTTTACAAGAAGAGGAAAAAAAAAATAGACACAATCATTTTAAGCAGTGAAATATGATAAATAAGTTTGATAAATTAATCAACTTCATACACAGATTCATGTTAAGATCATCATTGTATACTCGCAGTGTGCAATAAAAATGGAATATGATTTTATGCGTAAAAAAATTAAAATCATACAAGTTTCATATAAAAATGTGTATCACATAGTGACACAGAGAAATTAACATCCTCTTTGATTTAGTGAAAATATATGTTAACCAATATGATTACTGATAAGGGCATCATTTCCTCTCGTAAAAGTTTATAATCATATCCAGGAAGTTTGACTTTATTTCGGGAAAACATTTCATTATTAAGTTCCAGAGAGCAAAGTATGTCATTTAATTGAGAGAGACATATGGAAACACAGGTAGAGTCAATCATCTTAAAAGATTAATTTAATTTTATATAACTAATTGAATTATGCAATGCTGCAGATTAACACAGGTATAACATGTAATAACTATTAATTTTCATTTTTTTTCTACAAAAATGATATAACTTCCTTCCTATGGGTTATTTTTATTTATTAAAATTCAAATTAATTCATTTTCAAATTTTGCTTAAGTCCAATATTAAGGCAATTCAATTGTAATTTCATATTCTGTTGACATTATTAATACATTGATATATGTATTGATAATTATATAAAATCAGCATCTCTTCAAATGTAATTTACTGCCACTTCATGTTACTAAAATTTGCAAATGCTTTATTATATTGTTTCAGCATGCAAAGAATTCAATGGCCTCCAATCCAGACACAAATCAAGTCAAATGTTTCAAATGTAAAAAGCCAGCTGACTTTGTATGTGAGACTTGTGAGGGAAAATTCTGTAATAAATGTCAAAAACAACACATAAAATCCAAGTCAAAAAAGAATCACCAAGTTTCTCCATTATCTGAGCGGAATACACCTGACAAAGATGATACATGTACCGAGCACCCCTCCATCAAGTATGATATGTGTTGTAAAGACTGTGAAGTTCCAGTGTGTGTTAAATGTATCACAGAAAACCATGTGGGACATGTGTTTGTTGAAAGAGACACCTTGTACAATTTAAAGAGAGAAACAATAGTGTCCCACATATCAACCCTGAAGAATAAACTTGTCCCAAAATGTAAAGATCTGCATAATGAGGTTCTGGAAAACATTACTAAATGCAAGCAAGTTATGGCCAACATGAGAATTGGCGTAGAAGAAAAGGCTCGAGAGATCAAAGATATGGTTGATGCAGTGTTGAAGAAGAATATGTCAATGCTGGAAAGGATGGAAATTTCATTGCTGCAGAAACTTCTGCTGGAGGAAAGAGTGATCAGTGATCAACTAACTTCTATGACAGATATGTTGGATGAGTTGGAACATAAACTGGAGACCAGTTCCCCAACCCAGTTGATAATGACACGTTCTAAGTTGACCATGAGAGAGGAGGACATCCCACACCCCAACAGAATTGCATTTCCAGAGTACCACAAGAAGTCTGTAACAGAGGATAAGATTTCCAAACTTTTTGGAGAGATCATCGATTCCCCTGATGCTACAGAAGTGCCAGTGACTCCTGTCACAAATTTAGAGAATCTATACAATAATATGACATTTTCAGTAAGAAAAGTAATTGGCATGACACCTCCTGAAATCCAATATGGGCGACATATCAGCTGCATGAAAGATGGCCGTGCATGGGTGAGTGATCGGTCAAGCCATATGATTTTATTGGATATTCATGGAAAGACTCTAGATGAACTGTCACTGAAGAGTAAAGGGGATGGCTACCACTGTGCCACAATTAACAACAATCTACTCTATATTGACAAAGGAATGAAAAGGGTTAATAGATTTCTCCCACAGGAAAAGAAAGTAGAAAGCCTTTTTGCCACTCCTCAACACTGGGCTTCCATCAGTATCCACTCCTCTTGGATCAATCAAGACATTCTGATTGGTATGTACACCAAACAGGAAGCAAAAATTGTTCGCTTCAACAGCACAGGAAAAGAGCTGGATCAGATTCAGAAAAACCACAAAACAGGAGAAAATCTTTTTTGCTACCCCCACTACATAACAGAAAGTCCAAGTGGTGACATCTGCACATCTGACTTTGAGAAATTCTCAGTCGTTGCGGTTAACAGTGAAGGCCAACACAAATTTACCTACAAAGGGTCCAAGAAAAACCAATTTTTCCCTCATGGAATTTGTACTGACAATGTAGGAAATATCCTTGTTTGTGATAACCAGTGCCAATACAGGATCCATATGTTAAACCCAGATGGAGTTTTCTTGCGTTTCCTCTTGTCGAAGGAAGATGGTATTCTTGAGCCCTTAGGTTTATGTCTGGATGACAGTTATAATCTCTGGCTAGGTCAAAGAGGAAATGAATCTGTGACTGTATTCAAATATAAACAGCAGGAAAATGAAAATCTGTACATGTAAATATCATACATAGGGTAGAAGAAAAATGTTTAAGTAAGTCGACGTCCCGTCTTTCAAAAATTCATACAAAATTGGTAAAAATTCCCCAGAAGTTTTCAGCCATCACTAATAAGTTCAATAGAGGGATTTCAATACAGGGATTTCATATGCTGCTATGAATAGCTACAGTGTAAACCAATCGCATGCTTTCCTCAACATGTTAGAAGCTTTCATTCAAACATTCAGAGTTATTTTTTCAGACAAATTTGAATTTTGTCATGGAGGATGTGGGAAAGTAATTAAATTGGACTGGTATGTTTAAAAAGTTATTTTCAGACCAGTTAATAAATTCTTATTTTTTATATTTTGTTGCTATTACTTTTTTTTAGAGCTGCAACATTTTTAACTCATTTAAATTGAAGTATCATTTTCAGAAATTGTATTGAATTTGATAAGTACATGTATCTGTGCTAGTTTCGGGATTGTCAAGAAATATCTATGCTGAATTTGTATCCTTTAGATAGGCACCGGTGATGTTTTGGAATTGTTAAGAAATATCTATGTTGAATTTGTATCCTTTAGATAAGCACCAGTGATGTTTTGGGATTGTTAAGAAATATCTATGCTGAATAAATTGTATCCTTTAGTTAAGTACCTGTGATGGTTTGGGATTATTCAGACTAATATCTGTTCTGACTTTGAATTTGAATACTTTAGATAAGTACCTGAGCTGATTCTATAATTAGATAAGTACCTGAGCTGATTCTATAATTAGATAAGTACCTGAGCTGATTCTATAATTAGATAAGTACCTGTGCTGGTTCTATAATTAGATAAGTACCTGTGCTGATTCTATAATTAGATAAGTACCTGTGCTGATTCTATAATTAGATAAGTACCTGTGCTGGTTCTATAATTAGATAAATACCTGTGCTGATTCTATAATTAGATAAGTACCTGTGCTGGTTCTATAAGCTTCAGAGTCTCCTCTATGATCTTTTCGCCGTTGGCTTCTGCACGCAGAAGCTCAGTAACAATCTCATGCTCCAGAACTTTGATCATGTGTTTCAGACACAGTCTATCTGCAGCCTCGATCAGGCCCACAATGTCTGCCCCGTCCAGCGAGGGTAACTGTCCTAAGTAGAGGTATGTCTTCAAGACACTGAAGGTCTGCATGTCCATTCCAGGAAATGGAATCTGAAAATATTTTGCATAAGTAAAATGGTGTAATGGGCAGTCATATCATTGTTCCTTTATTAATTTGTTATGGTCAATTGAGACCTCATTAGTTACACTTCTTAGTGACAATTTGCACATTTGTTAAAAGGCTTATTTAGAGAAAAAATATGGTAAAAGTTGGAATGGGGGGGGGGGGAGGATCAGCAAAAACAATTTTTAATTTAGAATTCCAATATGCATTCATTTTAATTATCAAGAGTGGAAGTAGATGGTTTGATACATTATTATTGATGGGGTGTCTATTCAATTCCAATCTATGGAGTTATATATTGGAATTTTATAAAAACATCACTTAATGGATATTGCTAAACTGAGAAAAAATAATATCAAGATATCCTTATGCAAGGAATTGTCATTTGGAAGCTGTATACCAATTCACTCTCTGTCTAGCACCCTTGCGGTGGAAAAGTTTCTAAGCAGCATAGGTCTAATAAGAATACCTCATTCCAAAGAACTTAGTAAACATATAGAAAACATTCTTTTTATTCATCAATCTTGCAACATTCTTTTAAAGAAACACACAGGATGTTTGTTGACATTTTTGACATGGGATTAAATTATCCCTTTTTATTTGGGATTTAAAAATAACACTTCATATGCAGTATCAAGATGACATTATTGCAGGATAAAGTGACTTGCAGTCACCCTTAAGCATGTTAAGTACTGTAGATCACTTTATTTTCGCAACACCTTATTTTCGCGATATAGCTATTTGGTATTTATAAGCAAGATAAAATTTTCGCAAGCTACGCTCTTTGTTGTATATAATCTTTAACAATACAAATATGCGCGAGAATAAAATTTTCGCGAGCAGACAGACTCGCGTAATTACGCGAAAATAAAGTTCTCGCGAATAAAAAGTGATTTACAGTAAATGACTAGACAAATGATAATCTAAAACAATTTTTTTCCTATTTGAAAATTGAAAACAATGTGTTACAATGAGACATTTATTTCCTAAAATAAAAAAAAATTGTTAACATGACCTTGAGTGAAAATAATTTTAGCTAATGCTAAAACACTGCTTTATAAATTTAACAATCTCCTATCTAGGGAAATCAACAAAAAACTCCCCCTCTTGGTGGTATGGATTTTAATGATTTTTATTCTCTATGCACAGTGTCTATAAATTACTGAAAACCAAGTATTATACATCATTTTTTATGAATGGCTGGTTTAGAACTAATATGCAACAATTCATTTTTGCGAGCATGGTTAAAAAAAAAAACTGATGAACAACTGGTTTGCGACAATAAATATCTGCAAGCATAGGTTGATTGTGAATCTTGCGGCAATTTATTACCCATGAGTAATACTTGGTTTACAGTAATGGTCTTCCAACCCCCTCAGATAATTTGTTGCTGGAATGGTTCCTAGCAGGTATTCATTAACTGTTATAAATTATAAATGTGGCTGCTTTTGTGTACAATTAGGAAAGTATGACTGTTTGACAGGGGAGACACTCCTGTAAAATGGAAATCGTCTTAAAACAAAATTTCAGACGTGTATACGGACTGCCCCCCCCCCCCCCCCCCCTCCCCCCAACACAACAAATATAAAATAAACTAGTTAAAAATGAAATTTAGATTAATTAAATTTCTGTTATACATGGACTAGCATTTTTATTTTACTATGTATATACATACAATATCAGCAGAAGACTCCATAAAGTTGGTACTAAACATGGCAAACATCATCTCACAACGAGCCATCAAGATTGGTTTGTGAAGGGCAACAACTCCATCTTCTAGCTGGAATTCAATGTCTGTGAATAAAGATATAATACTTTAAACATGAGAATCTTTGAGAGAATCAAGGAAAGTAACGTCTTTAAAAAACACGTGTTTAAACATCAGCAGATTCATTGAGTTTGGGCTTTTTTAAAAACAAGATATACATGTATGCAGTGCATTTAAAGTTTGCTCTATATGATGATTGTCTTAGTTATACAAGCATTTTTTTTTGCTATTAAATCTCTAACACCAGTAATATGTTCTTTAATTTTTTAAAGCTTTTTTAATCAGCACTAAATTTGAAAAAAAAAAAAAGAAAAAGAAAAACTTAACAAACCCTGAGTTAAAATTAACTGTCAAAAACATTTTAAATTTTTTTATCTACCAGTAAGTTTTCCAGACTCTAATCCTATGGATTGTAGCTTAATATTTCTTGAGGTGAAGAAGTCATTCTCCAGTGGAATATTAAGGTAGGACTCCCCTGTCTGTAGATTTGAGACCATCAGAATTAGATTGGGTAGCATCAGGATTTCAGCTGTCCTACGTAACTCAGAGAGACAGTCACAAGAAACTGGAACACGACCAGTGTACCAAAACTGGAGAACATATTGAAAGGCATGAGGATTCAGATCCGAGTCCATGGTAATCACAGTCTTTTTTTCCTCCATTAAACTGAGTGGATCCATCCACAACTTGTCCTCCACTTTGATAAATCCAGGAATGTTCAATAGACGACAACTGCCGTTAGTCATTGCTTCTGTGCCATGGAGACAGATATCTGGGAGTGGTGGAGCCCCACATATAAGATTCTCTTTGCTTTCTTTTACACCATTTACATTATCAGATGCAGTGCTACTCTGCCTCGAAAGAGAACCTCTTCCATTGGGTTTGGAAGAGTTTAAGAAAATGTCCTCAAACAAACTTTCTGCAATAGTTAAGCAGATTTTGTGAGCCCGAAAATGTGTCCCTTGAACAACAAATATGACATCCCCATCCTCTTGTAGCAGTTTTGATAAGTCCTCATGAGGAGCGGGACCAGGGTTTTTGATTATTGGCATCTCAGGTTTCGGGATCTCCATGGGAGCCTGAATGAGGGGGTACTGCACCCTTCTGAGTTGCGGATTCCAGAATTTCAAGTTGCGACGTTCTATTAATGTGGCCCTGCATACATTAAAGAATAAGTCATCAATGCCATATTTTGTCAGTACACTGGTTTCGTAATAAGGGGCCCCTAGGCTGGCTGCCATTTCTCTCCCACAACTTGGAGGTAAAATACTCTCATCACTCACAGCTCTAAAAGAAAATTAAACGCAAGATATATTTTCATACATTTCACAAAACCTTCTAAACTATGGATTTCAAATAAATAAGCTCTTTAAACATCAGTCAAAACTGAGACCAAGTTTGTTAAAGTGTCCATGCATGCTCTGAATAATGCCTGCAATATGTTAAATATTAAAACATATAATGCTACTGCATATTTATTACCTAATGTATAGTTGTTAGCATAAAGATGCTTTATATTTATAATAGAAAGTGTTTTTAAAACCATAACTGTCACTAAAATTTTTCATCTCGATCAACTTAAGACTCTCAATATATTTTTTTTAAGCAGTTCTTTATCAAGAGTTAACTCCCTTTCCTTATTCTTACTTATATAGAAGTCCTTTGTCCATATTCTTGTATTTCTCATTCTTATAGATGTATCTGAGGTCTGCCTGAGTCCCCACCAGGATGATGGGCGTGGCCGGACACCTACTCTTTATCTCTGGAATCCAGAACTTCTCCACATTTCTTAATGAGCTAGGCTTAGCTACACTGAAGCACAGTAAAATCACATCTGACCTGAAATATTAAAATAACATAATTCTTTATATTGAATATTCCTGTACATTTTAAATCATAAATATATTATATGAAAAGAGATTATTTTGATTTCATTACATAGATTCAGTTTGACTTATGTGAACATGATGAAACTGTAAGAATTCATTGATAATTTTATGATTGATAATTACATTGTAACAATAATTATACATAAGAATTCTGGAACATTTTTCATGCATTCAAAAAATAAACTGAAAAGTATACGAATAATTACCGGGTATGAGATCTATCTCAAAATTTTGTTTGCTTCCTCTTTGTTATAAAGTGTAAATTAAAATGGTTGTCTCTTTATCTATATATGTTGTGCCCCAAAAAGTAGCAACTGTCATTGCTATGTAAGTCTACCCAAAAAGTAAAGTTGCCAAAAAGGATACAATTAAATTTTAATTAATGACTTAACATGAAAAAAACAGCTGGCAGGATATATTTTTAATAAAGATAATTGACTGTCAATTTAATAAATCCCCAAATAATTTCAATTTCCTGGAGGAAACTAAATCCTAATTAAATTGTAGAAAATGCATTCAGATCAATATTTCTGCACAGTATTTGTGATACTCAATAGTCTCATTGCATCATCATGCAACATACCCTCTGTAAACAGTAGGGCTCGGTATCGGCTGGGAATTTCGTATTACGATATATTTCGATATTTGGAACTGTATTGCAATATGTATTGCAATAATTTCAATAAAAGTTAAAATGCTCTTTTCTTATTTTATTAAACTCCATTTATAAGCAAAGTGTATAAAACTTTTATAAATACGTTGTAAACTGTACACACAAAGGGTTAATAGATTTCATTACAGTTTGGCAACAAAATGCAACCATACAACAGAAACCTTTACCGTTTGGTACTGTTTAGCACAACTTAAAACATTTCTGACATCTTAAATTTCATATTTTACTTCATAAATCTAGAGCCCAAGCATTTTCCTGGTATATTGGTACTGGAAAAACTTATCGCTTTACGATATTTTTTGTTAACGAATTGCAATATACCGGAAAATTTATATTATTGCGCAGTCCTAGTAAGCAGAATGTAGCTAAAAGTATATAGTCTCATCATAGCATTACATAACTTCTCTGTAAGCAGTGAAGTATATAGACTTATTGCAGCATTACGTAACTTACCCTCTGTAAGCAGTGAAGTATATAGTCTTATTGCAGCATTACGTAACTTACCCTCTGTAGCAGTGAAGTATATAGTCTTATTGCAGCATTACATAACTTACCCTCTGTAAGCAGTGAAGTATATAGTCTTATTGCAGCATTACGTAACTTACCCTCTGTAAGCAAACTTTCTGTTCTTGTCATGGTAACCAAAAGTGTCCCACAGTTTCAGGGAACATCTGACTCCATCTACATTGCACCAAGACCTGTCCAGCACCTGAATAAAGAAAGAATGCTTTCTAGCTAAGAAGGCATATGTTGAAGAATTTTGTAAATAAAAAAAAATTGAATTTTAATAAGTATGCTTGTTATACTCAATAATTTTTACTTTGTTTGGTTAAAAAATTAGGTTAGTTATTCTCCCTCAATTCTCCCTTAATGTGATCAACTCTTCTAAAATGTTTTTCAGCAAAAGTGCTTTTGCTGCAATACATAATTTTCTCTCCCATGTACTTCAACCTTTTTTGCATCTTTTTATTAATTATATTCATTTGCACAGAGAAACAACTATTCTAGACAAAACAAGTTGTGTTTGTGAAACACTGAAGCCCCTGTATGGCAGCTCATGGCAAAGGTTTAAGTTTCTCAAATCCAAGCCAAAGTCCAAGGTCAAGCTCAAGAGATAAAAAATGTTGTATCCAAGGGAAAATTCTTGTCACAAGGAATACATCTGTGAAATATGAAAGCCCTTGCTGCAACCATTCAGAAATTATGGTAAAGGATAAATTTTTCAAAGATAAGTCAAACTCTAAGGTCAAGGTCATGAGGTATAAAATATTAGTACTTAAGAAAAGGTTTTGTTACAAGAAAAAGAAAAACCTGTGAAATATGAAAACCCTATCACAAAGCATTCAATAGTTATGACCAAGGTAAAAGTTTTTCAAAAGAAGGTCAAGCTCTAAGGTCAAAGTCAAATGGTCAAAAATATTGGTACCCAAAGAAAGATATTGTCACAAGGAATACACTTGTGAAATATGAAAGCACTAGCTCCAACCATTCAAAAGTTTGGCCGAGGTTAAAGTTTTTTAGGACAAACAGACAGACAGACAGAGTAAAACTATATGCACCAGAATCTTTGGAGCATAAATTTTTTTCTGATGTAGAGACAACTATATGCCCTACCTCTTGGTCATTGCGGTAGTGGTCAATGGCCCACACTGAGGAGGAGGGGGTCCTTACAAGTCGCTCAAGGGTGTAGCTTGTTCCACAGGCCCAGGCACAGATCAGACAGGTTTTCCCAACCCCTGCATCCCCCACCACAACACACTTGATGTATTCATACTGACTTCCCTCTTCTAATGACCGGTTCACCATGGTTGAATGATTTTTCTGGCTTTAATTGCTTTGATGGTGCAGTTAATTAAGGACCTAAGATGTTCAGCATGGCCCTGCAAATACATAATGAAAACATACATTATGTCTATGTTTTTACATGCATAATGATTATTCTACCAGTAAAACAAAATGAGAGAAAATCAATGTAAATACCTGATAACAGAAATATTTACACAAGATTCATATAAATGTTACAGCATAATTTATCAAAACCATGAAAATATGTCAATATGTCACCATACTTCAAACTTCTAATTTATCATTCTACTGAAATTAACAGCTGAATTAACTCCAGTTTAAAAATTAATAACTGAATTAACTCTGATCTTAAAATAATGATTTAAATTCAAACAACACTGCCTACAGCAGGACTTAGAAACTAGTATACAAAAAAAAAAAAAAAAAAAAAACTTGGAGATAGTTCAATACATGTTTGACAGAGTATTATGCTATAATAATTTATATACACAGAAGTCCATAGGAAATAAAAGCCGATACATCATAACTGGCTTAAAAATCATTAGAACCCTTAAAAATGTATGTCATTTTAACCATGTTAACAAAATGATTATTTTTTACTGGATTCAGTTATATCTTCCAGCTGTTACGTGAATTTGTATAAATACAATTACCTTTGTAATACAAAAATATTGATTATGCTAATGCTATAGCACTTTTACATGTAAATGACATAAGGAAGTGTGTATAAAATTTAAAATATGATGACAGTTGTTGCAAAAAATTCATGCAGTGTAAAATATAAATGCATGAAAGAATCTTTAATAAATATTTTCATTTTTGCTCAGCTTTTTCTGGAGGTTCTACTTCAAAGAATAAAAAAAAAAAATATTAAACAGATGAATAATTATAATTTATTTAAATATTAGGTGATTAATTTTTTTCCCCTAAAGCTTGTCCTTGACTTGGGTTATGGAACTAAATGAATTAACATGTTTAATTAACCTAGAAATAGACAGAGCCAAAGTTCATATGAAATACCTTTCTAGTCTTTTATGTCTTAATTATACTCTTAAAATAAACTTCTAGCATATGTTAATTATTTAATTGTTTATCAGCTTTACCTTAATATAAATATTTTGATATTAAAATATCACTTCAGAAACACTTCATCTAAGCCTAGGGCCAAAAAAATGATAGTCTTGTTTCCTGCTACCTGACCGACCCTATTTTTTTGTGCCCGACCCTTAAGTTATTTTAAATTTTGAAAGAAAAAAAATCGGGAATTTTCAGAATTTCATCATTCTGTCACTGTAATTGGTTTCCATGTTAACATAAAACAAGCATTTCATGAAATTCCCTGTTTTAAATATGGACTTTCATAAAATACCACTTGAGTTGTGCATCAAAAGATATGAAATTTAATTTTAAAAGACAATATTGACCTGTGACGTGTTTAATTTGATCTTGTATTAGTTCATACCCAAAAAATGCCATTGGAAAAAATAAAATAAAATAATTTTCCTACCCTATCTTTTTCTGCCTGGTAGCAGGAAACAAGACTATTATTTTTTTTGGCCTAGTCTGAAAATTCAATATCTTACTTATATCACATGCATTGTTACGTGGATTTCAGGTTTTAAGTGCTATGAGAGTGCATTATTAATGCTAGAAGTGAGCACTGTTTATGAAACTCATGTACATTGATCAAAATCCATTCTAATCAAAATAGCCTTCTGAAGTCAACATCTTCTTGTGTCATAAGATATGTGAATGCATCTGCTCCTGCGGTGAGATAGGTAAAAGGTTATCATGGTTATAGCATATGCTTGTGCAGTGAGATAAGTCTGCTTGGGTACCGAGATATGACTGCATTAGGTTTAGTAGTGAGATAAGTGAAAAGTTATATGCTTGTGAAGTGAGATAGGGAGTCCATCTTCTTTTGTAGTGAGATAAATGAGTGTATATGCTTGTGTAGTGAGATAAGTGAGTGAATCTGCTTGTGTACTGAGATACATGAGTACATATGCTCATGTAGTGAGATACATGAGTACATATGCTCATGTAGTGAGATACATGAGTACATATGCTCATGTAGTGAGATTCATGAGTACATATGCTCATGTAGTGAGATACATGAGTGCATATGCTCATGTAGTGAGATACATGAGTACATATGCTCATGTAGTGAGATAAGTAGATACATCTGCTTGTATAGTAAGATATGTGAGTGAACCTGCTTATATACAGTGAATTATTGATATCCAAGAGTGCAATATATGTTCATGTAATGAGATGGATGAAAGCTTGTTCTCTGTAGGAGATAGGTGAGAGCATGCGCTTGTATTTAAGGAATAACTGTCTAATTTTTTGGATTCATGATGTGATCAATCGAGTGGCTTGCGTGATAATTTGCATAAACGCCGAAGGCGTTTATACATAAAATTATCACGCAAGCCAATCGATTGATCATCGTCATGAATCCAAAAAATCTGAGTTATTCCTTATATTTACATGCTCCTGATTCTGCAAATTCCCGTGCTAATAGTCCCGCTTCTGTCTCTATTTGTCCCGCCCCGCACGTGATTTTTTTTTAACCGCGCCTCTCGATGAACCAGTAGATTTATGTAGAAATAAAGTATTTTTACAGTTTGTAATTTTATCTCGGACAAAGACATTGGAAATGTAAATATATCGAGATAAGTGACAGGTGCATATGTTTGTGTAGTGAAAAACATTATTGTGTATACTCATGTAGTGAGATTCATGAGTACATTTGCCTGGTAGTTAGAAACATGAGTGTTTCTGCTGAAGTAGCGAGATAGGTATCTGAAAACAACTGCAGTGATAGGAGAACACAACTGTTAGTGTAGTACATGTAATAAAATTAAAATTAGTAAAATATACAAGTCCTCCTTCTTAATATGTAGTGAGGAACTTGTTGATATCATCTTGTGTAAGTTAAGATATTTGAGAACATCTGTTTATGTAATGAAATACCTGATTGCATCTGTTTAAGTTGTGAGATATATGTGAGTTCATCTCCTTCTGACATGAGATATGTTAGTGCATTTGCTTGTATGGTGAGATGTGAAAGTGCATCTTCTTGTGTAGTGAAATATGCGAAAAATGTGAATGCTTCTGCTTATTTAGTGTAATTTAATTAGCAGATGAACTCACATATATCGCACATCACAAGCAGATGCACTCACCTATCTCTCTGTGAGACATGTAAGAGCAACAGCTTGTGTAGTGAAAAACATGAGTGAATAAAATATCTAATTTAAATCAGATTGGGTAAAATCAAATCAAATAATGGATACTGATTAGCGTTTTAAATTAAAGCCGAGTATCTGGGCATCAGTTCTTTGTTGGTTTTTTTTACTCTCTTGTTTCTTTGTTGTTGTTGGTTTTTTTGTTTGTTTGTTTGTTTTTTAAGACTGACTGAATTAAATTTGTATAAATTATACATACATGTATATCATTGATAGAATTAATTAGCATTGTAAATGTTGAGTACATTGTCTGCCCTTTGTTTTGAGACTAACCGAATTATATGATATACATGTGTGTATAAGATAAAAATAAACAACAAATGGACTTGGTAGGTATAATTTCTAGTATCAATAATCCTACCATAAGAATATGAGTTAATGTTTTTTAATGGTTATGTTTAAATTAAGCTCCCATAAAACATAAATTATTGTTCATTGATTTGGTATTAACAGGGAAATAAAATACATATTGTCTCCTGATGAGAAATTGCCAAAAGGAAAATGGAGTCATAAAATAGCAATAGATACAGCTTATCTGCAATAACTAAATGAAATCAACACTCCATTGCCTCCGTCAATTTTCTCTAAAAGGCACATAAAAGATTCTCATCTTTCAAGCATTGTTAAAACACAGATAGCAAAATTCTTTGGGCCAATTGGTATAACGTCTTTTATCATCATGTAATTTATGCATCTGTTTATTCTTAAAACAAAGAGGCATGATAGTTCATAGTTTAATAACCTGTGTTAAAAATACAGGTAACATTCCATGCCGTGTGTAATGCTGGTATAACTAAATTGCTTCTGGAAGCCTGACAAAGTCTAAAGTCCTATCTGCTGCATGAAAAATTTCATGTATACACTGTAATTTGAGCTCCTGATGACATACTGAATAGGGAGATAAATCATACAGTGAAAAAAAGTGTGTTGTATATATTTTATTCTGACCTACATTAGAATGCACAACCAATTAAAATATTTTTGCACTTAAAAATATTGAAAAAAATCTGGTACTGCTGAAGTTAGCATTATTAGCTGTCTGTATTAATATAAAGTGTATGCATATCAAAAAAATCTGTAATACCTTTTATAATTCAGTGTTACGAGCACATTATGAAAATTTGTTTGCGCACACCATTGCAGTTATGAAACTACATCTTTAAAAAAAATAATGATTCAATGCTTAATCAGACCAGTTTGTGACTTTGCTATTCTTAAATATCCTACACTTCCACACCACTTTTTTTTGCTATTTAGCATACTCCTTTAGTTTAGTCATGTCTAAATTTAACTCATATGAAATTATCTGGAAAAAAAAGTCTCAGCTAGACTGATAAATTTTCAATGAATTGTTGAAATTATTTTATTTTGCACCCAGTCACTCGGTAAAAGCACTTATAAATTTACCTGAAAGGTAGAGTTAGGTAATCCAGTGTGAAGTGTAGTTTAATTACATATACACATCCGACATGCTGGCCATTTAAACATTTCTTCTTTTAATTAAGAATACTTGAATGATTCTTTTCATCACCAAAGTAAATAGATTTTTTTCATTCTACAAATATTCTGCATGTCCTGGATGACAGTTTGCTCAAGACTAACCATATCATCCAACTGAATGAGATTTAGTGAAACTGTGAATGTAAATCTTACTGAGTGATTTAAGCCTCCTAAATAATTATTATTTTAACATAGATAACTATTGGTAGGATTTGGTAAATGCAAAAAAAAAAAAAAAACAAAAAAAACAACAAAAAAAAAAAACAAACAAACAAACAAAAGGAAATAAACATGTCTATAAACAGACCCAAAAGTTGTATTTTATCTTGAATGTCTTCAAGATTTATTCCCATACTGTAGAAAAATGCTCTCTCTAAATCACACAAAAAAAATTCTGCAAGATCATGGAATTTTTGTTCATGCAGTCAAGCATGATCATTTCTGGTATCTGATAAGATATCCTTGGATTTCTTTATATCCCATACTGTATGACCTTCAATAAATAATCTTCAGATGACCTCAGTGTCTTTCAAAGTACAACAATCATTTAACCTTCAAAACCTCTCCAAAGAATGTCTAAAAATAGTTGATTTTATAGAGAACTTTGTGTGTCTATGATTGAAAGCTTCATACGGAGCTGGGTTTTCTGATACATATAAATATAAGCACTCTCATTACAGAAAGAGCACCTGATCATGCTGATACAGAGCAAAACAAGATAAAAAAGTTATTAAATCTGGAAATAATCAATAATCATATTTAATTACAAACACCTTCTGAATTCTAAAGTAAATTTTCCTTTCTCTCAAATAATTAAATAAGGGAAAAATGGCTATATTATGTACATATTGACTGTCTTTTAATACAGGTAACAAATATCCTTGTGGCACCTGAGGCATCCAATGTATTTATGTGCTTCACTTCATAAACATGTTATACAATATTACTTTGGTGTATTGAACCAGTTTAAATGACCGCTGATAGGTTGGTCAATGTTTAGGACAACAACCTCTTCAGGGCTATCAACAAGGACAATTCAATTTTCATTTGACAAGACTAGGCTAGCCACATAATTTATTCAAGATTTTTCTGAGAATGTACATATACCTAGTTTTTATAAGTATGCATAAATTGTAGACAGTTATCATTTAAACTCCATTGGCTATATAGGCAGTTCAATTTTCCACGGGTCAGTCACAGTTTTAAATCAACACACATTTTTAGTCAATTAAAAAATTCAACATCTTTAAAACAGCCTGAATGGAATAAGTAATTATTGATATTTTTACCATGCACTTGAATTGTTGTTCAAACATGACTGATGCATGTTTTGCCTAGCCTTTGTGTAACATTTTTCAAATTAATATCTATTTAAATATACATCTTTAACTCCATGTAAATAAGAAGTATATCCGAACAATAAAAAAATCAATGTTCTCTGTAATAATGTTAATTCTCTGTAAAATAATTTTGCATGACACTATGCACGTGCAGATCAGGTACTGCATGGAGTCGTATAATTCAATTATTAAACAGCTGACCACATATTCAACTCTATCCTAGTCCATGTTGATAAAACTACGCCTTAAGCATATCTATGAAGTATGTAATTAAAATTTCTCTCATAACAAAATGCTTACTCAAAGTACATGTACAAGTCTGCAATATTTTCTGATGAATGACAGGAGTACATTTTTACGCGCGCTTGCGGGCACATTGCTGACAGGAAAATTATGTCGCATAATAGTGTCGTCTTTCGACCACGTTTTCAACAACAAGATATCAAAATTCTCCATAATGTTATTCATAAAAAATATTCATTCCGTGTTTAGAAAAAGAAAATAAACAAAATACCTGTCAACCAATTTTAACAGCAGTTTCTGCTTCTCCTTTGTTGACGTTCTGGTTAACTTCCTTCCGTCGTAAACAAAATGAGTCATGTGATTATGTGCACAGAAAATAGTTACGTAGTACTCAGGCACATGCGGAAAAAGGAGGATGGCGATAGACATCCGAAAAAATAAAGACGCCCTTCTTAAGGCATACAACGATGTTGTGGATGAAAAGACGCCAACAGATTGGTATATTGATTTACTTTAAAAAAACATTAATGCTCAACACATTGCAAATAGCGCACTTTGTTGCATTGTAACGATTATTAGTCAAGCTTCCGCTTTAGGTTTTGTTGACACTAGAAGACTTGTCAACAGGTGCGCCGCCTTCGTCTTGGAACATGATTGATAAAAGAAACGGTTAATTTTAGATCTGGAACTTCTGTTCTCAGCATTGCCTTTTTCGAATCTGATGATTTTTTTTCCGAGAAAAGGGGTGGGGGGTGGGGTCTAAGTGAGTTAACTTCACTTAATCAGTGAATATGATTATTTCATGCTAACTTCCTTTTCATTTATCATTTCAATCATTAAAAATGTTGGAGGAGATGGAGGAAATACAATTATTAAATTTTTAAGTTCAACTTGAGATACCAACAGGATGTTTCAAATTATCTCACTTAATCTGTTAATGTAACTTAATGTGCTCATTAATTGATACTTTATCAGGGTTCTCATTAACGCAAGAATCTGCATCCTAGACGCAGCAAAATTACTTGGGACGCAAGGTTCTTAAAAACGATGCGTCCGCGGACTCATGATCGGATGCGTCCTCGTTAGCGAGAAAATTCAGGTAATTTCAAAAACGGGGAATTTAGATGTTGGGATTTGTCAAAGAAATATTTAATCGAAACCTTCCTGTAACTATCATAAAGTTCATCCAAGAAATAACTTTTCTTGTACTTATTTCTCTTTTTTTTTAAAACAGGGATTGATCATAATTAAGATACTTCATGTTTATTAGTCCATAGTCATAATAATGTCGCATGCCAAACTCCGACAGCTGTAAACACACTGCAGCTTTTTTTTTTTTTAAAAAAAACACACACTTTTGAATCTTGAGTGTTATCTACATGTAGAAACCATAATTACTGCTTGTATACACAATGCGGCTTGATTATCTCGTGAATTTCACCCAGTGCAGACGACCGACAGGATTAGTTACGCCTCATTGCACATGACACCTGTGATTGTATACAGTCAACTTTCGGGTACTAGTTGATTATGCAACAGTTAATTTTAGCTTTATAAACACCAAGTTAATTTTTTTGGCAATTGATTACGTGTGTATTTTAGAATATGGCTTGAATGCATTACCAGTTTATATACTTGAATATGTTAATATTGCGTAAACAAACTGATAAAATGATAAAGATTTATATTGATGTTTGGATGGAGGGATACTGCAATAATTTAGTTGGGACTCAACATAATTATTCTGGGACGCATCAAATTTAGCTGGGACGCAACCTTCTCAGAAATCTTGAGTCCTGGGACTCAAGTTAGCAAAATCCTAGTGAGAACCCTGCTTTATAATTATTTATTGCAACTCGGTGTAGTCTGACATTATCTACTTATACATTAAATTGTAGAAATTTATATGTTTTTCCTGCCAAATGCAGATTAATATATTTTATCTTTAATATAAGAAAGAAGTCTCATCATTTCATTTGATATTTTGGTAAAAAAAAAAAATAAAAATTCAGTTACTGAGAATAAAGGAGAAGGGCATTTTATATAAAATACAATGTAAATCTGATGTTTGGTGAGTTAATCATGAAAATTTTGAAATTAAATAAAGTATACAAACTATCATTCTATAATCATTTTTTTTCTTTATTGCTCATTTCATTATTTCTCTAGGATGGTCATGGGGTATGAAGGACAGACTGCCATCCTCAAGCTTGTTGGAACTGGAGGTATGCAGTATACTAATTATTAAATACAATGTAACTTCAATTACCCAAACCCAGTGAAACTTACTTTCAAAAATGAGATATCTAAGGTCTAAGGATAAACACTTTTATAGTTAAGACTTGTTTCAGGTACATGTATGTATAAGTATGAAGAATAGACTCCTTATGACATATATCCCTCTGACTTGTTTGACATATCAGGTTCTGAAATTATTGCAGTTCAAGTGTTTATGTTCTTCTGATAATTAATGTTTGTTTAACTTAAATCTCATCTGCAAGCTTAAAGCAACTTAATAGAACATCCTTGAGCAGCTTTATATCAGTATTTAGACATTTTGTCTATATTTATATATTATATGTTAGTCGTTTTACCATAACTCAAAGGTTAAAGATTAATGATGATGCTGTTAGCAAATACCTGCTTATAACAGTCATATTTTGTTACGAAAGTGTTGTAGTTTAATGAATTATGGATGTTCATTTTAGCTGTGTATGCAAAAAGTTTCACTACATCTTCTGTACACATGTATATTTTACTACACCTGTAGTACTGGTACGTGTAACAATTACCAAAGAATTATTTGGACCCAAACAATATTTTTTCCCCTAATATTTTCAACATAAAATTGTACATTTTTTAGCATATGTAGTAGTTCAGAGATTTGATTTTATGCATATATATATTTCATTATGTTCAAGAGTGTTTAGTAACTAAAGATATTCTGGTTGTAGGTGGAGGAATTGAAGAAATGACGGAGGATCTCAATAGTTCTAAGATTATGTATGCCTATTGCAAAGTTTTGGACCCTAACACCAACCTCCCAAAATATGTCTTGATTAACTGGGTAAGACACAATTACTTTAAATATTCAAAATTCATGCTTAATTAAATTTTCCATTGCATAGGTATACTCATCAAGTAGTATATTTTATCCCGTACTCTGGGAGTTTCTTTGAAATCGCACATTAAAGAAAGAAAAATAAATTGTGTTTGAGCGTACTACGTAGTAACATGTACCATCAGAACTTTATTTTATGTTTTTGACTTTATTTCAGCAAGGAGAAGCAGCTCCTGAATCCATGAAATTCAAGTGTACAAGTCATCTACGAGATGTGGCTGCATTTGTTAGAGTAAGTTTCTGTAACAATAAGGACACTGAGTGTATTGTAAGAGTAAGTTGCTTTTACAGTAAAGACACTGAGTGTATTGTTAGAGTAAGTTGCTGTTATTACAGTAAAGACACTGAGTGTATTGTTAGAGTAAGTTGCTTTTACAGTAAAGACACTGTATGTATCATTAGAGTAAGTTGCTGTTACAGTAAGGACACTGTGTGTATTGTTAGAGTAAGTTGCTGTTACAGTAAGGACACTGAGTGTATTGTTAGAGTAAGTTGCTGTAACAATAATGGCACTGACTGTATCGTTAGAGTAAGTTGCTGTTTCAGTAAGGACACTGAGTGTATCGTTAGAGTAAGTTACTGTAACAGTAAGGACAATGAGTGTATCATTAGAGTAAGTTGCTGTAACAATGTGGACACTGAGTGTATTGTTAGAGTAAGTTGCTGTAACAATAATGGCACTGACTGTATCGTTAGAGTAAGTTGCTGTTACAGTAAGGACACTGAGTGTATTGTAGAGTAAGTTGCTGTAACAATAAGGAAATTGAGTGTATCGTTAGAGTAAGTTGCTGTTACAGTAAAGACACTGAGTGCATTGTTAGAGTAAGTTGCTGCAACAATGTGGACACTGAGTGAATAATTAGAGTAAGTTGTTGTTACAGTAAAGACACTGTGTGTATTGTTATAGTAAGTTGCTGTAACAGTAAGGACACTGAGTGTATCGTTAGAGTAAGTTGCTGTAACAATGTGGACACTGAGTGTATTGTTAGAGTAAGTTGCTGTAACAATAATGGCACTGAGTGTATCGTTAGAGTAAGTTGCTGTTACAGTAAGGACACTGAGTGTATCGTTAGAGTAAGTTGCTGTAACAATGTGGACACTGAGTGTATTGTTAGAGTAAGTTGCTGTAACAATAATGGCACTGACTGTATCGTTAGAGTAAGTTGCTGTTACAGTAAGGACACTGAGTGTATCGTTAGAGTAAGTTGCTGTTACAGTAAGGACAGAGAGTGTATTGTAGAGTAAGTTGCTGTAACAATAAGGAAATTGAGTGTATCGTTAGAGTAAGTTGCTGTTACAGTAAAGACACTGAGTGTATTGTTAGAATAAGTTGTTGTTATTACAGTAAAGACACTGAGTGTATTGTTAGAGTAAGTTGCTGTTACAGTAAAGACACTGACTGTATCGTTAGAGTAAGTTGCTGTTACAGTAAGGACACTGAGTGTATCGTTAGAGTAAGTTGCTGTTACAGTAAGGACACTGAGTGTATTGTTAGAGTAAGTTGCTGTAACAATGTGGACACTGAGTGTATCGTTAGAGTAAGTTGCTGTTATAGTAAGGACACTGAGTGTTTCGTTAGAGTAAGTTGCTGTTACAGTAAGGACACTGAGTGTATTGTTAGAGTAAGTTGCTGTTACAGTAAGGACACTGAGTGTATGGTTAGAGTAAGTTGCTGTTACAGTAAGGACACTGAGTGTATCGTTAGAGTAAGTTGCTGTTATAGTAATTACACTGAGTGTATTGTTAGAGTAAGTTGCTGTTACAGTAAAGACACTGAGTGTATTGTTAGAGTAAGTTGCTGTTATTACAGTAAGGACACTGAGTGTATTGTTAGAGTAAGTTGCTGTTACAGTAAAGACACTGAGTGTATTGTTAGAGTAAGTTGCTGTAACAATGTGGACACTGAGTGTATCGTTAGAGTAAGTTGCTGTTATAGTAAGGACACTGAGTGTTTCGTTAGAGTAAGTTGCTGTTACAGTAAGGACACTGAGTGTATTGTTAGAGTAAGTTGCTGTTACAGTAAGGACACTGAGTGTATGGTTAGAGTAAGTTGCTGTTACAGTAAGGACACTGAGTGTATCGTTAGAGTAAGTTGCTGTTATAGTAATTACACTGAGTGTATTGTTAGAGTAAGTTGCTGTTACAGTAAAGACACTGAGTGTATTGTTAGAGTAAGTTGCTGTTATTACAGTAAGGACACTGAGTGTATTGTTAGAGTAAGTTGCTGTTACAGTAAAGACACTGAGTGTATTGTTAGAGTAAGTTGCTGTAACAATGTGGACACTGAGTGTATCGTTAGAGTAAGTTGCTGTAACAATAAGGACACTGAGTGTATCGTTAGAGTAAGTTGCTGTAACAATGTGGACACTGAGTGTATTGTTAGAGTAAGTTGCTGTTATAGTAAGGACACTGAGTGTATCGTTAGAGTAAGTTGCTGTAACAGTTAGGACATTTGAGTGTATTCTCATTTTTTGAATCGGTGTTGCATTTACCATGGGTACAGATATATTTGTTTTGACATTCAGAAATGTACATATTATTGAATATACAGTAAAACTTTTTTAGGATGTCAGATTCTATACAAGGAAATCCAGCTTGTTTGAAATGATTTAGAATTCCCTGTCAGATTTTTAGAAATAATCTTTGGAGCAAAAATCAGTCTTAAAGAAAGTAGTTACAGTTATTCCCAGATGTAATTTTATCTCATATATTGTTCATTTATAGCAAAGTATGTTTCAAAGTTGTGGTATTTGATGTGCTGAATATAAATATAAAAAATGTGTACAAGTGTATATCTTTATATATATGTTTAAGAAAGCCTTTGTTATACATGTACATTTAATGCACTAAATACATATGTAGGCATGCATGTATTCAAACTATGTGAAAGGATTGTATTATAGGCTCCAAAACCCACCAAAGGTCCTTCACTGCATTCAATTAAAATTCACATTTGTAGATACACACTGTATGAATTTAAATGATTCAGTGTGCCTTGCAGGAAGTAATTAGAGAATGTTATCTTGTTTTAAATGTATGAGTTAACAGGGAAATCTTTCTGAAAATGAATACTCTTGTGCATTTGATTATCAGAAATTTTATTCCAAATTTAGGGAGTCCACGTGACTGTGAATGCCAGGACAGAAGAAGACGTAGATCCTGATGATATTGTTAAGAAAGTGGCTAAAGCATCGGGGGCAAACTACAGCATACACCAGGAGAAACCAAAAGCTCCACCCCAGAAACCAACTAAAAATATCAAAAAAGAGGATTCCCCTGGTCCTGTGGTATATAACACAGTTATCTCCCATTATAGCAAATTCAATTTGCCTTATTCACTTTTTCCCCATCATAAGCTTGCTATCCAAAATTTCCCCATGGCAAGATCCTGTATTATTTTATGTTTATTGATTAATTTCTTTCAGGAAATAATTATTGGAATGATACTTACATGTATCCATATCAATGCATGTAAATTGAGTGGTACTTAGTTTTGAAAGAAAATATTATCTGAATGTGACTGATTAGAATCATTAATTTAATATACATGTAAATTTTAGAATTTTGTTTGTGATACCATTATTTATAGGGCTCAGTCTATCAGAGAACAATAGCAGCTAAGGATATCAACAGTAAAGCAAGGGACAAGTTCTGGGCAGAGACTGAGGTAGCTCACTCATTTATTCAAACAATTCAAAAGTCCAACAGGGTGCAACTACGCAGCTAGGTAAAGGACTCCCATATATACGTCAGCCTATGCAGAGGTTCGGCAAAGCACGTCACGTTAAAACAATACAAATGAATCTCGATGAATAAATACTATATGTTCTTTTTAAAACGCACTAAATACTTTCGTTTCTTATAAATGTTATAAAGATAAATGGATGTGGAACTTATCTTGCCATAATAGCACTTAGCGTATGCAGAATGAAAGCAAGCTTGATCTCGCTGTACTTACTGAGATGACGTCATTTCTTAGTTTGACACGCAGTTTTATCTGTATTTGAGGCGTAGATCAAGCTTTTATCGTAGCTTGAAATAAAAATAAATAGGAAGCATGCGTAGTCGGGCCAAAAGAGAGACATATTCTAAAATATATTAATCCACATTTTATTGTTAAACTAAATTGATAATGTGTAGACTTTATATAAAGCCGTAGGGAGCACATTTGTACAGTAACGTGCTAGAATGACAGGTCCAGCCCCTCGAAAATGTCAAAAGTTCAACGATATCCGCTTCACTATAAATTCTGAATTTTTAAACACGTGTAGCTATTATTCCTACTATTCTGAAAAGTGCTGGGAGCTGGTTGTACGTTGTTTATTTATTCCGTAATCTAACATTATTCCAATGCGTATTACATTTTTGCCTGGAGTTTATAGAAAGACGGCTAAATTCTAAACAATTCTCGAGCATGAGGAAGTTGCTCCCAGCACTTTTCGGGTTAAGGAATTTGTCTCAAAGAAAACAAAATAGATTTTAAAGCAGAAAGATGCCCGTATATCGTTGAACTTTTACGATCTTTGTAGTAGTACATATATGGTCCAATTTTAAACCTGTCACGTGACAAACAGCTGATGTAAGCGACGTCACTTTGGCCGAACTCAGCAGAGACACGATATATACAAATGCGAACACCACAATTCACATTTATCAAAACTACTGCTGTTAAAAAAAATATTAAAATTGTATTCATTTTCCCTGAATATATAAAGGCGTATATTTCATGGGCGTCCTTAACCTAGCTGCGTACGTTTGATTGAATCAAATGTTTTTTAAAATTAACCTTACCAAATCAGTTGATCCAAATATGATTAATTTAGTTACATGAATATTAGATTTTTTAAAGAGTATATGAATTGCTTATAAACTATAAATCTCCGAAATTTACAATTAAAATTCCTTTGAGTCAAATTTAGTAGGCATTTACTACATAGATTGTCATTTGTTGTATTCTTCAGCAAATGTAAATTAGAGTTTAAGTAGGAATGTGTCTAGTTAAAACAGAAAACCTTGCAAAATGTGATGAGAGTAAATGTTAGCTAAAATATATTAGGAAGTAAACGATGAAACAAAGCATTCTTGTAACCAATTGTAGAAAAAATTTAATGCATCTCACCACAATATAAGGAAATTCATTGTTTAAAAAAAAGTGAGAAATTCAAACAAATTAAAAAAAAAATGACTCCTATCAAGGGCAAATAGTGAAAGGGAAAAAGAAAATAATTAACAAAGGTAAATTAATTAAGAGCATTTCATATCTGTATATATACTTGTTCAGAAAGAGGAACAGCGACGTATCGAGGAGGAAAAACAGAGACGTGTGAAGGAACAACAGGAACTAGAGAAAGAAAGGAAAGAAAGAGAGGTATCCATTGCATGCTGAGTGCACATGTACTCTAGGTATCTGTATATTATATGGGTGCTGCAGTGAATATTTTAGAATGGTGTGATGTGTATTTTCATAGGTTCTTTTTAAGCAAGGTATATCAAAAACATTTCATGCAGACCATATCAAAACATCTATATGTGCTTATGAATCTATGAAGCTACTCCTTCTTGTAGACTTTTTATTTGTTAATTTTTTTGTATGTGTTTTTGGAACTTATAATATTTTGGTTTCATATGTAGTCCTTGGTTATGGGTCTGTCTTAGCAACTTCTTTAAATCTAGAGATTTCTACAACAAAACGTGTTTGAGCACTTTTTATGTGTGTTAATTTGCATGTACATGTAAAACAGATTCTTTAGGCTTCACGATTACATATAACTTATGAAAATTATTTACATAAAGATTTATGTAAAAATAACACAAAATGCAAAGGTAACAACTGTAAGAAGATTTTACCACATGAATGTTGGGTGACAGAGTAAATATTTTTGATAAATTTTAAACATGAAGTTCTTTTGAATGACATTTGGCTGCTCAAGATATACATGTGTTGATTTGATTTAGTTTGCAGACACTGCTTATAATTGTTTATTTACACCTTACATATTATGTGTCATTAATAATATATTCTTTTTTTGATTTTGCAAATACTTTAGTAGAGAATTGCATCGAGATTAACTTTTCTTTTCATCATAATCAGAATAGATATTAGCAGAGTTTTGTGTATTTTGAATTCCCTATCATCATACTGTACCCGTTTTGATTATGCTGATCTATTCATGCTATTCTGTAAATCTGACTGTTAAGTATACACTTTGCTGAGTACAAATTTTAGGTTCCCTCTAGCATGTCAAAGCACAGAAACCAGTGGTATGCTTTATATTTTGAATGCATCAAATATTTGTGATCAACATAACTTCTTAATAGCATGTGATTTTAAAGTATTAAGGACAAGTAAGAGAGAAGTAATTGATACATGTACATTGAATTATGATTAATTAACAAGAAATCCTTTCAGTTCCTGATCGTTTATCACAACCATATCCTCTATACAAATTCCTGCAAAATTACTGTGCCTGCACAAATAGCACATTATTATTACCCATATTGAAAGTCCTACAGTTTATAATTCACTGTTCTTGTTTACCTGTAGTTGCTTCAATATTCTTTATATATACTGGTAGTTGAATAGCTAGAAATTTGTACAGCTCTCTTCTTTAGTGTAGAAATTATTTATCTTAAATTTTTGAAAATGCAATAACAGAAGTCATAAATTTTATATTATAAACAAGAAGTTCTGTTTGAATCCTATAATGTATATTTAGTCATTCAACTACATATAAATAAAATGAAATATTCTCAACATATTAAATTACATTGTATTCAACTGCTTAATAAAACTTGAAAAAAAAATCATCATACATTTATAAGAAGCTGCTCATTACTTTTGTCAAATTCATTAATTTCTTGAGTAATTATGTATATATATCTTAATACTTATCATCTATACATCTTTGTAGGCCCGTGAAGCCCAGGAAAGAGACAAAATCGTGAATGAAAAGATGAAAGCTGCCCGAGAACAGAAGGTCCGAGAAAGAAGGGCGAGTGAAATTGAGCGTGAGGAACAAAAGAAGAGATGGGTATGTGGAAAAACATCATTCATTTTAAGTCTTGAGTGTTGTGAGTGATTTCTGTTTCCCCTTATTTTGGTGTGAAGTGCATTGTACATTTATCTCAGTCATGACACAAATTTAAAGTTTTTGCTGAAAGGCTGGTGTGTTTTGTGTATATTATTTATTGATTATATACTTCAGCCATGCATGCTTATGTGTATTATTATTCAGCTGTATTCATAATACAAGTGTAATCGTGATAGTCAGACATAAAGTTTTGGTTTTCAAGGATTAATATTTAAAAGTGAAGAAAAAGAAATGCATATTTATTCTGTATGATGCTGCAAAATTCCTTCATATCAACAAGATAAAACATCAACATTTGTGTGTGTGTGTGTAATACTTCCTCTGTGATTTATGAATTTCATATAATACATAGTCAGATTCAATATTTAGATGGTCACATCATTTATCATTGATCTAGTCAGATGTTATTATATAACTTGTATAGCTGTTTTAGTAACATTTAACCTCAGTTTTATTTTTAAACATTTTCTTAATATATTTTTTTATTCTCACTCCATAGACATAACACTTTGTTACCTGCACAATCATTTATTTTCTGTTTGATATCAATCAGTCATTAATTCATTTACATATAGAGTGGGGAAACCAGTGTAAGTACACAAGTACTCAAATTTTGTTTCCATTTGGATATATATCTCACAACCATGCAACAATGGCAATTAATTTTGCATTAAACACTTTCTGCATGATGAAGGAAAATTAATATCTACATGATTGTATGCGTTTCAAGATTCTTTAAGATACATTCTTGTATATCAACTTTTTAGCATGAAAATGAAAGCTTAAAGTAGGAAAATTATAAGGAGAATACAAAATATTCTTATTTAAGAGTAGTAAGCGGATTCTTAAATTGTTTTCTGTAAAAATAAGTGAAAATGAAGAATAAACCGACATAGCTGTTCGCTTTTTTGCTTTCAGTGAAATCTTTACTAATATAAAACTTGTTCTTTCTAACATTTTTACATACAGCTACATTTTCTCTAAACAAAAATGTACATCTCAACCTTTTGAATAATGACATAGGCAAAATTTTGAATTGCAGGCTTAAAACATTACTGTAATTTTTAGTACAAGCACACTTGTATTTATAAGTACTGTATATGTGAGAAGAGGCCTGATAAAAAAAAAGAGCATTAAAAAGGTTTTGGTAGCAGTATCTGTGAAACACTTGCATGTAAACTCTAAGAAAACAGTATACACAAGATATTTATGCATTGGTGACCATGCTTAAAGAGTGTAAAAGTCTGCTAAGAAATGGTATGCAGTAAGATGAGTTGCAGCATTGTCCTTCCAACTCCTAGAACCTGGTACACCAGTCCTGCATTTCCTGTGATTGTACAACAGTTATATATACATGTAACCAGCCTATTACAAATACATGTATATGTTTACACTTAGCTATGAATATATCATCTAGTGATTGTATAGGTCTGAGACCACAGGCAAATGGAGACACCCCCCCCCCTTTTTCCTCTGACATTTCTCTTCCATTCTTCACTTTTTCCACTCAATTCCTGTTCTTATATTAATTTTTAATAATAATTTCTTTTATACAGTAAATGTAGCAGTTAATATATATCAGCTTTAAAAAAAAAAAATACATTTGTTCAGGGAGGGGGATGGATGGGTATTATTGAAAGCAACAAACTGACCACGATTTCTACTGAATAACCTGAATGATAAAAAAAATAATACATGTATATGTAAAAAAAAGTATGCAAAATAATGATTAGATTTTCTTTTAACTTCACAGAGATAAAGATTTTCATACACTTTTTGCACATGGTTGTCTCTGCAGGAACAACAACAACAGGAAGCCTTCAAGGAGGAAGAGGAAAGAGGTCGCCGCAGTGAGGCCATCAGAAAGGAGAGAGCCGCGGTAAGTCTGATACGGAACAAAATGTCAATTATGGCAACTTCAAACTATCTACTTGTGTCCCTTTAGATAGATGACCATTTACAGTAAATACAAACTTGCCATTTAGAGTTTATGTATGTGTCAGAATGACATGTTTTCAAAATTGAATTTATCCATTTGGAATTGCCTAAATCAGTCAGTCAATGGTTAAAGTCACATTTTAGACCTTCTTGTATTATGTCATTCACTATAAGTATAGACATGTTTGCTTTTTTTGCTCATAACATTCACTTCTGTTTAAATAATGATTACCTACATGTGTATTTTTTTTCCCCAGGAAGCTGCCCGATTGACCAGTAGTAGTACAGCCAATGCCAGAGCATTATTCAAAAGACGAGAATCCGAGACTGAGGATAACCAAGTGTCTAGAGCTCCTCCACCCCCAAGGTAAAATTTTATTGATGTGTATATTATGTCAGGATATAAGATTGGAAAATTTTACCCATAGTTGAAAAAGTGAATGTTTAATAACTGAACAGTTTGAAGATGAAACAGCCAGGACCAAATACTGATGACTTTAATTTTGGTTCAGGCTATTGACATTTATTTTTTTTGTAAAAATACTCTAAATTTTTTATGACTGACCATTTATGGGTAATATCTAAAAATTAAGGATGTGGTCCTCTAGAAATGCAAGTTACAAATTATTTGAAATTATATGAAACAAAATTTGATGTGGCCAATGATTTGTGTTTTTCATGTAATTTATTAGGTCTGACATTGCACTTCTTGGATAAAGGTCCTGAATTCAGAACAACTGAAATACTAGTATTTCAGTTTAAAGGAAAGAGTTTATAATTAGTACTACGGTACATGTTTAAGTACTTACCAAAATGATTTTACTTTAGATCTTGGAAAAATAAAATCTGTTTATTTTAACAGAAAAATCCAGCATGGTTTCCTTAACAACCAGCAGCAGGAGGAAGAACCAGTGCAGAGAAAACAACCAATCCAGCTACCCCAAAATCCACCCAAACCAGAGCGCAGTTTTGCAGAACCAGAACCAAGTGGGCCTTCCTTCTCCTCTCCCCCTCGAGAACCTTCTCCTCCTCCCAGGGAACCCTCCCCACCCCCAAGGGAGCCATCACCACCCCCCAGGACACCATCACCTCAGTTGCCAAAGGTTCAGAGGAGTGAACCAGAACCTCAGCTTCCTCGAGCCAGGAACCTCCTGGCACAGGGACTTCCTCCAAGACAGGATTCGGACGAGGAGAATAACAACGAAGATGAATGGGGAGAAGGTAAGGGCAAGTTTCTGTTAAACTGAAGCATATTTTGTATTGTATTTTAGGAGAATCATTTCTCATTTAGATTAAGATAGAATGAACAAGGAGTGTTTTAAAAATATTAGCTTGAGGCTGCGTAATTTCTTGTTGAAGGGATGTAAATCTATGATTTTGGTTTTGAGATATTTTGGATTTTTTTTATCAGGAACCTATTCTAATTGTAAGTTGATTTGTTAAAAAAAATATAAAAAGCATGAAGCATCAAGTTCATCTTATATTTAAGTCTTTACATCTGTACTTTAAGGATGTACCATTTTTCATAATCTCCCTTTTCCAGTTTTTAATCTATTCTGTTTTCAGGCCATTTAATCTCATTGCAATGTACATGTGAAATGTGATACTATTACATGGTATTGAAATTTAATTTGAACAATTGTAACAGTAACTTTTATTAGAAAATTAGTGATACTTAGATATTCTAACTTTCCGTAATAATCAAATGTTATTTAGTACAGAAAATTATTGTTATAGACTTTATGAATATAGATTTATTTAAAATACCACACACTCAGGGTTATACTAGGTTACTAATTCATCCATCTCTCCTTTGATTTTTCAGTTCATCTTGCACAAAATTTCTGAAATTATTATTAGTTTCATTCCTTTTTCTCTGAAGACAAGAACTTAAATCTCTTCTTTTTTCTTTGTTTTTTTTTTTTTCAGGGGAGTGAGTACATGCAGTAGAATGACTGGTATTATAATTTTTTTTACCTTTCATTAGATAATGCTGAAGAACCACATATCCCAGCTGTGGTGTCCCACCCCCCTCCAGATGAGGATCAGTACCCTCCAGAAATGTCCCCTACTCAGAATGGGCATGACCAGTATTACGACGACCAAGAACAACAGCAGCAGTACCAGGGAGAACAGAACACCTCTGGAATCCTGCCAGAACATGGACTGTGTGCCCGGGCACTGTATGACTATCAAGCAGGTATCTATGTAGTAGTGTAAGATACACATCGCATCGTACTACATGTAGCTCTGACTAGTGGTTTAACCCTTTACCTCAATCGGTAGAGCACTGGATTGGCATGCCAGAAGTCCTGGGTTCAAATTCATTTGGAGGCACATACATGTTTCTGTTATATACATAATAAGGTGGATATTTACCATGATAATGGAAGGATAAAACATTCATAGATAAAGAGAAATATTCACCTTACTGGAAACAAAGTTTATCATACATGTACATGTACTAAGAAATCCAGGCATGTGCTCTATGAAAGAGGCATATAAATTTTCACTTTGTGAAAGAATGATGTATTTATGGCATAGAAATAGGGAAGTTGAATTTGCCATGCATGCCAATGTAAACGTTGTCTTCAATAAATTAATTTCCTTACTCATTAGTGTACCTAAATCTGTATTTTATTTACACTGTATAAATAATTTTATTCACAGCGGATGAATCTGAAATTACCTTTGATCCAGACCAAATCATCACAAACATTGAACAAATCGATGAGGGATGGTGGACAGGGATGGGACCAGACGGAAGCCATGGGATGTTTCCTGCTAATTACGTGGAATTAATTAATGGATGAATGTGCCTTGCCACTTTTAATGAAGACTGCTGATCTAAGTGATGAATAAAAGTTTATATCCACTGACATAGACAGTTCAAAATCCATGTAGAAGATATCATGATTTGAGTATTTAGGAAATATTGTAATTGATATGTTCAAGTAATTTTATCGTTGGCAATTGTTATTGATAAGGGAAAAGGAATGGTATATACATGTAAGAGCTTAGCTTTTCTATAAGATTGGTGGAATTAATCAATTTTATGCAATGTAAACAAGCACGCCCAGCTTTTATTTATACAGTGATCCCTCAAGGACGAAGTATTCTATTCCTCTTACATATCACATACATGTACGTGTACTTTATAGTTGGTGCATGTTTAATGTTTATTATTTACACTAAAAAATCATTCAATGATTCATGAATTGGAAATATACATTGTACATGTTTGTGCATGTTTGGTTAGTTAAAAGCAATGAATATTTACATGTATAAACATATTTCCTTCATTTTGAGATATTTAATCAACACACTTGCTATAATTAATCTTACAAAAGCTAGTCTTAATTGTCTCTGTTGAAAATCCATAATAACTCTTAGATAGTTTTATTTGTAGATTGTGATATAAGAGTTTTTGTAAACATTCTGCAGTATTTTGTGTGTAAGTGCTATAAACTGACTGTATATGCTTTATTTTTTTAATGATAAGTGTAAAAGGAATGTGAAGTGTTTTCTGCATTTTGATAAACTGGTTGAAAAAATTTAAAATTCGTTGCAAAGAAACACCATTTAGTTAACAGGTATACATAAGCAATCTTTTTTTTTATATACTCTGTATATATAAAATCAGATAATTTTTAGCTGTTCTTATTTTGTATATGTATGATGCAAGTATATACACACTACAAAATCTCATCAATTGTAATTCCCAGAATATCCATTTTGCATACATATTAATCATACGTATCCAAGAGTACATGAACATGTATGAACTGTGTATACATTGGGTAATATATTTCTCAGCTCAGCTGATTTGCAGACTGAGAAGCTTATTTTGTACAGGTGTGTTTTTCGTTAAGTTATCCACTGGTATAATAATACATTTTTATTTTTTTTTTCTAAATGTATACAGTTTGAGATGCATTTTTAAGTATTCACAGCTATACAGTTTAGGTAGGACAGAGTAACATTTGCATCAGAGCATTGGGATGCATGTTTTGTACCTGAAAAATTGACATCATATCGGTATGCATACTTAGTGGCGGATAAAAGTGTTTTATATAACTTCTACATCTATACACATTTGTTTACTAACAAAGTATGATATTAGCTAGAAAAAAAAATGAACATAAGAATGATATAAGCAACTGATATCTAGCTGTCACCTGATTTTTAACTGAAACAATCCTGTGTACTGGATGTGAATATATAATAAATTATTTGATAAAATTATTCAAATCATTAATCTGTTACCCCCCTTACCCCCCCTTCACCCCCCCCCCCCCCCCCACTGGGGGGGAGGTGACTGCTAATAAAAGTTGTTAACCCTGTCAAAGATCTACTAGCCCTGAGAGAAAAACTTTAAAAATATAATTTTAAGCTCACCTCAACGAAGTTGGGGGAGCTTATGTAATACCCTCGTCATCGGTTAAAGTTTTTGATGCAGTTTTCTTTTCAAGTACTTCTATGCCCTATATTAGTCAGAGATGCATGGAGGATGTTTCCAATATGTTTCATTGTACCAGTCAAGGTTTCAGATGCTGCAATTTCAGCTAAAGAATGACCAGGTTAATGTTTTTGGACCAGGTTAATGTTTTTGGACACTACTGGACTTGCTTCAGATGCTGGATCTGACCTATATTTTCTGGATGAGTGACCTGGCATGGATGATGCATCAAGGGACAAACACTCTCAAACTTGCTTCAGATGCTGGATTTGACTTACATTTTCTGGATGAGTGACTAGTTTTAAGTTTTTAGATAAGTCCATTCCCAAGTAACTGCAAGCCCTATCAGACCAAAATTGCATAAATATTTGCATCTAGGGATGCACATTATTAGATTATTAGTTTAGTGTGGGACTTTGCCTTACTTAAAGACAACATTCATTGAGGTGAGCTCTGTAATCTCTACCTATGTTTTTAATTTCAATTATGATAATGTAGAGTAATGAGTTGTGCACCTTGACTTGGACTTCTCTACCAGTATGACCAGCCAATTGGAGACAGATTTATAGCCTTAATTTAAGTTTTGATTGCATGGTTATATGATTTAATTCTGGCTGTAACATGCCATTTGTTTGGATAAAAAAAAATTACTTTATAACTTAGAAACTCTGTTGCCTATGTCACAATGACATGTAAAAAAACTTACCAATCCGCGTGACTTTACATTTAAATTTTGTACAATTTGAAGTCATTTTTAAGGACAATTCTATCATTTACTTGCACTAAATGAATTATTAATATTAAATTCATATAAGGAATGAATTTAAAGCTTAACCCAATTTATACAGTATAAACTGGTTTGGAACAGTTTACGCTTTTTATAAACCACTTTGCAGTTTATAAAACTTAAACTGCCCCAAACCAGTTTATACCATGTAAATTGGGTAGTTATTAAATTCATTCTTTTAATTCTAACATGTACTGTATCTTGTGAACCTTATGTGTGACATGCATCAATCTAAGTACACTGGTACCCCCTGAAAATTGATTTTCAAGTCATAGGGTTGAGATCATGACACAGATCCCCTGACTAGTACGTAACCCATATTTTTACAATCGTTACAAACATTGAAAATTTTGAAGCATATCCTTCTTATTGTTGCCACACAGGGGGCGTATATGGCTCTACAAGAGGTCTACGAGAATGCAGGCATGCAGATTTAACTGCAGTCTCCACAGTGGCTTCATGTCCTGAGATCCCCTGCCTGGTGTTCTTATAGAATCGCTGCTAAAACATGGAGATATGGTCATTCATTGACCAAAATTTTCAAAAATTCTTTCTTCTGTACTTATACCCCCTGCAAACAAAGTTTTGGGCATCACCTTGTCCATCTGTCTCTGCAAACGTGTCTTGTCCATATCTTTCTTACTGAAGAACATTAGAATCTTCTACTTCACACAAAGATTGTTCATGACCTGAGGGTGTGTCATGACCTTGAACCAAGGTCATTTCAGCAGTTCAAGGTCACTGAAAGAAAAATTTCATAATTCATGTCCAGTCCGTATCTTTCTTATGGATTAACTTGGTAAGTTCCCATTTTACACAAGATTGCTTATGACCAGAGGGTGTGTCATGACTTTGACCCAAGGTCATTTGTGCAAGTTCAAGGTCACTAACAGAAAAAGTTCATAATTTGTGTCCAGTCTATATCTTTCTTATGGAGAATAATGTAGGGATGTTTGGATCGAGTTTCCATTTCACACAAAGATTGCTTATAATCTTGACTTGGACTTCTCTACCAGTATGACCAGCCAATTGGAGACAGATTTATAGCCTTAATTTAAGTTTTGATTGCATGGTTATATGATTTAATTCTGGCTGTAACATGCCATTTGTTTGGATAAAAAAAAATTACTTTATAACTTAGAAACTCTGTTGCCTATGTCACAATGACATGTAAAAAAACTTACCAATCCGCGTGACTTTACATTTAAATTTTGTACAATTTGAAGTCATTTTTAAGGACAATTCTATCATTTACTTGCACTAAATGAATTATTAATATTAAATTCATATAAGGAATGAATTTAAAGCTTAACCCAATTTATACAGTATAAACTGGTTTGGAACAGTTTACGCTTTTTATAAACCACTTTGCAGTTTATAAAACTTAAACTGCCCCAAACCAGTTTATACCATGTAAATTGGGTAGTTATTAAATTCATTCTTTTAATTCTAACATGTACTGTATCTTGTGAACCTTATGTGTGACATGCATCAATCTAAGTACACTGGTACCCCCTGAAAATTGATTTTCAAGTCATAGGGTTGAGATCATGACACAGATCCCCTGACTAGTACGTAACCCATATTTTTACAATCGTTACAAACATTGAAAATTTTGAAGCATATCCTTCTTATTGTTGCCACACAGGGGGCGTATATGGCTCTACAAGAGGTCTACGAGAATGCAGGCATGCAGATTTAACTGCAGTCTCCACAGTGGCTTCATGTCCTGAGATCCCCTGCCTGGTGTTCTTATAGAATCGCTGCTAAAACATGGAGATATGGTCATTCATTGACCAAAATTTTCAAAAATTCTTTCTTCTGTACTTATACCCCCTGCAAACAAAGTTTTGGGCATCACCTTGTCCATCTGTCTCTGCAAACGTGTCTTGTCCATATCTTTCTTACTGAAGAACATTAGAATCTTCTTCTTCACACAAAGATTGTTCATGACCTGAGGGTGTGTCATGACCTTGAACCAAGGTCATTTCAGCAGTTCAAGGTCACTGAAAGAAAAATTTCATAATTCATGTCCAGTCCGTATCTTTCTTATGGATTAACTTGGTAAGTTCCCATTTTACACAAGATTGCTTATGACCAGAGGGTGTGTCATGACTTTGACCCAAGGTCATTTGTGCAAGTTCAAGGTCACTAACAGAAAAAGTTCATAATTTGTGTCCAGTCTATATCTTTCTTATGGAGAATAATGTAGGGATGTTTGGATCGAGTTTCCATTTCACACAAAGATTGCTTATAATCTAAGGGTGTGTCATGATCTTGACCTATAGACACTGCAGGAAAAATGGATGAATAAATAAATGCATCCATACAAAACAATGTTATTACAGTTGGAACTTCGGTATCTCGAACACTGATATCTCGAATATCATGGATATGTTGAAGTGATTTGGAAGTCCCAATCGCTTATTCCCTAAGTATTTTACCCTGGATATCTCGAACCCTCGGATATCTCGAAATATTATCTCTGTCCCATGGGATCAGAGATAGCAAGGTTGACTGTATTAGTATTGATGTTTTATTAAGCTGCGCCTAAGTTTCATTCATTACAAAAATATAATGAGCAATTACCAGTAAATTTTCAATCTAAATCTTTAAACAAATTGTGAACACCTCTTAGATCCATCAAATGCTAGTATTGGTGACTTGGCACCTTCTCTGAAAAACTCAGCGGGAGGTATTTATCCATTTTGAACAGTCCTAGTTTCAATTAATATACTGTTCCTTAGAATAGACCTGGATTTGAATTTTGTAGGATTCTGCTTTATTATAAATACATGTATGGCCCTTTCCGACTGTGCATGCACAATAAGCACAAAAAAACAAAAACAAAAAAAAACATAACATATTGTGTAGTGCATTCAATATTCAAAATGCTTTCCTAATAGATTTATGAATTCCAGTTAAGACAGGATTAATGGAAGCACAAACACCATAAACATATCATGGCTAGCATCCATTGTAAACTGGTATGAGATACAGACTAGAATGTAAATATTGATAACAGTTTATTATTTCAAGATAGCGTTTTGTTTAACAGGTGTATAGGTATTTCTGTTCACAATATAAATATATAACAAGGATAAAAAATTTATAGCACAAGAGAAAAAAATATATCATACATTGTAGCGTTAATATCTATACATTATTTAGAATCCTAAAAACCTAATACCTAGCTAGCACTTTTTTTCTGATTGATATATGTAAACTGACTTTTATATACAACTTTGAACTGAGCTATAAAACGCATTCTCGCAGTTAATTTTTGCAAACACACGTCATGTACTTGGCAATATATATTTACAAGTAAGTTTTGATTTTCAATAGAATGTTGTAAATCTTTTATTTGTCGCTCCCACAAAATAAATCACGTACAGTATTCAACAAAAATTAAATTGATCAAAATTACTATTATTTATAAGAAAATTTTCAGAAGTGACCTTGCTTTGGCCATTCACTCTCACGAGGTTAAGAACCCCCCTCGCCCCCCCCCCCCCCCCCACCCCAACTCCCATACAAAAGATGCATGATATTATTTAAATATTTTACATGTATCAAAATGGAATATACTGTGAAATCACTTATTTTTGTGTTGGGGGGGGGGGGGGACTTTGTTTTGTTTTTTGAGGTATGAAGAGACCCACTAATTCATGTTCTCCAAGCAATGTAAAGAACAAACACATAATTTTCTTCACTTCTCAAACCATGAAATCAAATCCCCACGATCCAATTTTTTATCCCCAAACCTCCAAAATTTGAACCCCACAAAACAAACGATTTTACAGAAGGTCCAAGGAGCTCAACCCTCATACAATAAAAAAAATATACTTGTAACTTACTATCTGTTGAAACTGCATATTTTATAACATTTGAACATTATTGGGCCACCAGAAAAATACATGTAGTTTTTGAAACAGAAAATTTGTGGACAGACAAACATTGTTTACCTTAGAGTACCACATATCCCTGTTAAGATTAAAAATGCATATAAACATATGTTTGTCAAAAATATTGCATCTGACAGTGCATTATAAAGGTTTTGGGGGCATGCAAAAACCCACACGACATATCATATGTTATATATGTAAAATGTAATAATCATATTTAACATTTGCAGCACATGTCTGTATATATATATATATATATATATATATATATATATATATATATATATATATATATATATATATATATATATATATATATATATATATATATATATTAAACTGATAGCAATAACATGTAATGATATATTGCAACACTAAGCAAACTTTCAAAAAAAAAAAAGCATGTAATCAAATAAAATATTTGAAACTTGATTTACACTTAAATAATGTTCAAACAAGTTATAGTGTGCATTTAATGCCACAAAGACACTCATGGAAAATCCACAGCATATTTCTCTGCCCTTAACTTTTGACCATCCTTTAAAACACACAGAATAAAGTGTGGCACTACTAGGAATGTTCCACACAAAAGTTCATAATATGGCACGTACCATACAGGTCAATATTATTCCACAGAACTATGATACCTCCTAGGGTACAGTGGATTGTAATTGTATTACATGTGGCTGTGTATTATTTTTAACCCTTCTGGCAGAAAGCAGCATAGCTAGATCAAGTATAGCTAAATGTCATTATATTCATATATTTTATTTATAGCACATTCAGAAATGTGCTATATCAAATCTATGCTTACTTGTTAAAATGTCTTTAAAAAAAATATCCACAGAACTACAGGTATATTACATTTTCATATACCTACAGAACTAGTTTTGATGCATAGATTACCAATAATATCTGTAATATGTAATGAATAAGACATAAAATGTTTAACAGACTTTACATTAGTTAGTAAACAGTGTATTATTTTTTAAATTACCCCCCCCTTTTTTTTTTTTTTTTTTTTTTTTACATATCTCTGATGTTGAAAAAATTCAGAAGCCTAACCTCACAATTTCATCTAATATAATAAAATCATTTTCATTGTAAATGGCTACATCAAAAAAGAGTCTGATATAGAATTTTCCCCAGTACAATATATGTAGTCTGTTAAATATCTGGAAGCAAAGTGATGAAAAAACAAACTTTCTAGCAATTACTTCAACAACAACAACAACAAAAAAAAACCTATAAAATTTTACTGCAAAAGAATATCTATCTTTCACTGTCTATTTATTTTTTGTATGAAAAAAATTTATCTGAAGCTACAGGAAATGTATTTATGTATACTGGCAAGACTACAGTAATTTCCTTTCCACCTTAACAAAATATTTGTTGTCATAGCTCCTTCTTCAGTTTAGTTGTCATGAATACTTCATCAAAAAGTTCAATTATTTTCTATGCTTACACTATCTACAGATCATCATAGTACGATTAAACATAATAATTTTTTTGTGGCTGCTGCGAGAAAAAGAGAGCTCAGAACTACCTTATCTACACACCACTTCTACTGTGAAAATAAGCCAATTTAAAGTGACTATCACCCCGTGCAAAAAAATAAATAATCTTAATATGAAACAAATAACTGTAAAATATTGACTCTATTAATTAAGATCAGTGAATCCTTAGAAATTTGGAGCACCTTTCAATGATCAATTAGGATACATAAGATACTGTGCATATACAGTCCAAAAAGACAAATAATTTATAAAAATTCTCAACATTCTCAGCAAAATTAATTATAAATCATGTAAAGTAAATCAATGATCAATTAGGATACATAAGATACTGTGCATATACAATGTAGTACTAATGACAATAACTAATACTGTAAAATCATATATTTTTCACGGGGTCAAATTTTTCGTGGTTTAAGGACATATGCAACGTACCTTACCTACTGATAATTTTTCAAGATATTCTTAATTTAAGATTATAATGCCATCAGATGTTGGTAGACAAAAATTTAGCATGCATTACCAGGGGTTTTGAAAAGATACCAATTGATGAAAATTCTTGTATAATTCAAAGAAAAATATACAAAAAATACTAAACATATATTCTAAATGTTTTGTTTATCCAAACTTGTTTTACAAGAAGTATTTGAAATTTTACATTTCATGGGGAATGAATTTATGGGTCTCCTTTTACCATAAACAACAAAAATTAAACCCCAGCGAAAGTTAGTGATTTCACAGTACCTGTGCATCTGATCATTAATGGTATCACAAAATGGTATATGAACTATTACATATACATGTATAAATCAATCCCAAAATTTGCATGAATGGCACTTCTTAAACATTCTGACTATATATGGTGTCAAATGTCATAATAATTGTTAAATTAATAAAAAGAAGTAAATAATTTGAACTCGTAAATTAATTCTATAAATGAACTAGCTATTTTGTCAGTTAATTGTTAAAGCTTGTGATCTCAGCAAATGCACGTGTACGATCAATAAAAATATGTTGGAACATGGAAGACATAATTTTTGTAAAATGTATGTACATGTATATATATAACTACATGTATATGTTCTGATGGTTAAGAATGTCATATTGGAAATGTAAACATAATATTTACATATACTGTATATCAAATAACAGAAAACTTCTGGGCTGCTATACATGGTGTAATTATTGTTTAATAAGGTGCAAAAAAAATGTAATTTGTCAACTCAAGTAACCATTAAATACAGTACTCAATATCAGTACACAATGGTGTAAAATTTGGAGATCACCACTGAAGCATAAACAGAAAATACCTGTACATAATGCCTAGAATGCCATGTATGTAGATACATGTACATAAATGTACACAAAAATTAACTTTTCAAACTCCAAAACAGTTGACTATAACAGCATATACATTGTACCATATTATCCATACTGAACAAGCTACATCTATATCATGCAAAAGTCATGTATATATAAAACACTTAATGAAAAACTGAGTGAATAATCTTACACAGAAAGATAACTAATAGGCACCTCAAGGGTTGACATAAACATAAAACAATCCAGAACTAACAAAAAACCAAATAGAGGAAAATCAAAACTATCTACCTCAACTTAGTGAGAGATATAAATAAAACTGCCCATACAATTGCTATTAATCACAAAATATACACAAAATTCAAATGATTTTTAAAATAACCATAGTTTATGAACATAATATCACACATGGTTCACTTGAGCCGGGATATTTCTTGGAGGTATAGGCAAAGACACCAAACCAGTCCTCTCGGTGACACAGCCAGACTGAACCGGAGCCTTGCACATTGGACACATGTTTTTATGGTGTAACCAATCAAGAAGACATCTAAAGACAAGAGAAAAGAGTCATTATTGGAAGTAGTAGTCAGTTCTATTATTGTTCAAAATACTTGTGTACAAGAAAGCCACAGTCTTCAAACATAGGTAATCAAAGATTACAAAGCTCACCTCGACGAATGTTATCTACATGTAAGGCAAATTTCACATATTTTTTTTCTAGTTAGGCTACATCCCAAGATCAATATCCATGCAAGTTTGATTTAATTATAGACCTGCTCAAAAAACTTTTGACCTGTTTAGTAATCAAGAAAATTTGGTCAGTTCCAACATCCAAAGCAAGTCTGGAAGTTTTCATCCTTAGATGCACCATCTATGCAACTTTAATCATAACAGGCCATAATATTATATAGCTACTCCAAAAAAATTACCCTGGTCACTCATCTGGAAAATGTACGTCAGATTCAGAATCCAAGGCAAGTCTGGAAGTGTCCATCCCTAGATACATCATCCATGCTAATTTGGTTAAAATATGGCTAAAATTCACTCATGTGGAAAATCTAGGTCAGATCCAGCATTCGAAGCAGGTTGGTTAGTGTACATCCCTAGATGCATCATCCATGAAAGTTTGGTCCAGGTAGGGCTTATAGTTACTTGGGAACGAGACTACTCCTAAATCTAAACCTGGTCTCACATGTGGAAAATCTGGGTCAGATCCAGCATCCGAAGCAAGTGTGGTAGTGTCCATCACTGGATGCATCATCCATGCAAGTTTGGTCCAGGTAGGGCTTATAGTTACTTGGGAATGGACCTGCTCCTCAAACTTTAACCTGGTCACTCATCTGGAAAATCTAGGTCAGATCCAGCATCTGAAGCAAGCGTGGTAGTGTCCATCCCTAGATGCATCATCCATGCAAGTTTGGTCCAGGTAGGGCTTATAGTTACTTGGGAATGGACCTGCTCCTAAAACTTTAACCTGGCCACTCATCCGGAAAATCTAGGTCAGATCCAGCATCCGAAGTCAGTGTGGCCATGTCCATCCCTAGATGCATCATCCATGCAAGTTTGGTCCAGGTAGGGCTTATAGTTACTTGGGAATGGACCTGCTCCTAAAACTTTAACCTGGTCACTCATCCGGAAAATCTAGGTCAGATCCAGCATCCGAAGCAAGTTTGGTAGTGTCCATCCCTAGATGCATCATCCATGCAAGTTTGGTCCAGGTAGGGCTTATAGTTACTTGGGAATGGGACTTGCTCCTAAAACTTTAACCTGGGACGCCGACGCTAACGCCGACACCGACGCTGACGCCGGGGGTATAGCATAAGCTCATCTCGACTTCGTCGAGGTGAGCTAAAAAGGACATTATAATTTCTTTAAATGCTGTAAAATTCCAGAAAAAAAGTAATTTCCAACTGGAATATATGCACTTTTTTATCTACAATTATTCCACACAGGGAAATTTTTGTTCCTCTTTTATTTTTTGCTTCTTTTGCCCTCATCGTCAGTGGGAAAATTCAAAACTGGGCATATATACAATACAGAGTTATCTCTCTTTAACACAACTTTAAATTGAGTAAAATTGTTTGCAAGTGTGATAGGGTGAAAATTACAGTACATTGGCCAAAAATAACCCTGTAATTATGCTACAGTTTGTTCTTTATTAGCAGGCTAACTACAGAAGAAAATTTCAGTTCAAAATACACACCGAACATTAATTTATTTTTAACTTACTTCATGTGAAAGCAGTGGGTACATCGGCAAACAGCTATGTACTCTTTCAGTTCAAAATCTTCTAAACAAACTGGGCATGTCTATAAAAGAAAACAGAATAAAAAATAAAATCTTATAAAATGTTCATCAAAGACAAAGCAAGGCCAATGTAAGAGGGAAAGGGATGGTTCTATTAATAGTAGTGCTGAAGCATTGTTTCGTTTAGTCTGCAAAGTGAGAGTGACAATTTGGGGCAAGTAGAGTTGTCACTGAGTATCAGACTAAATATTTTGCTGATCCCTGATCATCCTTTTTCTCTTGCTTTTGGGCAACATAGCTTCATCTACCAGTGTATGTTGTTTTATTTTACACTTCTTTGGGTCCTTTATTTGTATTATACTCATTAACTGATGGTATCTAAATTGATGTTCATTTATGCATTCACTTACCTCATTTGCTGCCTTTTTTCTACTGTTAAATCTAACCTATAATATACAGGTCAATTGATTTCAAATTAAAATGTGTTAACAAGGATTCTAAAATGTGAAGAAAAATATAGTAATTCTGAACATCTTGAAGTACATAAAATACATGCAATTTGACACATATTCAACAAATTCTGAAACATATCAATTACTAAATCAACTTTATAAGCTGTCTGTTTTATCACAACATTTTACACACACAGCAGTAAAATACAAATTATAGTAAAATTTGTAATGAGCACTTATTAATACAATACTTCAACAGTGTAAAGTTGCATATATAAACAGTTTCCTAGGTCAGGAAATTAAATAATTACCCTCCTATATCCTTGTTCTTGTTTTGCCTTCCATCTCAATCTGCAAGGTTATTTAAACAAAAAGTAAACATAAACATGTTCAATAACATTTATGATAACATTTTTAAAAATAGAAATTAGAGGTACCGTTAGCACTGAGCTCAAAAAATTATGCCTCCTGCTCCCATCCGAGTATAATGACAAAGTGCATTTTTTCGCAGTATGTCAATGAGATTCTGTGAAAGTCCTATTGAATTTCCTTCAGGGATTTGGGAGGATGTTGTGATAACAAAATGGGTATTCCTTTTATGGAATATAATGGCAAAGACCATATTTTGCTATGGGAAAGCCAAAATATCTGTCCAATCAGAATGTAAAATAGGAGGTGCACAATGGCACTATGCAATAAAAGATTCTGTAAAAGTTATTAAATTTTATTCAGTGGTATACAGGTGCACAATGGCACTATGCAATAAAAGATTCTGTGAAAGTCTCATTAAATTTTATTCAGTGGTATACAGAGTTGTCCCTAAGACCCGGGAGCCAGGGAATTTTCCCACCTAATGGTGTAATCCCCCGGTTATTCTGGTATCCCCCTCAACCCCCTGTTCAGGGGAGAAACCCCAGATCCCCTTCTACTTTTTTAATTTCTCCTGCTATTTCAATATTATGGAAAGAATGGAAGTGTCCATATTTTGCTATGGGAAACCCCAAATAAAGTAAACTAGGAGATGCATGCACAATGCCACTATGTAATACAGATTTTGTGAAAGTTTCATTTAGATTCATTTAGTGGTATAAGAGGAGTTGCAAATAAGGGATGGCTACCCCCAAGTGTAAGGGATGGACATATGGAACGGACAAACATCCTAATCACTATATATACCCCCCTTTTTTCAAGTGGGGAAAAAGGTACCTTTACTGGTTTGTACTTATAACAAAGGAAGACAAAAGTAGCACTTAGACTTGAACTATGGCAACAGCAATAAATGGAATAATGATCCTTGGTTTTGTCTCTTTCTGAGGTAAGCTTTACGTTAATTGCAATTAGACTAAAACTGGAGGAGGAGTAGGGTTTAGAAAGAATTTCATAGATATTCTTTTCTTAGTTATCGCAGCAACACCATTCATTGAAATCAAATATTTTAAAACTGATATACAGACTGAATTATGTATCTTAATTTTGTTTACTTGTGTAGAAAGTAGCACTGAAATCAGGTTAAAACTGTAAGAGAGGTAGTGTTAAAGAATTTCACAGAATTTTCAATTTTTAGTAACCATGGCAACATTGTTCATGGAAGTCAAAAAACAATATACGGAATTATGTATCTTAGTGTCGTCTACCTTAGTGAACTAAGTTATACTGGTATTGAAATTGGACCAAAAGTGTAGGAGGAATAGCATTTTGAAATATTGTTTACAAACAAACACACAAACAGCTAGATGGACAGATGACAGACACCTATCACATAAGCTCTTCTGGTCTCTGACCAGAAGAGCTAAAAAAGAGAAACAGAAACTGTGTATATACTGTATGCGTATTGTGTATCATACACTTGATACAAGCATTTTGAGATATTTATCTAAATAAATCCATTTCCAATTTGTCAGATTTTCACCTACATCCATACTTATTGTCTCTGATTTTAATTCTTTATTATTGGATCAGCAATTGAGTATGTGTTAATCATTATTTTTTAACTCACCTCCACATGTAACAGCAGAATATCAGACTAAGGATAAGAGATAATGCTCCAATACCAAGCAGCGGCAAGGAGATGTTCGCAGGAAGGTTATCGACCATCTTATGTTGACTTACATTGTGTCCCTGTTAACTATAAATACAGACAAATTAGGTCGCTGTCCAAATTGCAAGTCCATAACCCAGGTAATTTTTACAAAGTTTTTATTCAACTCTCATTTTCTTTAATTTTCGTTAACTTGAAAATCTAAAACCTAAACCTAAAGGCTTGGAGCTTTAGGGGACTTCTTCCCCTGTACCCCACCTGGGCTTTGCCCTGGACCCACTGCACATGGTGACCCTATGGTGGACCCCCTGCCTTGATTCCCCCTTTTAAAGAATCCTGGATCTGCCACTGATCTTAACATAAAAGCAGAAAACAAACATTGTTAAAAAATCTATTTTAAGTGTTCTTTCTTACTAGCCATTATTTCAATATGCAGGACTTTTGTACTTCTCCAGTAGTTAGGACATAAACTAATTCAACAAAGTCTACATTTCCAGTATTCAAGCAGCCAATTCATTTGTAGTTCAAGCAGCCAATTTACCTGTGTTTGAACCTCTTATGTATTGAAAAACAATTAAGGATCACTTTGGTCTAGGTGATCTGACTGGTCCTCCCTGTAGTATATAATTACATATATGTACATGCAGTCTCGACCTCAACATCACTGAGCTTTTGGATATCTCAGATTTATTTGACAGAAAGTCCATCCATATTCAAAATAAATATTCAAGGGTTTCAACAGTACAATTATGATTTTTATAGATATTCTTATTATAAGTTTATGAATTAATTATCACCAACTTGTGAAGTTGACAATTATCAGTTTACAATTATGAATACAAGTAAATTGAAACAATCTTAGAATGAATTTCCCTGTCATATCTACAATAAAATGACCAGATAATGACCAGAAAATGACATCTTCTTAAAATTCGCAAGCTTCATAGATAAAAGAACTTAACTTCACTGTAATAATTCTTTTTTTTCCAGAATTCGTCTCTTAATTTGTATAAGAAAGAAAAAAGAAGGACAAAAATTTCTAGACAATAAACTGGTTGACAGAATTAGAATACAAAATTTCTAAGGCATGCCCACCTGCTATTTTGGCAATAAACATGCACATGTAGAGTTTTGGCTGTATATATAATCACCCAGTTATGTCAAGAAACTCACTAAATATACTTTTCTATACGACTGGTGCAAGCTATAATCAAAACAATTACTAGAGTTAATTGTCATGTCTCACGTAATTATATGTATCCTGTACAAAGTTCATCTAACGCTTGGGAAAGTTTCTCCAGTGCCCGACTTCTTGGAAGGTCTTGGTTTTCCACAGTTAGTAACAAGTCTATAGTTCTGATGAGATGCCAGATAACAGATAAGATTCTCAGAGAAGCCATGACAAGATTTCTTGATCTGGGACAAGTGTAGAAACTACATTTTATATACTGTATTCATGTGCTTCATTATGTCATGGAGAACCAGCCTAGACTCTTTGAGTTATAATAAGCAATGGATTAATCAGGAAAACAGGCCTATGAGCAAGAATGCTCACATGAGTGAAACTGTATTTTTTACTGCATGAAAAATCAGATATTTACAGAGGTCTAAACTTGGCTGGAGGACATATTAAAGATTATTTCATATACATACTTGTATTATATATTAATCATGTTTATGTCCTTGGTGATTTTGAGAAAGTATATGCTTATTTAAAACAGGCATGGCTTTATATATCTAATACATTTTTTTTAAATTAAAAATCTATGGTCCTATGCAAATCTAATCTCCTAAGATACTGAAATAATGTATTTTTCAATATTGTCTTCATGTTCTAATCTTTCTTTCATTGGAGAGTAATTCTGCTTTTTTTACAAATATATACATGTAGTTACTTGATTCCCCTTTACCCACAAATTTCTAGGACCATTAGATTAGTTTAAAATATCCCTTTGTTCATCATGTTCATTGTCTTTATTGAGAATGTCATGAAAATTTTAGGAAGTCCCGGCAACATATTCATTTCTATCTCACAAGCTCAATAACTTGTCAGTAAGCTGACATAGCAGCTTGAACAACAGCTTAGATTTCTCCAGTTAGTTTTGTCCAGCTGGAGTGGCTGTAGATGATGTACCCAATGTTTACAGGACCCAAGCCAAGGTCTGAAAATCAAATGATTTAAATTCCTCCCTATAGCCAAGAGGAGAAAATTGCAGCAGAAAATGTAATTACAGAACAGTAATAACCTCACTACTGAGGAATTTTTTGTGACCCAGTTATTAAGACAAAATAGGTCACATAAGTTGTCTTGAACACACACAGTGAGAATGGTGAGTGCATGTTGCATTGGATGTTACTATTTCATTATACAACATATCTTCCACTGTCAAAAGTTGACAAAATGGCTAGAAAATAAGAAGGTTAATCTCATTCAATCAAAACTATTTTAAAAGGTAATGATTACATTCACATTATATCCTTTTACTTTCCTTGAAAACATGAGCAACCTGCATCATGTTTAACCTACCCGTCAAATAAAGCAACACTTCTCCATCAAAACTGCTGCATCATTCTAAACCACTACATCTACACCCAGACCTGTTAATCTTAAGGTTTTTCTGTAAAACATATACTTAACTCAGACAATCAATCAATGCCTCTTGTTGGTGACAGAAAGATAGGCAGAACCATATTTGCTAGTTATTGGAAAGATTTAAAGAAATCAAATACAATCGTCCAACAAAAGTTAAAAGATAAGAAAGGCAATCATTTTGTAGGAGAAGCGCTTGAACATTTTTCCTAGACATGTTCTAAATCTAGATGGAGGAAAGTTCAAGACATGGACACAATAGGATGTTCATGTGCAGTGGTGGGTCAATCTTTGACAGATTGAATCTGTCTAGAGAGCGTCTAGAGAAGAGGGCGGGGGTGGGGGGTGCTAGAGGTTGTATGGCGAATTACAACCAATTCATCTCAAAATTATGGAGAAGAATAAGACCTTCTATAGCACAGATGCATGGTAAGTAGTTTAAGTAAACTTCACAAAGTTTCGTAACCGTTGGTCATTGAGTCAGCTGATTCTGTCAAAATCTGTCAAAATTTACATTTTACCAAATAAACACCACAAAAATACCTGTTTTAAACACTCCAAATTAGCGCTCCTTTGTGCAAATCCCTGGGAAATTTTCAAAATAAGCAAACATGTTGGATTTAGCCATCTTTAATTGTCTTGCCAGCTTCTTCGGTCCAAATGCGAAAATATTTAGGTCAGTGGGATAGTCGCAAAAGTACAGCAATGCGTACATTCATCGAAAAGCACATAAAAGTTAGAATAATCAATACTCACAATCTTTATCTAATTTATTTCCTATTTCAGACATTCATAAGTATGTTCACTTATTTAAAATATCGAAAATAAGAGTTTAAAGTGTAGCGACAATTGTGTTTATGCCGAACCTATTTTCGATATGTGACCTAAATTGACACGGAAATAACGCGGGAAAGTACTTCATGGTGTTCACTGCGATCAACTTCAGTAAATGTAGTGTGTTTGCGTTATTAAAACCAGGAATCGTATTAAGTCAAATGAGTGGGCAGGCGAAAATTTCGGCTTTCTTCACACAGTCTACCAAGCGGACGATTAACAATGTCAATAATGGAGAAATCGGAGAAACTATGGTAAAATGGAGAAGGAGGGGGGGGGGGGGGATATCGATGACTACATGTATAGAGTGCTACTTACAAGCATGCATTGATAAGTGTTTGTCATCTGTCTGTCTGTCAGTAAACACTGAATATTAAGTGCTGCTACTAAAAGTTTGTATCTGATAATTTTAAAATGGATGCTATTTGTTTTGAAAATGTTCCCCCTTAATACATGTATATTGTTTCTCTGGTAAAATTAACAAGCAATGTGTTTGCATTGATCATGTTGATTAATATGATCGATTGCCAATAATTATGACCTCAGTCAGAGACTTAAGTTCTAGTCCCCATATTTGGAGTGCATGGTCTATATTAGACTCTAGTTGTATATTTGAAAATGAAATTTTAGCTCACCTGGTCGGATTTTTCTGATAAAAAAAAAATGTCTGTCATAGCCCTCTGTTGTTCAGCATTTGCATTATCTAAATGTCTATGAATTTTCTCAAATTTTTCAACTTTTTTCTAGTTATATATGTAACAATATGTGAAATGGCAAATCAAGTTCTTTTTCCAAATCATGACTCAAATTTGTTTTACATTTTTATCTTTTAGAATTGAGCAATTAGTTAGTCTAAGAGATGTGTATTGACATGACTTTTTTAGCTCACCTGAGCTGAAGGCTTAAGCCTTTCTGATGGAAGATTGTCCAGTGTCTGTCTATTTGTGTTGTACGTGTGTCATCTGTAAACTTTCCACATTTTTTACTTCTTCTCAAGAACCACTGGGCCAATTTCAAAAACTTTCCTTCTTACCAGTCATCCTTTTTATTGTAAATTAAGTTTGTACAAATAAAGGACCAAGCCCTCTTTCAACAGGCAGTAATTAACAATTACTGAATATTTAAATGCATCTCATAAAAATCTTCCCAAAAACCATTGGGCCAGAAAAATGAAACTTGCATGATTCTTTCATTAATGTAATTATGAGGGGTGATCAAAAAGTTCGCGAACTATCTCTGTATTTGCAAAACCACAATTCAGATCAGAATGAAATTTGGCACACATATAGGTATACACATGTTCTATAAATAGCATATCTTAAATAATGTTTTGCTCCATGTTTGTGATGTCACAGTGTGAAAATGACGTCAATATGTAGATCACTCGTGACAAAAAATGGTTGACTCAGTCGTACTCAAGCAATGAGCGTCTGTAAAGTTTAATATATATCTTGGAAATTCCTTTGCAGTAGTATATGATAATTTGTACACAGTTTATGGAGATAAAAGACTTGCCAGAAGTTTAATCATTAATTGGATTGATTGTTTTAGTGAAGGGAGATGATTAAAAATGATGTTTGTTACGTTGCCAAATGAAAGCAAGCTGGGGAAGAGATGTGTCCTTTGTTAAGCAATTTGTAATGAAAGATCGCCAGTTCACAATTAGAAAAATAGTTTAATATCTTAACAATGATATAATTATCAAGTCCCTAAAATATTGTTTACTTTAGACTTAAAACATATTAGATATGAAAAAAAGGAGTCACCCATACTTTATCCACATTTAATAAACCACTCTCCAAAGACAGAGGACTCGGGGTTGTGATGGAAATCATGCTCATTCTGGGAAAGCATATCATTATCCACCCATACTATTGCGGAAATTTGACCATTTCTGACAAATGGAGTGTTCTTGTTATAAGAAAATAACATGCGTGGTAAGAAATATAAGACTTGGGAAAATCCTTTAGCTTCTGTGACATGTCACGTGACCGCCTAGATCATGTGAATCGCGCATGTGCAGAACGGCAGATGCACATTAAATTTGGAGAGGATAACTTTAAAATATAATGAACACGGAAACTTAATATTATTTCTTTTATAGAAGTAATTCAATTAGTTCTCGAACTTTTTGATCACCCCTCATAGTAACGATCTTTCAAATCATGACCATTGCACCAAGGGTGGGGCCTTAAAGGCGATTTAAAGTTTTACATTGAAATATATAGGAAAACTTTTACGCTCAAGAAGAACAGCAAAGCCATGATTAGTCATATGGAAGCATCATCAGGTAGCGTACATTCAAGATTTATTCAAATCATGATCCCAGGGGGTAGGATGAAGTCACAATATGTGATCAAAGTTTTACATAGGAACACATGTATATTGAAAAAGTGGGGGGGGGGGGTCTGCTGATGGAGAAGTAACTCAGGTGAATGATGGTCCATGGGCCTTCCCTTTTTTTTCAATTTTGTTTTGTTTGTTTGTTTGTTTGTTATTTAAATCATAAAGGACAAGGAAAGTGACCCTGCTCAGAAATTTATTTGTAAATGTGGACAACTACAGTAACATGTTCCGATATGATTGAAGATGCTGGATGGCTACATATCATATGTTTTCAAATTCTCTCTTTAAGCCTAAAACACCAAGTCCAAAGAAGCTCAGAATGGATGAGAAAGGAGATGAAATCTCCTCCATAAAAGAGAATATAGAAAAAAGTCCCAACAGCAATGTACCATCAGTTCCATTATCTCCAGAACAAAAAGACAGGATAGAACAGAACAAGTTAGCAGCAAGAGCAAGACTAGCATCTAAGACATCTAATGGTCTATTGGTTGATGTAGGACCATCGTGGTTCAGAGCCCTGGAGAGTGAATTCTCAAAGGAGTATTTTACCAATGTAAGTATTTACATGCAAAGTACAGCAAATAAAGACTCCCATTTCAGAGTGAAGTTGCTTTCTACTGTTATTTAAGCAAAATAATGCACAATGGCTTTCTTAATGTTGGAGTGTATGTATATCTTTATATAAATATATTCAGTTGAACTTTGGTATCTTGAACATCCATATTTCAAATACCATGGATATGTTGAAGTGAATTGGAAGTCCCAGCCACTGCTTCTCTATGAATTTTAACCTCCATATCTCAAATCCTCAAAAGTTTTTCCTCAGTCCCTTAGAGTTTGAGGTAATAAGGTTTGACTGTATATCTTTGTTTTAATTTTAGCTATCAAAGTTTGTGATGTCTGAAAGAAGCAAGCATACCATATATCCCCCAGTGCATGATGTGTTTAGCTGGACCAACTATTGTAGTATTGACAAAGTAAGGATTTGTACAAGATCTAGAAAACATAGATGATAAGACAAGCATGATTTAAAGATGATCTTGGATTTTGCTTACAAGATTCTGACAAGTTAATAATGAGGTGTAACAAATTACTGTTATGATAAATCTGATTTCTCAACTTTCATTGCATAAATAGATGAGTATACAAACTTATGTTGTCTTATAGCATGATCAAGAGTTTCAAATTCATTTAAGGCTTGTGTTCACAGGTTAAAGTGGTCATCCTAGGACAAGACCCTTATCATGGACCCAAACAAGCTCATGGTCAGTGTTTATTATCCCCTCACAACGGAGTTGGAGGGGATATAGTAACATGCATGTGAGTGTGTGGATGAATGAGTGAGTGAGTGCATGTGTAACAGAAGTACAGTGAAACCTGTCTAATCCAATACGCAATGTGAGACAAATTATGTGTCAGAATGAAGAAGGTGTTGGATTACATAGTGTAAAGAATGTGGAAAATAATCAAATGGGACTGAATGAAAAATAAAGGTCAGAATTGCAGAGAAACTGATTCTACTGGTGTCAGATTAGACGGTTTTCTCTGTAATAGTTTACATCGAGATCAATGTGCTATTTTGTGAGGAGATGCTGTGCTTTGCGGGGCCTTTGTTGATTTCAAGATTTTGAGACTAAAAACAAGTAACTTATAAGCCCCCCTCCTTCACACTCACTCACTTGGTAAATCAAATTTCAGTCTTTCAGGGAGGTTTAAACAAGCTTATATTGATGAAAACTCGTACTGAAAATGTACAGTACTTCATGTATCAAAAAGTAAATGTACAGTTGCAAAGCAAGACAGAATGAGAGTGTGTGAAGTCAATGATATGCATATTATAACCAATTCCTAAAATATCTGGTATATGAGTTAACATTAAAAAAATCATCAGGAATCTGTACCATAATCATTTCTCTGATATTTCAGGTCTGTGTTTTAGTGTCCAAAAAGGAGTGCCACCACCACCAAGGTAGATGTGCATTTATTAGCTCTTCTGAGCCAAAGGCTCAAAGAGCGAATGCTATGGCCATTTGTGCGGTGTGCGGCGTGAGGTGTGCGGTGTGCGTAAACTTTTTAGAATATGGGCCATAACTCAAGAACCCCTTGGCCAATTATTGTCAAATTTGTCACAGGGTATCCTTGGCCCAAGGGCTCCCTTTTATACTAAAACTAGGGTTGTGACCCTTTAACAAGGGGAGATAATTAGGAAAATAGAAACAAAAGTACTGGTTGCTAAAAAATCTTCTTCTCAAGAACCACTGGGCAGATTATCATCAAACTTACACAAAAGGATGAGGATATGTTGTAGATTAAAATTTGCACGGGGATTTACCCTGGGGCAAAGGGCGTGGTCTCAAGGTCACTTCAAAGTTGACCAAAAATTACATTTTATTAAAATGTTGATATTTTGCTTACTATAAGGACTAGGATCATCAAATCTTGTCAGTTGATGCATCTAAGGGCCTCATATCATGTTGACTCAAAAGTAGGTCACGATGACCTACTTTTTAAATTTTGGGGCCATTCTTTTTCAAAATGATTTAGAGGCATATTTTGAACAATTTAAGGCCTATGATCATCAAACCTTGTCAGTTGATGTATCTTGGGTCCTTGAAGTACGTCAACTAAAAAATAGGTCACCTTGACCTACTTATTGAATTTTATGGCTAATCTTTATCAAAACAATTAAGGCCATTAATTCCAATACCAAAAGGTTTAGAATCATTAAAACTTGTAAGATGATGCATCTTGGGGCCATAAAACGTATTTATTAAAAAGTAGGTCACAGTGACCTACTTTTTGAACTTTGCAGGCATTCGATTTCAAAGCATTTTAGAGGCATAATTTGGACATTTTGAGGCCTATGATCATAAAACTTTGTAAGTTGATGCATCTTGGGTCCTCAAAAAACATCAACTGAAAAGTAGGTCACCGTGACCTACTTTTCAATTTATATGACTATAATTGAATATTTCAGGTACTAATTGACTTAGAATCATCAAACTTTGTCAGTTGATGCATCTTGGGTGTTCGGAGTAGGTCGACTGAAAAGTAGGTCACCGTGACCTACTTTTGAAAATTTATGGCTTTAATTAAATATTTCAGGTACTTATTGGCTTAGAATCATCAAACTTTGTCATTTGATGCATCTTGGGTCCTCTGAGTATGACAACTGAAAAGTAGGTCACCATGACCTACTTTTGAAAATTTATGGCTTTAATTAAATATTTCAGGTACTTATTGGCTTAGAATCATCAAACTTTGTCAGTTGATGCATCTTGGGTCCTTGGAGTACGACAACTGAAAAGTAGGTCACGGTGACCTAGTTTTGAAATTTTATGGCTGTATTTAATATTTTTCGGGTACTATTTGGCTTAGAATCATCAAAATTTGTCAGTTGATGCATCTTGGGTCCTCGGAGTACGACAACTGAAAAGTAGGTCACGGTGACCTAGTTTTGAAATTTTATGGCTGTATTTAATAATTTTCGGGTACTATTTGGCTTAGAATCATCTAAATTTGTCAGTTGATGCATCTTGGGTCCTCGAAGTAGGTTGACTGAAAAGTAGGTCACCGTGACCTACTTTTGAAAATTTATGAATTCAATCAAATATTTTGGGTACTAATTGGCTTAGAATCATCAAACTTTGTCAGTCGATGTATCTTGGGTCTTCAGAGTGCAACAACTGAAAAGTAGGTCACTGTGACCTACTTTTCAAAATTTATGGCTTTAATTAAATATTTCAAGTACTAATTGGCTTAGAATCATCAAACTTTGTCAGTTGATGCATCTTGGGTCCTTGGAGTACAACAACTGAAAAGTAGGTCACTTTGACCTTCTTATAAAATTTTATGGTTATAATTTTAAAAAAAAATTTTAGGTATTAATTGGCTTAGAATCATTAAACTTAGTTAATGGGTCCTCAGAGAATGACAAGTGATAAAGCAGGTCACCATGACCAACTCTCAGGTACTAATTGGCTTAGAATCATCTTGGGTTCTCAGAATGTGAACTGGAATTTCAAGGGTTTATCTAAATATAAAGGATACTTAGAGGCTTCAAATAGAAGTGATAGGTTGTACAGTTTATCAGAAGAGCGATTCAAGGTCCTTGGGCCTCTTGTTTTTATCCTGCTTAAAGGTGCTTGGACACCGATTTGAAGTTAATATTTTCTCAAATTTTCTGTATAATTTCATGATTTATATGTTGCTATAGCATTTCATACTAAAATATAATAAAAATCTTATTTCATCTCGAAGTTATTAAAACTTCAAAGAACTGGGGATGTTACGTATAACAAGGCAACCCTGTCTCCAAAGTTGATTTCAGTTTTATACAAACATGCCTATGATGTGTCCTTTCAAGATCATTTTATTTTTTAAAATTATCACATACCGTTTTTCCATCAGACGTCTCGAAAAATGGGGAGTTTTCTTTAAAAATTACAAATTTTGACGTGATAACGTCATCACAGCGTCACTGATTTTAACGTTAAGTTTAAAAAAAATCTGTAAATTCTCTGAACCAGAAACTATTTACTTTAATCTGCCTAAGTTCCAGAAAACAATTTTGAACTTTTATTTCAATTCATCGTACATGTATCTTTGATAGCTGGAAGGAGTGTAATAATTTGTAGGAAAATTTAATTTTTTTTACAAATGATTTTATAAGACAAGTAATGAACTTTGATTCATGTATACAGACGAGACAAGGTACGTACTTCATTTAAAATTTGTATTATGTATATATGTGCGCGTATCAAATTTATATAAAAAAAAAATTATATAAAAATTTGCTAGTTTTTTAAACCATTTTTTGCATTGTCTGTGAAGTTACATTTAAAATTTTAAAGATACATGAATCAATTAAAAAGAAAATTGGAACGTTCCATATAAAATTGTCAAAATTGGATTTTTGGCAATGAAAAAGCCATCCCCCCTTTCCATTTTAACAAATGGCAGCGCTATAAATTTCGTATCTTCTATTGATAAATCAGGGATTTTTTTAGGGTCTCTCAGGGGCTGAAATTCGGCCCCATTCCCAATGCTGAAAAGTGCATGTTTTTCCCAAAATCATACCTAAAAATTCCCAATATGAAAAAAAAGTATTAAGTTGTAAATTATTAAATAAAACAATGACAAAAAGGTGTTTATGTTCTCTATGTGCGATCTACGAGCCATCCGAGGACTTCCGAGAAGTTATTCGGAATACTATGGATGTTTGCATGCGTACCTTTTAAAGCGGGATCGATGTTTAAAAATTAAAGTCGGGATCGTTATCCTAAAAAATAAACGTGCATCATGTCAGTCTCTCCAGTTCGCCTAGGACGGTAATTTTCAGGCTGGGTTGAATCGCTCTTATTCTTATAAATTGGTCAAACAATACCGATTAACCACTCATCTGGAACAAACCCACTATCAAATGTTATTTTAAAGAACTTCTTACATAAAGGTAAAAAAGATGACAACGTATAAATATGTTCATTTACAATGTTATCATACCCTGCGGCTTTGCCATTTTTTAGCTTCTGAACTTCAACAGCCGCTATTATTTCATATCACTAAAGCTGGTTTAAGCCAGCTTCATACTATAAAAAATAAGAAGAATGATTAAATATTTGACTTTTGTTTTTTCCTATTTATTTGTATGAAGATATTTTTCCCAATTTCAACCAAATAATGCTATTTTTCCCAATCTTGACAGCCCCGGCCCCTGGAATCAAGGGGTAAAAAAATCCCTGTAAATGTATAAGTTACTCACTATTTCAGAGTTATGAGGTTTCTGTTAAACTGCGTTAATTTTTCGGCCTTTCAATTAACATTTTCAATAGTAAAAAGTTATGGTTGGAAAAAAAGGGGGAGGGGGCTGGCATCATGTATCAGTGAAGTTTCAAATAAAATTTCATTTTCAGAAAATGTTCCGAATATTCGACTATCGTTCGAATAAGGCAATCGAATAATCGACTAAGGAAAATAAATATTTTGACATCCCTAGTAAATATCTATAGAATAATCTTTTTTTTTTCCCATTTTTCATTTCAAGACTCGAAATGCCTTAAAAATGCATAGAAAAATAATTTCTGAAAAAAAGATACATCATCGAAAGGGGGGTGTCTTGTCTAGAAGTAATGAATGATCGTTTTTATATTTCTTACAGAACTGGGAAGATAATCTTTATTCATAGACAATAAAAAGGGTTGATTGTATCATGTTTTACTTAAATTTTCGTATAAAATGCCGAAAACGTACTCCACTGTCTAGATTTATAAGCTTATAAACTTAGTTTGTCAACATAATTAATTTTTCTTATCTATAATTCCTTGTAAATTATAAATTAAACACGATTTTACTTGAAAACACTGATGTCAATATTCCGATCAGCATGATAAATGTATATATATTTAATAAGTGTAAATAAGAACTTTTCCATTCCCAGCTGCTGACCTTCAATAAAAAAATGTAGGTAGGCAGTGGCAGATTTAGAAGTATTTAGTCATATATAAAACACTTCCTGATTATACGATAAAACACTAGAATCCTTTCTGACATAATTAATTTTGTCAAATAAAAATCTGCAACAGTACAGTGACAAGGATAACAAGTTTTGGAAAAAAAAATATTCAAATAGTGACTTCTACTAGTATACGCCAAGCTTCCCTCCTAACCCTCCCCCCCCCCCTTCCCCCTTTAGCTGCCCTGATCACTAGCTACATATATTGTCTTTTGATATTTATGAATCCCACACATATATAAATTGAAAACGAATAAAACATACTTAAGAAAGCTGGTGATTTTCAATAAAAAGGTTAAAAAAATTCTTGAACAGTCAAATAAAGTCAATGTCCACTAAGAAGGAGATGCAGAGGTACATGTATGTAATTAAATGTAAATTAATCGTCTGAACCAGCCCAACTCATGTCGTTATTACTTTTTTTACGCTGTAAATATTGATTGAATATTTATCATAGTTGCGAAGACGGAAGAATTTGTTTCAAGTACATATTTTCAACATGATTGCTCTTTGTGACGTCATTTTTTCAATGCATTGGTCATTAATTACATGTAATGCCCCATTATAAATTTGACTGAGAAAGGTTTATATGGTTTTCATTTGCATAAATTGTATTAATTTTTTTTCAAATGCAGAATTCAATTTAAAAGACAATAAAAAGAATAATAAAACCTTCAGATACAGAATTAAACAATTTACTTCTTTAAAAGTATAGATTTTTTGTGGAGAAAAGTGACGTCTATCCAAAAATGCAGCATTTTCAACTTCAATTTTTTGTAAAATCGGATGTGGCCGCACTTTTGTAAGGTCATTTTTTCTTTTTAATATTAGAAATCGGGTTATATTTGTTCATTCTGTGAAGTTTCGCATACATACTCGGATGCGGCCATATCGAAATAAAGACTTGAAGAGGAGGAAAATGTCCAAAATAAGGGAATTCCGGGATATAAGACCGGTTTTAAACATTATATTAATGACAGGGAGCTTGAGGTGAGAAAAATTGTTACCCATTTCACACACAGGGAAACATCAACAGTTTCTTGATATATTTGATAAAATGTAAACCAACGTTTAATTTTTGCCGATTTTACAGGGCCGATAATCGGGCTTACCGTACCCAGTTCTTTCTGGACACATTGGATTGACACATCCTTACGCTTTCACATATTTTAATTTTATTCTTAATACTTAAGAAAAGTGGCAATTTTGTTGTGTATTAATGAAAAATTTTAAAACTATAACCCAGAAAATTCAGAGTAGAAATGTTCGAAAGCAAAACCCACTCACAGTATTGTAAGTCTGTGCTTAGTGGTGTGTGCAGAGTTTAACAATTGAACACACTTGGTGAATCATAAACATTAACAATAACAGAGCTCATGCCCTGTTTACAAAAACAGTTTACGTTTCACGGATGTGTTCAATTTTTTAAACTCTGTACACATCACAGAGCACGGACTGACAATACTGGTGAGTTGGTTTTGCTTTCGAACATTTCTACTCTAAATTTTCTGGATTATAGATGTAATATTTTTCAATAATACATAACAAAATCGCTTTTTTTAGCTCACCTGAGCTGAAAGCTCAAGTGGGCTTTTCTGATAACCTGTTGTCCGTCGTCCGTCCATCTGTCCTTCCGTCTGTAAACTTTTCACATTTTCAACTTCTTCTCAAGAACCACTGGGCCAATTTTAACCAAACTTGGTACAAAGCATCCTTGGGTGAAGGGGAGTTTAAGTTGTTAAAATGAAGGGCCAAGTCCCGTTCAAAGGGGAGATAATCAAGAAAAGACAAAAATTGGGTGGGGTCATTAAAAAATCTTCTCAAGAACCACTGGGCCAGAAAAGCTGAAACTTATGTGGAAGCATCCTGGGATAGTGTAGATTCTAAATTGTTCAAATCATGACCACTGGGGGTAGGGCGGCCTCAATAGGGAATCCAAGTTTTACATTGAAATATGTAGTAAAAATCTTTAAAAGTCTTCTTCTCAAGAACCACTGGGTCAGAAAAGCTGAAACTTATGTGGAAGCATCCTGGGGTAGTGTAGATTCTAAATTGTTCAAATCATGACCCCTGGGGGTAGGGCGGGGCCAAAATAGGGAATCCAAGTTTTACATTGAAATATGTAGTAAAAATTTTTAAAAATCTTCTTCTCAAGAACCACTGGGCCAGAAAAGCTGAAACTTATGTGGAAGCATCCTGGGGTAGTGTAGATTCTACATTATTCAAATCATGACCCCAGGGGGAAGGTGGGGCCACAATAGGGAATCCAAGTTTTACATTGAAATATGCAGAAAAAAATCTTTAAAAATCGTCTTCTCCAGAAACACAGCCAGGAAAGCTGAAACTTATGTGGAAGCATCCTGGGGTTGTGTAGTTTCTAATTTTTCAAACCATGACCCCTGGGGGTAGGGCGGGGCCACAATAAGTACTACAAGGGGGGGGATCAGGTGAAAAACAGCAAGGCCAAAGTTACTCAGGTGAGCGTTGTGGCCCATGGGCCTATTGTTTTTAAATATTAAGGATAAAGTTAAAATTTGTGTAAGTGCAAAGGTGTGTTAATTTAAAGCGTCCTGGAATTCGTAGTTCCAATAATTTCCAGATAAAATAAGTTTTTAATTATATTTTCGTGTGAAATGCTATTGCAATATATAAGTTGTGATATTATACAGAAAATTTGAGAAAATGTTAAGTTCAAATCTGTGTCTAAGCACCTTTTAAAAGGCTTTGTACACTTATCAGTAACATATTGCAACTTCATTGCCCTATTTCTTTGTTAAAAGTTTTCAAGTCCATCTACATTGTAAATTCTTTGTATATGTAGTACTTAAGAATTTTTTTTTGGAGATTTTTAGGCTGTTTTAACATTTCAAATGGTGAATCTAACAGTAAATAGCCCTCTAGAGCATTGTTGTTTAAAACAAGCAATTTATATATATATATTATATTATATTATAGATTTCTGTTTATTGATTTATATCTGTTATTTCATTTATCAGTTTACAAAATATGTACAAGGCCCTGACGGAAGACATACCTGGATTTTCCCATCCTGGACATGGTACTCTGATAGGCTGGGCAAACCAGGGTCAGTGAAATATTTCAATTGACATTTGTTTTTGTTTTGGGTTTTTTTTTTTGGGGGGGGGGGGGGGGATTGAGGATAGCAGTGATTTGACATAAGCAGCATAACTATATACATGTATTTGTGAAAAAGATGTAAAGGTGTATCTTAAAAGTTAATGGTACCTTTAAAAAAAATCTTCTCAAGAACCACTGGGCCAGAAAATAGGAAACTTATGTGTACACTGAGGTAGTGTAGATTCAAGTTTGTTCATATCATGACCCCTGGGGATAGGGTGGGGCCACAATGGTCGATCAAAGTTTTGCATAGGAATATATATAGGAAATATCTTTTAAAATCTTGATCTCAATAACAGCAAATTCTTGAAAACTCAAGCACTCTTGTACACAAAAATCCAATTTGCTAATAATCATATGGCTATATCTACGTTGTGATCCAGAAACATACTTTGTTAAGTAAGAGGAGTTTAATCATAGGAAATTATTGCCTAATTTATTAAATATCATAGGAAATAGGGCACCACAAGGGAGTAGGGGAGATATTTGGGGAACGTCTGTAATGGTTCCCATTACAATTTAGTACTAAGTGTGCAGTTTGAATTCCTATTAATCTTCTATTGTAGGAGTCCTGCTTTTGAATGCCTGTCTGACGGTGAGGGCAGGACAGGCCAACTCCCACAAAGACCAGGGATGGGAGAAGTTTACAGATGCCGTCATATCATATCTGAACAAAAACAAACGGGGACTGGTGTTTATGCTGTGGGGGTCCTATGCTCAGAAGAAAGGAGCACATATTGACAAGGTGATTTTGTTTTACACTTGTACTTATATTGATAGATGGAATCCATTGTTATGTATTCCAGATGGAAATATTCAACCTTATGTTAAGACTAGCTGTAGTTGTGTTCTTTTGTAATGTTTAAAGAAAATAAACACAGAAGTTGTTTACTTTAAAGTATGGCATATGGTTTCAGTGTAAGTTGGACTTTATTAGTTAGAAATTATAAGATGCAGTGTTCTCCCTTTAGTGCTGCAGTATCATCACTCCTGCACAGGGATTCTTAGTTCATTAACATATTAGAGAAAAACATAGATGACATCTACCATTGACCATGATCCTTAATTTTCCCTTGTGAGGAGTGCAGTGTTTATGTAGATTGTCAGAAGTCATGTGATTATGAAGATCAGTTATCAATACTTGAGTATAAACATATGCAAAAAAATGATAATGCATTACCTAACATCCAATTAAAATTCTTACTGGTTTATTTAACAAAATTAATTGCAGAAGAAGCATCATGTTTTGACTGGTGTCCACCCCTCACCACTGTCCGCTCACAGGGGATTCTTCAGCTGTAAACATTTCTCCAAGTGTAATGAACTTTTGAAAAAGGAGGGAAAATCTGCCATTGATTGGAATCATCTCCCACCACAAAGTTAGATCAATACACAAAAGTGGGGACAATCATTCATATAGACATCATTTTTCATAATCATGTAGCACATGTGATCATTTTAATTTTTACATCCGTAGTTTTGTTAGCTCACTTAGCTAGAGCCTTGATGAGTGAGCTTATCTGATCTAACTGATGTTGTGTGTTGGCGCTTGATGTCTGGCTGGTAACTTTTCTCATTTTCAAATTCTTCTCAAGAAGCTTTCTTGATCTTAGTTTGCATGATATTGTTTTTTTTTTTTTTTTTAGGGAGGGGGCATGGACATCTTTCATGTTCCTACTTTGTATTCAAAAGGTGTACTGTAATTTTTTTTAATTCATGTGGCTAAGTTATGGAGCATTATATGCCATATGCCAATTATGCTTTCACAAAGCGTTCGATGAATTGTCTGTGCACAAAAGCTGCTAACCAGTGTAATGGAAATCCAAGTGTCTGCAGTAAGGCATTTTAATAATAGATGTTCTTTTTTTATCTTTATGCTGTAGATTTAATCAAATTTTTTGTTACGGGACGAAGTTTTGTCACCATTGTTGATTTTTAACTGCTTTAGTAGTACTAACTGAGATTGATTTTTTAAATAAAATATTGAGAAATTGTGTTAAGTTTAGCTTCAACATCTTTGTCAAGGAATAGAATGTTGTGTATGTTATTACACAAAGGTCAGATATTTCAAGGCAAGGATCTGCTGACCAACTTCTACCGAGAATAAGAGTTTAGAAATGAAGAATGCACCAGATAATGGCATCCATCACATAGAACTGATTATTTTTTAAAAACCTGTATTTTTACTCCTTCCAAAATTTGAAACAAATTGTAATATTGATACAAGATGTTCAAACATTACTAGTTGTTGCAACAAAAATGCATTGACACCCATACAAGACAACAGTGTCTGAAGCTGCCGTCATTCCTTTTTACGAGCAAGTGATGGGTAAAACCCGTATGAGGGAATTGCTCTGTGTAGGATTGGATGAGGCTTTCTAAGTCATGCAAAAATTGTAGTCCACAATGAAAATGTTGACATTTGTTATGCCCCGCCATGAATATGGCCGGGGCATATAGTGTTTGTCATGTCTGTCCTCTGTCCTTCCGTCTGTCCTTCTGTCACACTTTGCGTTTAGCTCTGTTCAAAGCTCAGTTTCAAAGAAACTATCCAAGATATTTTTATCAAACTTCATATGCTGATAGATATTGATGAGAGCTATGCAGCTGCATCAACATTTTTTGACCTTTACCTTTCCTTTGACCATGACCTCACTTTTCTTAAATTAGTGTTTAGCTCAGTTTTAAAGATACCATTCAAGATAGTGTAATCAAACTTCATATGTTGATACATACTGATGTAAGCTATTCAACTGCATCAACATTTTTTGACCTTGACCTTTCTTTTGACCTTGACCTCACTTTTCTTAAATTAGTGTTTAGCTCAGTTTTAATGAAACAATTCAAGATATTTTTAACAAACATCATATGCTGATACATACTGATGAGAGCTATTCAACTGCAATATTTTTTACCTTGACCTTTCCTTTGACCTTGACCTCACTTTTCTTAAATATGATTTAGCTCAGTTTTAAAGATACCATTCAAGGTAGTGTTATCAAACATCAAATGCTGATACATACTGATGAGAGCTATTCAACTGCATCAGCATTTTTTGACCTTTCCTTTGACCTTGACCTCACTTTTCTTAAATTAGTGTCAAACTTCATGTGCTGATACATACTGATGAGAGCTATTCAACTGCATCAATATTTTTTGACCTTGACCTTTCCTTTGACCTTGACCTCACTTTTCTTAAATTAGTGTTTAGCTCAGTTTTAAAGAAACCATTCATAATATTTTTATCAACTTCATATGCTAATACATACTGATGTAACCTTTTCATCTGCATCAACAATTTTTGACCTTGACCTTTCCTTTGACCTTGACCTCACTTTTCTTAAATTAGTGTCAAACTTCATATGCTGATACATACTGATGTAAGCTATTCAACTGCATCAATATTTTTTCACCTTGACCTTTCCTTTGACCTTGACCTCACTTTTCTCAATTTGTGTTAAAATGTTGCATTACTAATATACCCTCGGCAGGGTTCATGTCCTATGGACATATTTCTAGTTTTAATATATTATGTTTTATGCTGACTACCATTCTTGTAAACAAAGATTTCATGAATTCTTATTACTGAAGAACCTCAAAAGACCTTATGTCATCCAAATTAAATATTGGTCAAACTTGCTATTTACAATGTGTTTGTGTCACATGAAACCTTTATTGATACTAGAGTATATAAATGTGGTGTTCTAACATCTGTATGCAGCTAGTCAACAACTGCAATTTATTTTTTCTTTTCCTGTGAGACTGGAATTTTATACCGTATAAGTGGAAATTTTAGCAAGACGCAAATTTAGTGATTTTTTCCTTAAAAATCAGTATTCAATTTCAGCGAGAAGTAATATTAGCAATTTTATTGTGCAAAGAAAGATAACTGTAACCTCTAATGCGGAATAAATTGTTAGCGATATTTAATTTTAGCGATCTGGACACCCTTGCTAAAAATTCCAAAATTGAATCCTCGCTAAAATATCTGCTTATACAGTATTTTGCAATTTTTAAAATTACGTTAACCAGCCAAGATGTAAATACACATTTGTATGTAAAGAACATTGTTTCTTCTTTATCAAAAAAGCATAAATTTCATTTCCAAGTCTTTCATTCATTCTTCAAGAGGTTTGCATGATTTCTTCAAATCTGAATCCAGCATACATGTATTAAAATTCAGTTTACAATGCAAGTGTAAATCTGACAGAAAATTATGCTTTTAATGAGATCATAAATGAAGTAGTGTGGGCTGACCATTATAAATGTCATCCACATAAGAATATATATATACTTGCATGTGTTTCACTGTCTTACACCACTAGGGTAAATCAGTGGATATTCCTTCCACTAGGTCTTAGTGCAGATGAAATGAACTATAAAAAATGAAACCAAAAAAAAAAAAAAAATCCAGGCAATTATAACAATTTTAATACATACAATGGAGGGAAGGTACAAAGAAATTTCAAAACATATCTATGTGATAGCGAGTTTTCAATATCAACCATATTCATTAAAATATATAATCCATTGTTTTTAAACATCTTTAAGAAATGCAACAACTAACTCTATAACTTGAGTCTTTGGAATACGTTTACCATTAATCCTGCATCAGTCTATAGCAGAGAAATATAAAAGTCAATATGCTGCCTACAGCATAGCAGAAAAAATCTTATATTGAAGCAGAAATGCTTTATATAAAGGAATTTGTAAAAGAACTAAAGTCATGCAATTATCATAAAAGAATTGAACAGGCAGAAACATAGATTAGATTTGTCACTGCCTGCAACATTTAGGCATTGGAAATATCACTACATGCAGAATTTAGACATCTGAAGTATCACTACTTGTGACGTTTTGACATCCTTACAGGTGAATCATATGGACGCCTCCTCTTATTTCTGGTTTTCCCAGGACTGGCTGACGTATTTTCTGATTCAAGGGTGATTTTCTTTGAACTTATTGTGGCATCTCCTGATTCTAAGCTCTGGGGACCTTTAGGATAATTATTTTTTGTAGGGCTTGATTTGTGTTCTTGGGCATCTAAATTTTTATCCTTCTTCTTTTGTGTCAGGTTCAATGATTTATGAATTTTCAGGGGATGTTGTAAGAAATCAGAAATGTTGCATTTCTCATTCTTTTCATCATCTGTTGAGGAATCGCCATCCTCAAAGATTTCTGACATCTGAGCACTGCTGATTTTGGTTGAGAAGGTTTTCATTTCATCCGTTTCTTTCAAAGATGGTGCTTTTTGTATGAGATGCAGTTTTTCACAAGAAGTGGAGGACATTTTCTCTGCATTATCAATCACAATTTCGAAATGCTGAAATTCTTCTTTGGATCCATTGTCACACTCTTGTTTTTCTTCCAAAATTTGCACATTTGTGTCTTCCTGCAAATGAGTTTTGAATTCTCTTTTGCCTTTCTTTCTTATTTCTTGTTTGATATCCGAGTTTTCTCCCAATTCTGCACTTTTAACTTCTCTTACAACAGCTTCAGCTGCAACATCCAATTGTTCTCCATCATCTTCTATTTCCCTGCATGTTACTATTGACTCATTGTCCTCATTTCTAGCTCCAGAACTTTCTTTAGGGCAGTCTTTTAATTTATGACAGTTTGCTTCAATTCTTTCTCTTTTGCTTGCAATAGAAGCTACTAATCCACCCTTTTTAATCTCATTCAAAGTAATAACTCCATCAGTGACTGTCTCAGCTTGATTAGAACTTGTAAGAGCACCTGTTGTGTCTGCTACATTGTTACTTGCATTAATTAGCTCACATTCCTGATAAATTTCTATTCTGCCATCACATACAATTGTACTAGATTCTTCGTTTATTTTTCCATCTTCTTCATCCTGATCTCTATTGTGTAATTTATCCTCTTCAGTTTTATTATTAGTAACTTCCAACAACTCATTTCTGTTTTGATCAGTAGTATTTTCATTGTCCTTTAGCAGCTCCTCTTTGTTTGGGTCTTTTGCTTTGTTGTCATTGTCCTCAATTATCTCATCTCTGTTTGGATATTTAGTCTGTGTCTTGTCCTCCTCCAATGGTTTATCTTTGTTTTGGTCTTCAGTTTTATTGTCTTTGTTCTTCAACAGCTCACCTTTGAGTTGGTCTTTAGTTTTACTCTCATTTTCCTCCAACAGCACATCTTTAGTTTTATTTTTATTTTCTCCCAACATCCCATTGCTGTTTGATTCAGTTGCTTCTTCTCTGTTTGATACAGTTGGTTCTTCTATCATTTCTACACTGCACTGTGTCTGGCTTGTGGAGGAAGATGACGTCTTGGGACGAAATTGTGACATCCACACTTCATTTTCCAATAATCCCTCAATAATTTTGTATGAACGTTTCTTAATTGGTCTGTTGTTTTCAACTTGATATTTGGAGACTTGGAAATTTTCATTTGATGCAGAAGGCTGGGCACACAATGGGGATACATCTGACTCTGAATACATATTTGGCATAGATGATTCATTGTACCCAGTAACAGATGTGGACTCGTATGCATCTAATTCTCCCTGAAGAGCATTTACTGCATTTGACATGATGGAACCAAATTCTATGCTATCTGTTTTTTCTTGATTTTTTGGCATTGATGAACCCGGCTCACATATGTTAACAGTGTCATCTGTATAATATGTAAGATTATTGGTGACTTTGCAGTTTTGAAAGTTTCTGACCATAGTACCATTTACATTTTCTGATGATGTTTGTTTTGAGGTTATTTCTAGATCTCTTTCTTGTGGCACAAATGAACTTTTTACTCCAGTATCTTGGAGAGCTTGTATGACTTCTGTCTGTTGCATTGGAGTTTCCTGGCATTTAGCAGATGTAGATGGTTGCAATGTTATGCCATCTTGAGATACTGAAGTAGAAGATGGTGTTCTTTTCGTAGACAATGCAAAGTCATTTTGTTGACCATTATCTAGTTCTAAGGAAATGTACTTGTGCTGTTTGTTAACACTAGCTGTTGAGGATGCAGGCCACATCGCTAGATTTGAAGTGTTGATGTTACTTTCCTGATTTCTGCTTAGAGTATGTGATGCTGGCGAGGGGCATATTTCCAGATCACTGGGGCATTGTTTAACGTTTGAGAAATAATTAGTGGTCTGTTTACCTGCTCCATTAGTTTTACCATCATCTAAATACTGTTGCCATCTATTATTGAAAAGAAAAAATATACATTGACAACAAAGTTTTTTTTAAATGGTCACAAGTCATCTCGGTGAGATACTGATAATACTTGAGGTGTGTCGGGGATAATTTTGATTATGTATTATATAAAGTAGCTTGAATGATATGAATAAAAAAAATTACATACATGTAATTGAAGTATACAGTAAAACACACTTATAACGAAGTGCCAGAGGCAGATGATTTTGCTTGGATATAATGTAATTCATTATACGAGTATCTGATAAGTTAACAATAAGATTTACAGACACAAGGAATAAAAACCACTTCACTGTAAGCATCAATTCATTATAAACGTTTTTGTTATGCACGCCATGAATATGGCCGGGGCATATAGAGTTATTTTTATGGCCGGTGCATATAGAGTTATTTTTTATTGTCATATCCGTCTTCCGTCCTTCTGTCTTTCCATTGCGCTTTGTGTTTAGCTCAGTTCAAAGCTCAGTTTCAAAGAAACTATTTAAAGATATTTTTATCAAACTTCATATGCTGATACATATTGACAAGAGCCAGGGTTGTTTTTAGGGGTCGTAGGGGGCCTGTAATAGGCCCCATTCCCAATGGTAAAAAGTAGGTGTTTTTCCCAATTTCATAAAAGAAAATTCCCAAAAGAGAATCAAAACAAACAAATATGGTTAAAAAATGGCTGAACTCATTAACGTTTATCAGGAATGGTGTTCAAAAAAAAAAAATCTACAAGGCATGCTCCAAAAACTGATTGACTGAATGTAAAATAATTCAATAAATACCTTGCAAATGAAAAAAAACCCTCTTATTTGAATTTATTTACAAAAATATTAAATATGATATTCTTCCCAATTTTCAACCAAAAGTCGCTATTTTTCCCAAATGGAAAGGCCCAGGCCCTTGATTTTAAGACCTAAAAAAAACCCTGAGAGCTATTCAACTGCATCAACATTTTTTTACCTTGACCTTTCCTTTGAACTTGACCTCGCCTTTCTTAAAGTAGTGTATAGCTAAAATCTGTGGCTATTCAAGATATTTTTATCAAACTTCATATGCTGATACATACTGAAGTAAGCTATTCAATTGCATCAACATTTTTTGACCTTGACCTTTCCTCTGACCTTGACCTCTTCCTTCTAAAATAAGTGTTAAACTCAGTTTTAAAGAAACCATTCAAGATATTTTTAACAAACTACATCAACATTTTTTGACCTTGACCTTTCCTTTGACCTAGACCTCACTTTTCTTAAATTAATGTTATCTCGGTTTTAAAGAAACCATTCAAAAAAGTGAAATCAAACTTCATATGCTGATACATACTGCTGAGAACTGTTCAACCGCATCAACATATTTTTAATTTGACCTTTCCTTTGACCTTGACCTAACTTTTCTTAAATTTGTGTTTAGCTTAGTTTTAAAGAACCATTCAAGATATTTTTAACCAACTTCGTATGCTGAAACATACAGTTGATGTAAGCATTTTAACTGCATCAACATTTTTGGACCTTGACCTTTACTTTGACCTAGACCTCACTTTTCTTAAATTAGTTTTTAGCTCAGTTTTATAGAAACTATTCAAGATAGTGTAATTAAACTTCATACGCTGATTTATGCTGCTGAGAGCTATTCAACTGCATCAACATTTTTTTACCTAAACCTTTCCTTTGACTTCACTTTTCTTAAATTTGTGTTTAGTTTGGTTTTCAAGAAACTATTTGTAATATTTTGATCAAACTTCATATGCAAATACATACTGATGTAAGCTTTTCAACTGCAACAACATTTTTTGACCTTGAGGTTTCTTTTGACCTTGACCTTACTTTTCTTTAATAAGTGTTTAGCTCAGTTTTAAATAAACCATTCAAGATATTTTTATCAAACTTAATATGCTGATACTTCTTAATGGGAACTTTCAACTGCATCAAAAACTGTTGACCTTGACCTTTCCTGTGACCTTGACCTCACTTTTCTTAAATTTGCATTTTGCTTAGTTTTAAAGAAACTGTTTAAGATAATTTTATGTAAGCTTATGCACTTATACATAATTTGGTGAGAATTTATCATCTGTATCTAATTTTCTAGATTTCAATTTTAAAGAAACTATTCAAGATATTTTCAAACTTCAAACACTAAAACAAATTTTCATGTTGCATTACTAATATACCCTCGGCGGGGCATTCATGTCCTATGAACATATTTCTAGTTATAAGCATGTATAAATGTTAACACCAATTGAAATAATGGCATGATCTTTATGAGTACTCGGTACATACCCATTAACGTCAACTTGAAGCTCTGTGGCTCGGATTTGGTTGATGTAATTGTCAAAGTAGAACGGAGCATATGGATCGGATAAATCCGTTTTTGAGTAAACAGTATCTGGCACAGTACCTATTAAGAAATATAATAAAGATCACATTTAAGATACACATGTAAAGGGGGAAAATCCCTCAAAAAGACATTTTTATAAGTGGTAACTTTCTGTAAGTGTCATAAGAAAATATTACAATTATTAAGTCAAAGAAACTTTACCCTCGTACAAAAGATGTGTTTGGGGAATTTGTTCTACAGGTGGGAAAGGGAATGGCCAAAGTGGATCTGTCTTGTCGTTCATGTTGGGTATATTCGGTATGGCTATTGGGAACTGAAGGTGATCAGAGGAATTGCTGAAATTATCAAGATTGGATAAAAGGAATAAATATATTTTTTTGGAAAACTGTCGAGCAGTAATTTTATATGCTTTTGTCATAAACTAGTCTTAGTCAAATAATTGTAAAAATCTGAGAAACTCATAAATTTATTAATTCAAATCATTACACATCTCAAAATTAGAACTTTTAATTGAATCCCTACATTTAATAACAACATAGCATGGTCTTATAGTTACAACTAGAGATACTGTGAGTGAGCTTACAAAATAAAACCAGTCAGATTTTTTTAAAGGCCCATTCACAATTTTGTAAATGTGTCCTCAGACTTGCCAAAATGACTTTGATATTTTTTGAAAAAAGTGACACATCCTCTGGTCATGAATAATCCTTTATTGAAATATGGATATCCAATGTTTCGCCAGTAGAAAATTATGGACTTGACAAAATTTTTTACACTTTTTCTGTCCCGTGACTTTGAACATGTTGGGATGACCTTGGGTCATGACACACCTTTAAGACATAAATAATATTGTTTGGAGTAAGAACTTCCAATGTTCATCCATGAGAAATTAAAGACCTGACACAAATTTACCTGGTAACACTTTCTGTGCCAATGACCTTGAACTTCCCAATATTGACTTCAGTTTAGATCATAATGTACCCTTAATTCATTAACAATCTTTGTGTCAAGTATCAACTCCAATTAGCCTGCATTTAAGAGTTAGAGACAGGACATCAAACACTTTGTAATGAGTCTCCAATGTTCTCCATTGTAAGATATGTTCAGGACAGGATTGAACATTTTTCTATACTATAAGTGACATTGAACTTGATCAAATGACCTTGGGTCAAGATCTCAACACACCTTCTGGTCATAAGGATTTTTTGTATGAAAGAAATTTCATTTACATTAGCAACCATGTGTGGTATGGATTCAAGCTTGGTCATTAATAGTTCAGTCAGGCCCCTTTGCAGCTAGGATGGGGCAACAATAGGTGGGTCAAAATCTAACGTTTGAAATAAAGGAAAAGTAAGGCTCAGATGACTTAAGTGAGCATTCTGGTCCAGGGGCCTCTTTTTTTCTCTATGCTGCTTTAGGACTACATTGGCTCTGGAAAGGTTATTGAAAATATAACAACCAAAAAAAAAAAAACAAGCAAGCAGTAGAAAATGCCACTCATATGGTCAATTTCCAACTGTTTTATGCTATGCACCAGAAAAATCAATAGTCACTTGTTTTGCAACTTGCATGGAAATGTAATTTCTTTAAAGAAAAAAAAAGAAAAAGGGAAAAAAAAAACCTTTGCAGCTTTTTTCTGGCAGTCTGCACTGGTTGTGACATCAGGTCTGCTGGATCAGCCTTCTGTTGTGAGACAGATTGATTCATCATTGTCCAGGACCGGTGGTTCAGGGGTTTCTGTGTCTCCAAAGTCACAAACTGTTGTTGAGTGGGTTGGCTTAGTTGATTTGCTAGCCTTGTTGATGGCACAGCAACAGTTGATGAAACAAGTGGTTTCGTCGTTGGAATTAGAGAAATAGGCATTGAGCCTGGTATGTAATCTGCATACGAAAAAAAAATGATTGTTTCAAAAAAGTACTTTTGCTATTTAATATCCATCTCCAATTGATGTTTTCCCCCTCAGATTATAAATTACCAGAACAATCTGTAGCAGGAGTGTAGCTCTTAGTTAATTAATTTCGGCACAATTACAAAAAAAGTTTTATCATTATCAAACTTGAATTTCTGACTGAATATTTTTTTCTCTACATACTGTATTTCATGACAACTGAATTTGGGCGACCAGGTCGATCAACTTGATTGGTCAGTTCATGTCCTCGGAAATCTACTGTTGGATGAGTCTTCGTTTGTGTGGCAGTGGTGAATGGTACCAGTTGACAAGCCATATTTCCGCCCTTTGGAGGAGCCTTTGCAGTTCTTTCACCTACATAAACATTAAACAAGCATTTTACTCAAGGACAAAATGAATTTCGTTTTATTAAACTTAATCTATTAATTTACTGCAATAGAAGAATTCAAACCTGGTTGTACTTCAGGATGTTTCTGAACATATGATGCAATGTTCCTTAATTTTTCTGAGGACACCAATTCTTGTTTGAATTGGCGAAAGGTTGGAATAGGATTCTGGTTGTGTATTTGCGGACTGGATGAAACAACCACTTGTTTTACTGTTGACTGTATTGTCTGAGCGTCAATCTTTGATTCTTGCTGTTGTTTCTGTTGTTCTAACGTCATTAAGTTTTGTGTTGGTTTCACCTGAATTTTCGTCTGTGTATTTTCTGAGTTCGCAGAAGATTTAGACGGGACAGTTTCTTGGGACTTTTTACCCTCATCTTCTTTAGGTTCTGGTGAACTGATGTTGTCACCAGACTGCTCGTTCTGTTGGGTTGCCGGTGCAATCGGACGATATGTCGATTCTTTATCAGATTCCTTGCTGCCACTTGCTTCTTTATTGTTCACAAACCTTTGCCACAAACGAGTGTGTTGTGCGTCTTTCTGGTTCTGGCGCTTTGTGATGTTTGGCTGATACACCCAACCTTTGAAATGAACAAAAGAACCGATTAAAATTGAACGATCGAATTGCAAAACATTTCACACTTTGATGACAAAATAAAATTTGTCTTTGTTGTCTTAGTTGTAATCAGTTCTAAATTAGCTGCACAATTTACAGGGACTAAAGATGCAGACTTAAATTAATCACAGGTTCAGGTGAAACGTTAACGTATGATACAACGGACACTGTTTTACTTTGATCAAAGGAAAAAAGCTAGTTGCGGGGTAACTAAAACATATAACATTATTGCCAACTATCCGTTATGTGCTAAAAAGAATTCTCTCTGAGACGTTAAATTGCCTCCCCCCTTTTTTCCCCGTCACACATCAGAAATTCCCATCAACTATCACCAAAAGTGATAAAGCTTTTCGATTGTCTGAGTCAAATTAACAGAAATGGATAATACGAGTGCATATAATTTCTTTTAAAACAGTGTTACACACACAAATGACACACAGACACTATAAATATCTCATAACAAATCCAATACATCAACATTTAAAATTTATTTATACACTGTAGTTTACCAGGAAAGTCTCGCCTATGCTGATTTTTGATCCGCTCCGCCTCTAAGTAGAAGTACTGTTTCTCCGATGCGGGAAGATTTGCCCAAACCTGCCCAAGACCCACACTAATCTCAGCATTGGAGGCGTTAGGCATCTGCTCCGCCAGCTTCCCTCGAAATTCCCTTGCCCACAACATAAATGCATTCATTGGCCGCTTAATCTTTCCATTTCTATTTAGATAGTTTGTACCATTTGAGCGATATTCTATATTTGTTCCTGTAGAAATAATATGAGTAATGTTAGAACACGTACTCTTCCTAAATGTTATTGTAAATGTGCAGACTACATTACATCTATGTACTAAATGTAGCATAGTACCATCAGTAAAATTGTAGCAAATAAACTAAAAAAAAAAAAACGATTCAAAGAAAGTGACATTTGTTTATTGAACTTTATTCCAAATCAACAGTAAACTTTACAACTTTGATTTAGAAAATTACCGGTATGTCAATTTGATAGTTTACTACACTTTTCAGTATGATTTACATCTATTAGGCGCTTTCTCATAAGATTTTCATGTACATGTATTATTAACAGAAAGTAGTATTTTAATTTCAGAATTCGAAAAAGATTTGTTTTTCTCTGACTCTTCAAGATGTGATTGACCCACGAAATATCAATTTACTAAATAGTTTACATGTACATGTATTATAGTATTGCATTATTTTATAATGGTTTTAACAATAGTAATTTCCATTCATATGTCGACACGATATATCCCAGTGAGCTTGAAATAAAATTAAGATACCACAGAGTCTGACACATCTGTTTCATATTATGATATTTTACTAGAAAAAGACGTTAATGGTAATATGACAACAAAGCTTGATGACTTTAACTTTTCAATTCGTCAACTTCCCTTACTTATGCAGCAATATACCCTTATCACCTGCATATGGAGTGTATATCTCTCAGTTTATTCGATACGCAAGAGCATGTTCTACGTATGAACAATTTCTAAAATGAGGCAAGTTATCGACAAACAAGTTGATGAAACAAGAATATCAACAGTCTCGCTTAAAGTCACCATTTCGTAAGCTCTATGGTCGATACAATGACCTTGTCAGCAAATACAATCTATCATTAAGTCATATACTGACTGACGTTTTTCATACTAATTGTTAAGCCATTATTTACACACTGCATTGTCGACGGATTTTTCCGTTATTTCCCGATCATGCGGACAAGGAGCACACGGCGGGTGTGACCGGTCGACAGGGGATGCTCACTCCTCCATGGCACCTGATCCAACCTTTGATGTTTTTGGAGGTCCGTGTTTGCTAGATGCTCCCGATTTGTATATTTTAATGGACTTTATGCTTGAATATTGTTCGTTATCTCCATATTTCATTGATTTAATTATAAATGTGATTTTGAAAAAAAAATATGTACCCTAAAGTACATGATTAATTTATGATCTTACAATTATTGTGTTTTACATAAACATAATAATTTATGCCAAAGATGAAAAATATCAGTTATAATGTTGGTCGGCATTTTATGCAACATTGAAATTCATGAATTTCATTTGACACATTTAACAGCTATAGAAATCATTCTTTAAAGGAATGAATTAAAATTGATAAACATTTTTACACAGATATTAAGAGCATTGGTTGATTTAGACATGGTGTCTTTTTTCCTGCTACCGACCCCCCCCCCCTTTTCCCTTCTTTTTCCTATTATTTTGGATCTGCAACTCTCCAGTGACCAAACTCATTAATTCATAAACTATAATCACCTGGCATAATTTTTGGTATATTTTGTTTCTTCTGGTCATCATCAGCCATTCTAATCTCTGGATTGCCTATTGCGGATCTTAACCCACCGTCTGGGGTAACGAGATAAATTTGTCCATTGTGGCTGGCTTGAAAGTTAGGAACTGGTGGTTTTTCAGGCTTCCCAGAAGCTTCGGGTTTCATATTTGCTTGTTGCAATGATGTTTTCTGGGTGCCACTAACTGTTACATTCTCGGATAAAGGGGGATCCGTATGGCTTCCGTCAGTTCGAGTCCCTGCAAGTCCGGAGGCTAGTACCACGTTACCCTTTACATTTATCTTCAGCTTTTCCACAGTCTCCTCTGATAATTGTCTGCCGTCTTTGTCGAAATAAAAATACTTTACCGTGTTAGGATTTTGTGCCTTATTTCTGTTTTCGATAGCAGAATTTTTACTTTTCTTTCCCATCTCTGTGCTTTTTTTACCTTCAGATTGCATCTCTCTCAGAAAGTCGGTAAATTATGACGTCATAATATATAATAAGTGACGTAACAAATAAACGCTATTTACCGCGAAACTGTAATACATGATTGTCACGTTTGTTTGTTTACATCCCCTGAAAACAAGAAGAAATGAATGAGAATAATGTAAATGAAGACGAATTCTCAAGTTATATTTATATTAACGATTTTGATAATCTTGGGATTCTGAATACCTGCTTACGGATGCCAACATCAGCAGCTACTCATATAGCTAAAGAGGATTTAGAAATTGCTGCTCAAACAGGAATTATAAAATCAAACAGAACAAAAATTCTTGACATAAAACCCGACCGAACGGCCATGAAGGTAAGTTAATTTTGTTCAAATTATTTAAAATTGGTAAGGAATTTTCAAAGAGATATAAGAAGTGTAGTGGCGATCAGAGAGAGATAACTCTTAACTTTAACCAGGCCCGTAGAACGCGGGAGGGGGGGGGGGGGCACTTTTTTCTGAGTATATGTTTTGCTGAAATGGTAAATCTTCCTTTAGATGCCGGTTGGCCGCCCACTTTTTGATGTTCTAAGGACGAGCACTGGGAAGTTCCAGGATTTGCACAGTAAATGTTTTTTGTTTGATTGTTGTTTTTTTTGTTTTTGTTTTTGTTTTTTTTTTTTTTTGCTTGTCAGAGAATTTTGGGAAGTTGCCCCCCTCCCCCCACTTTTGATCATTTAAGTTTTTTTTTTTACGTGTCAGATTTGGGGGGGGGTGCCCCCCTTTTGAAACCGTTGCTACGGGCCTGTTTACGCTGGGAAAACGAATTGAACAGGAAGCATGTAAACATAATGACTTTGTTAATTTTGTCCAGGAACTTCTTACACATTTATTTGAAGTTTGCGGCAAGCTTTACGAGGATATTCCTCCTGTGTTTCGCCAGTCCCACGTTACCCTGGCACTGTATCTAAAGCACTGTCTAATGAACAGAGAACCAAACACTGAGGAGTTTTCTAGAAGACATAAATACATCCAATATGATGGTTTACTAAAAGAAAAAGTGGAAAATAAAGTTCTAACCTACAATGCAGTTTGAAAACTGAGAGAACTATAGACATACGTTCAAAATAATTCATTAGAAATTTTATTTTTTATCAAGAACATTAATTTTGAATAAAGAGAGGAAAAAATGATTTATAGTATTCTTCTTGGAAATTTCGTTTCGGGAAACGCATAGTACTAAGTAAATTAGTTACATGGAAACATTGACACAAAACTATTTTAGCCTAAAAACTACCTTCAGCAGTGGCTACAATGATAAATTGATAAATTAATGATATCACTAATCCCAAATCTTTTTAAATTTAATTGCATGATTTATTTTTTAATACACCTGGCCGTCGGAGAAGTCCCTCTGTTCAAAAGTTCTTCCATTTGCAAGTCAGACTAGAACTCAACAAATAAATGTAAAATGTTTGAACTTATAAATATTTTTACACTCCTGCTTATTGATCATGCAGCAAATACAAAAAAAGTTTATTGGCATTTGCCTATTAATTAAGTAAACTTCAAGTTTATCACATATCGATATAAGGTATATATTAATAAGTATCAGCTAGCGTATTTCCTTCCACGCTATATTGAAGATGGCTAAGTACATATGATGCAGTGATCAGCTGCTGATGCTGAACAGACGATCGATATTATACAACCGGTTACCTAGACCGGAGTTTGCAACAATAGGAGGGAATTGATCCAGTGTCTTTATACTAATAGAGATCTGGAAAATATTGAATGAATTTGAGGATCTTGAGTCTTGCCCGGGGGATGAGCGACAACGGAGGATCAAATGTCGAGGAGAGCGACGAGGCCGACGACTTTCTTGATTACGATGCGATTCTGCGATGTCATATTTGTCATCAACTTTTCCGGAAACCTCGGATTTTGCCATGCGGTCACACATTCTGTGAGGAGTGTTTAATTCAGCTGAGGGATAAAACTGCAAGAGAGTGGCGGATAAAGTTCCCCCTAAACAACAAACGAGGAGATGGGGGAACACTCCACTGTCAGATTCCCGGATGTCAATATTCAATGAAACTGATGAATCTGACACGCTGGGCGCCGAGGAACAAAGTTGCATCTGAGGCAATAAAGGTGTTGAAACGAAACAGTTTTGCAAAAATGGTAAGAGATTATGTTCAATTTTTATAATGATAATAAATATTGCATTTACTGCAGCATATACAATGTATTCTTATTAGCTACGATCAACACACATATATGTACATGTGCCGAAAAGAATCACATAAGGTTTGAAGATTTTGTTATGTATTGTGTTAGAGTGAGACATGAATAGTCAATCTGATTTAATTTACCGCAAGCCTGTAAATACAAATGAATTATATATGTAGTGACCTCTTGTATTGATCAACTTAGTGCGCGTGAGTTACTGCTTTTAATATTGCATAATCGTAATAACATTCAAAAAACGTATGTGAATGCTCACACTTATTGAAACTTGAGAGCAAAGGTAGGCATGTCCGTTTAACAGACTTAATCTCTCAAAGTAGTTTGTAAGATAGTTAAATTGGGCGTTTTTAGCGAGGTAAACTGATTTGTTTTTAACGTTGTAATCTATTATTTAGTTAAGAACAAACATATCTATGGCAAACTAATATGTATGTATTATTCATATAACACCGCGGTATGCTTCTAAATTAAGAATCAATTAAACACCAAAACATTAATTCAGCAAGAAGGCTAAAATGTACCCAGATCTTGGTCACAAAAAATATTTATGGATTAAAATGTCAATTTGAATGAATTTTGAAACTATACAGAGGTTTAGGAGATGGTTTGTACTTTGGCTGTAGACCAGACATGAACATAGTAAATATACATGTAATGTATTTAAACGTTTTATATGAAAACTTTCAAGTATCATGCATTATAAGAGTGTTTATAAAAAGAAAGTACTCATATAGCTTTCATTTGTAGGGTCCTACCACAAGAACATCTGAAAACTCCCTAGATGTATTTGACTGCCATTCCAATCATTATGGAAGGACACACAGAAACCTTTGCATTACGACAGGGGAAGTTGGCAATGCAGAAATTGTTAGCAAAGTGGCCTATACAAATCATCACAATAACAAATTTGCAATTGCCATGCAGTTGCGTCATACTACTCTTAATGGTGCCGCTCCACCAGGATACAGGGATAATGCTGATGGAAAATCTTTCTGCACAAATGCTATTTATGACGCTATTATACAGAATGGATTTGGATCAGCAAAAATGATACACGTTCCGCAAAAGGCTGTCCAAGGTTGGAAATCTTTTGCAGTTGTCTTTGGTATCCAAGCTATTGGCGAATGTTTGTCCTTTCAGTAAGATTACATTCTTACAATCAAGAGTTAGTTACCCGTACTTCTACAAGTGGAAAAAAATGCTTATTTATAGTCATCTTGAAAAGAATTTATTTTCATTGTGGATTTTCGTTATTGTTTCTTTTACCATGATAACATCATAGATAAAATTTCGCTCCATAATGAAAATAGAAGTCGATATTTTTCGTGACGAAGTTAAGCAGCTGTGATATATCTGCATGTGATGCTTGTTACCCATGTTTCATGTATTACTTAATAAAATGGTATAAAGGTAATATATTAGTTCTCGTTGATATATTTCATGAATACCCGACTTGGAACTTTTTGCTGTAACATCACTGAATTTTTCATTGAATTGTTGAGGGATTAATGCAATTGCACAAATATACATGTACCTGTAACCTTTCGTGTAATATTAAACGGGACTCTTTTCGGATACAATGAATAATGGTACAAGGGTCATTTACACTAGATTTACACTAGATATAAAGCCATTACTGAATGATTTAACTCACAAGAATCGCTCTCCTTCCCATTAAATGACACTTTCACCTCCTCCTCCTCCTCACACAATCGCTTTCTAAATTTTTAAAAATTATATTCACAATAGGACCCCTCCCATCCCCATAATTACCTCACAAAACAGAAACAACAAACATATAAAACAAAAAGTAAAATGAATTCTGCATTTAAAACTGTTCGGAAACTAGTATCCTGAAATTGTCCTGCAGGTTTTCTACTTATCTGTCACAGCATTCAACACAAGAGACTACAGCCATATAATGTCCCCATGCGTTACAAATAAAGATATGAAACAAACATATAATTGGGATGCATGCACATCATTATGACTAAATGTGACTTTTGTTATTGAGAAGTAGTTTTTATGCCCCCGCCATGGAATGGCCGGGGCATATAGTGTTACATGTAGTACACCCTGTTCGTCATTCCGTCATCATTCACTTTCCGTTCATTTTCTCTGCAACAGTTGCACACATTCAACTCAAATTTGACATATGGATACGTCATTGAAATACACAGGTCAAATTCGAATTTGGTCATGGTCCGATGATTTTTGACAAAGATGTCCCTTTTAAACTTAGAAAAAAGAAGGAATTTTCAGTTTTCGCCTTCTAACTTTTGTAGGGATGTATGTATAAAGTTGAAATATCATATGCAGGTATTTTACCAGAAAATACAGGTCAAGTTCAAATTTGGTCATGGTCCGATGATTTTTGACAGAGTTATCACTCTTGAACTTAGAAAAAATAAGAAATTTTCAGTTTCCGCTCTCTATCTTTTGTAGGGATGTAATTCAATAAGGTTCATATTGCATATGGAGGTATTAAATGTGTATCAGAAAATACAGGTCAAGTTCGAATTTGGTCATGGTCCGATGATTTTTGACAGAGTTATTCCTCTTGAGGATACTTACATATCGATATGACTAATCATGGCCTTGGTCCTAGGCTCAGGTAGGCTAAAAACTTTCAATCAATGACTAGTAACTTACGTTTACATTCTAATTATTTGCACCAAGATTCATTTAAAATTAAAAACTGCAATAAATGTAACACTTGCTATATACTTTGTAAATCCTGCAATCTTACCAGTGCAAAAATTTCCCTTTTTGGTCAAAGATCAGTGCAGCTTAAATTAACGTTTTTAAAACGGAGTTATTGTTCAAATTACTACTATAGAGAGGAGGTGAAATCCTTTATCATTTGCATATAATGCCTAACCAATGCATGCAATTTCAAGTAGAACTAAGAGAAAGATCCCATAAGACACTGAAGTTAAAGGTACATTTTTGGAGATCTTACATTTTAAAACAACAAATCAACAGATGGACAAACAAGGATGGTCATCCTGCCTCTTTATCACCTTTGGCTCTTAAGGTATTCAATGTATAATGACCATATTTTGTACCTAATAAATGAATGGTCCGATATTTTAAATCATGGTAGCATTTTGAAGATGTAATCAAATATAAATGCTCCACCAAAAGAATTTATAAAATTTTGATTATTGTCCAATTAATTGCACCTTGAATTTTACATTGAACTCTATATATGGGCAGTGCATGTTTTTATAAGATATTGTAAAAAGTAATTTAAATTTCAAACAAATCTCTTGGTGAAAATATGCATAAACTCCCTCTTTACTGAACTATGAAATAAAATGAATTATTTACCACAGAAATTTTGAGAAATTGAAATTTTTTTTTCCCATCAAGGACAGATAACTCTTCAAAAACTTTTAATGTTCAAAATGTCCATCTCCCTACATGTTATAAGTCGCGTGAATTTGGTTCATTTCACTTTTATTGTTATCTAGCAATGCATTTTTGACTAGTTTAAAATTATTTAAAATTGTTCAAAATCCCTTCATTATACATTGAATACCTTAAGTAAGTTAAGCAGTGGTCACATTAAGGACATACGCAACGTACCTTACCTACTGATAAGTTTTTGAGATATTCTTAATTTAAGATTATAGTGCAATCAGATGTTCGTAAGCAAAAAATCAGCATACATTACCAGGGGTATTGAAAGGATTTCAGTTGATGAAAATTCTTGTATAATTCAAAGAAAAACATACAAAAATTACTAAAAATATATTCTAGATGTTTTGTTTATCCAAACTTGTTTTAGAAGAAGTGTACAATAGCATATATAGACATTAAAATGAAGCACATAGTTCCTTTAAGTATTGGAACTCTTCAACTCCAGGGAAAAAGACAAACTACGTTGCGTATGTCCTTAAACAGGTCCTGCTTTATTGTCATCCGTCTGTCAAAAAAACCTTAATCTTCATCATTACTCATAACTTTTGAATGAAAGAAGATAGGGCTTTCATATTCCACACGACATTACCTTGTCAAGACCTTTCCAATTACTTTAATTTTTGATCCCCTGACCTTCCAGTCTGACCTTTTCAAAAATGTTAACATAATTTTTACACAGTGAAGATAGGGTTTCATATTTTACATGTATATTTCCAATGACAACACCTTTCAAGGAGTATATTCATTTTAGATCTCATGACCTTGAAGTTTGACCCACTTTTCATTATTATTTTGTAAAAACTTAAGCTTTAGGTTTTGCACCTGAAGAGACGGGGCTTTCATATTTTTACCTGTGACCTTTCCAATACATCCTGATTTTTGACCTCATGACCTTGACATTTAACTTACTTTTCAAAAATTTTAACCTTAGCCATAACCTTTGCACCTGAAAAGACAGGGCTTTCATATTTTTCCCCAGGAGTATTTTGCAAGGCATTGAATTTCTGAATATACTAGAACTTTTGACCTCATGACCTAGACAAATTTGATTTTCAAGAACTGTAATCTTTGCCCTAACTTTTGCACCATACCATATGGCTTTCAAAATATAAAGCTTTTGCATGATGGACAGGCCAGACAATTACAATATGCCATAAATCATTGCACCCCAACCAGTAAGACCCGTAATTAAAGTGGGGGACCACAATTATCTGAGTTTTCTTGTAATATAGCAATTTCTCATTATGAACCATTGCAAAAGACATCGTAGATTCAATTTTATTTTCCAGCAGTAATATAACAAAGATTACAACATGCTGCCATAGTAACCAATATAGCGATAAAAGACTATAACTAACATACAACAGCAAAGTACAAATGTACCATATCAAATGTGTCCCCTATTCATCATATTTAAAATTATCAGAGGGAAATCCACATCTTTTTATTAAATTGTTGTAATACTATGAAAGATTTCAGCATTATAATTAATTTTAATTAAGCAAAACAAAAATTTTCATAGCAAGTATGATGAAAACAGATCCTGCACTACACTGTAATTGCCATCATGGAATTCAACATTTTACTGTCATTTTACAAATGAACAATGGAACATTTTTCAGTTATTGAGGAAACACATTTGACATGGTCCTGAAGTCAAAGTAAAGCTTGCCCTAAGCTGTCAAAAAAAAAAAAAAACACAACTGATAACACTTTTGGTATAGTAGAAAAACACATAATAAAAGTACATTTTGAAACTGATTACAAGTACATATGCTTGAGAATATTAAAGCTTTGCCCTGGCCACAGGGGAAAAAAGTGAAGGCAATATAAAAGCTCCTTTTTAGGGTAAAAATATCATTATGAAGATATAAAATGTCAAAAAATAACAAAAAACAAACAAAACAAAAATTGTGTTCCTAAATCAAACTGCTTTACCATAAACTTCTACCTTGGTACTTCAACAAATGAAGTATATCAAAGCTGCTGTTCATTTTGAGCAGGTGAAAAATGTCACTTCAATTTTGTTTATTTATTTATTTTTTTCAAATGAAAATAGACATGTGTTTCCATAGCAAAACTTTCTAAGTATCCCATATCATATTCAGTATTAATAAAAAAAAATCATTTGAATACTTTGCTTCTGTTTAACAAAACCCTTTAAGTACCCTAAACCAAGCTTCAGTAAAAAGTAACAAATGAAATGTCATGGCAAAAGCTTATCTATTGAATAGATAAAACAGAGAATGATGAGGAAAAACCAATTCTTAGTGTATACTGTATACAAAAGCAGATGTACCTACTGATTTCTATCAATCACTTCTATTACAAACATAAAAATAAACTAAAAAAGATAAAATGCTCACATAACAATTTATGTTTAATTGAGAGCTTGTAACACCCCCCCCCCCCCAAAAAAAAGAGATATTACATGACCTGCTGACAAGTAACAGGTAAGTAGTAACTACATGTTTGCAATATTCAAAACTGCAAAACTGCAATAATAAAATTTGTAATGCAGATACTTCAAAAATATTTTTTTGTTCATATTAATATCAAAAACATTTCCTACAAAGGAATTCACCTATTATGCATAATTTGCATATATCCCTGCCCTTGCCTTTGTTTTTGTGCATCAATTGCAAAAGACATAAGTACTCAACAGAATATTACAGCACTTGTAAATGAGCAAAGAATTGGCCAATGTTTTCCAAAAGTAAAACTTAAAATTTTGCTAGATACCATATTTGATTTGTATTTGCCTAATAATTCTATATATACATGTCCCTGCATTACAAGTAAACTAATGAAGATGTTCTTCAGAATCCATAGATCCATGGATGTAGGTACTATCTTGGGAGAGGCATGATATAAAGGGAAAAAAAATTGTTGGTAGGCTTTCATAGGGAGAAATACTGGTACAAAAATTACAATGACACTAAAAATTGCATAAATTGCAAAAAACAAAAACAAAAACAAACATGATTATAAGCACCAGAAAATGTAGCTAAAATGATTTTAATCATACACAAAATACACATGCACAATTAAAAAATGATGTGTCATAACAAACCATTTGCTTTAGGGATGCATCATCTAAGCACATGCAAGTTTTCCTGTACATAAAACATTCTGTCCTGAACAAAATGTTAAAATATTGATTTTATGAACTTTAAAGAAATCTTTATCTTAGTATGTAATTTATAAATTTTATCTACCTATCCTTAAGTTTCAGTTAAGGGGATCCTAAACACAAATAAAAATATTTTTTATTTTGGACATTAAGAAAATTGTCATATAAATGTGAACATATTAGAGTTTTTCTATTCAACATCTAGGGAGGGTTCCTGTCATATTTCAATAGGAAAAAAAAAATGTTCAAAGACAAAGTAGTATTAGTGAAAAGAAATTACTGTTGTTTACTTAAAATGGGAAACCACCTGAAAATAGTATATTCAATTGCTTTATCTTGTTATATAATTCTAAGAATACTTTAATTTTAACAAATTGTGCATTTATCTTACATCTAAGGGCAGGTCACTCTATAGCATAAAACTACCATGGAATTAGAACTCTTCAGTGTGCAGTGTTTAGAGCCTCCTTTATGGTTTAATTATCAGATATTAATAATTTAAAATCTAGTTAATATCTTTAAATTTTTTTCACATCAAAATAGGACTGAAATCAAGAGAATTGGCTACATGTACTATGATAAGTAAACATATATATAACTATGGCTTTAGGTATTGCACAAACACTGGACAAAGAACATATATACTAACAGTACATTAAATGCATAACAATATTTAAAAAAAAAAAGAACAAAATGTAGTCAAAAATTTCATTTTCATGAAACACATGGACCCCCACCCCCAATTCATTTTGATTTAATTTTCCTATGCATCACTGATTCATACCTTTTCGACATGGAGTCAAAACCTATGTATTAAATCCTTGCACACTAGTACAGATATGATGATCTTGAATTTAAAACTTACTTATTCAGAAACAACCTCAAATAATTTTATCAAGAACAGAGACATTTTGTTACCCTTTCATTTCAATTACCATATAGACTATCAATATGTACATGATGTACACATGCATATTTCAATGGATACATGTATGTACAGGTTATACCAAAACATATGAATCATTAAGTGTTTAAATATTTAGTGAAAATTAATTTCATTAATCAAAACTGGGCAACACAAAATTTTTGCCAAATTCAGAGAAAATTTGTTCATATTTATAGAAGGTTAATTGGTTGTTAATCCATGGGCTTCAACTTCTTTAGATAGCCTTGTTTTTTGACTTTTTAAAAGATACATTTGCTGTATAATTCTGTACTTTACCCTTGGTTTTCATAATCAAGAATCTCACTATGTCACTAAGTAAATTATATTTCTGGTATGATTTTATATAAATATTTAAGTAATTATATTATTTCTTTCAAAATCTACAAATTGGGACCTCTAAATGACCTCAAATGAAATAAAGTAGTAATTAAATGATCTATCAAGGCACACCCACTTTGTAAGTCTCTTTTCTCAATTAAGTATATTAATTCTACTGAAAATATAAATACAGAGCAAAAAATGTGTAAAAGATCTTGTCAATGAAATAAAGTCAAAGTGATGAAAACTCTCAGCTGCCACAATATTTTCACAGTAAAAAATCTTAAAATGTTAAATGATACATGCATATTGCTTAAACCGGGTTTGGTAAATTTATATCATGTAATGCTTGTCATATCAAAAATGTGTACATTTGCTTGCTTTGGTAGTCTATTTATGGTTTGGTTAAAATAGGCCAAATGATATGTAAAGGTACATGTGTTCTCTTGCTTTTAGCTGAATTCTGATGCCTGTTTTCAGAGAAAGAGTTATCATAGTTTTGAAACTATTCGTCATATGGAAATAAATTATAAAGTTCAGTACATATACTGTTCTTTATAATAATAACATATTCAATCTAACCTACATCCTAATGATAAATATATTTTCTAATGAAAAATAAAAAATTGCAGAATAAACGACCAAATTTGGCCAAAAACACATCATCTAGTTCACATGTTGTTTATGATTAAGTTCAATAAATAATGGCAGATCAAGCTAGCTCTAACTATAGATAAATTGCTTGGATATGAAAATGTCATTTCAGTTCTATGAACCCCTATAAACTTCAAAAATAAATCAAAACACTTAGAAGTTATACTAATATGATGAAACTACTTACCCAGGATGTACTATGATATTTATAAACATGTAAGCTATTTTTCCTAGGAATGCCCTCCCAAAAAATCTTTTTTTATAGAAATATTGCCTAATCAGTAAATAAAACTTTGTTCAGTATCAGTACATGACAATGATAAGTTATAAAATAAAATCTATGTAGAGATCTTTATCACATCAAGATAAACAAAAGGGAAGCTACTCTTGTGAAAATTTGTGCACTGAGATCAAAAACTTGAGTAAGAAATAATGAACTGAACAAAACAGTTGTCCACTCATAATACAACAAATTTAAGTGCAAAATGCTTTCATTATAATTACTTTGATGTTCCATATTTCAGATGATTACTACAATATCTTTAAAAAAAAGTTCAAAGTTGAACATTTGTCTGTAAAATGCTTTTTTTAGCACTGATGACCTCTCATAATGTGAGAATAGAAGCCATATTTGTTGCCACACTGTTTTCCACAGACATTACACACAAATGGGTCAGTGTGGCTATGGCAACCTACATGAATGTAATACAGAACTTCATCTTCAAATGATATGCCGCAATGGTGACAGCGATTGCCTGACTGCAAACTTGACCCTGTTTCATTGGCTGATGACCTTTGATGCTGTGACAGGTGTCCCAGTTCACACTGCACACCTTGGTCTGTTACAGAAACAAATGAGTCAAAGCAAGCCTCTGTCTTGATGTGTGCAAGATTGCACTGAATTCCTCTATTTTGAATTTCAATTTTCACTGTGGTGTTTACACTGTTTGATCGTCCCTCGGCCTGAGATGAACTTGATGATTCTGCTGAATTTGCCCTCACAGAAGTAGATGCCTCATTACTATCTAATCCCATAAGATTCTTCTGATGCTGCAGACGATATGATGGCAGACTTCCTAGACTGTCCGGGAAACCCTGCTGACGACTTGGAATCACTGAACTGGAAACATCTGGGGTGTCTTCACGCTCGGGTGGTTCAACTTTAATTTTAACTTGGTGACCCCTGCCATCTGACAATACAGTAGGTTGTGCTACACTGACATGAGGATGATCCCGACCTGATGGGCTTAGATAGTACCCAGAGGATGTTATAGTGCTGCTGGGTGGTACCCTTTGAGGTGGGTGAGTATTCATAATTGATGAAACTATTGAGCGTAAGTAATTAGAGGCCAAGTGATTTTCCTCATTGGCCTGTTGCCTTATAGGTGTCACATAGCTTCCAAACTGTGTCTGAAGTCCCTGTGTTTGAGCAGTATACTGTTGGTGTTGAAAGTTTACTGTAGGAACCTGATGGTGGATTCCAGTCAGCAGAGAATGGAGGGCATTTGATGCCGAGAAGTTACCACTTCCTGTTGTATGTCGTAGGTTCTGACCTCCAAGGTCAGGTTGATTGATTCCATAGTGAGTGTCTGGATAATTTGCGGGTGGGTATGTGCTGTGTGTGGGCAGAGAATATGGAAGATTTGGACCAAGATGTTCATTGTGCACCTGCACAAAATGTTCTCGAAATTTTCGAGGCAGTATGGTTGAGAATGAGCATTTCCCACACTTAAGCACATTGACTGGATTGTTTCCAACATGAAGTCTACGGTGGCGACGGAAGTTACTCTTGTCATTGGTGGTATAATCACAGAGGTGGCATTTCAGTGCCTTTACACCTAAAAAAGATCAAAGCCATATTTGTATTCAAATATGATGTGTATTTTCACACTGAACAGCCTAAGACAATTACAAGCTTTAAGTAAAATTCTGGACAATAAATCTTTCTAATCATCCATTCCTGTACCTTAAACCTGTCATTTACTTTTAAATATTTTAATAAACTAATTATCAAAAAAAATTATTTGACACACTAGATCAATCATGTTTCACTTAAATTTTGGTCAATTTAAACACATCAGAAAAAAAGCATATGTATCAAATACATCTAGGAAATACAGGTGTTCAATGTTAAACTAATGGGGTCTGCTTCTTACCTCCATGCTTTGGCATATGCAACTGCAGCTGAGTGTAAGTCGAGGTACAAAAGCTACAAAGTCTACATTTATATAAGTTGGTCATCACCGGCTCCACAGGGGATGACTCTGGTGAGGAATCAGGTAGCATGTACGTTGCATCCTTCCCATAATCCATCATGTCAGATGGCATGGTATCGATTTGAGAATTCCCCGGTCCAACAGCAAGACCATCAGAGTTTTGCTGCATGTCAGACACAGGTGGCGATTGACTATGATTGGACGATCCAAAACTTCTAACATCTCTGCTCACCAGTGAGTTTTGATGTGGGGAGTACCGGTGTTTACTGCCTTGATCTGGAACAGACAGGTTTAGGGCACTTGAGGGTGTCTCTCGGTCAATTACTGCCATGTCTCGCTGAGCCATGGAGCTGGCAAGAAGAAGTCTAGCCATTGCACTGTCACTGCTGGGTTCTTCCAGCCTCGATCCCAGAATGAGGCCAGGAGTATCCTGACTTTGTTGACTTTCTTGAGGGACATCTTCAGTTGCTCTGTCTTCATTCTGACTGCCTTCAGTTTTCACATCATCATGACTATCAATTTTTCCACTGTCTGGATCTTCTGCCATTACCTACTGCAGTCAAAGAGATACAATAAAATGAAGTTTAACCACACTGCATATATAGAGTAAGTGAAATTAATCCTCAGAGAAATAAATAACAGAGATTCACTGTTTGAAATTTCATAATATCCCATGCTCCCAATCATTTACTTTTTTCCAAATCTTGCAGTAATTTAATCACATCAATCTTTAAAATTATCAAGGATAACAGGGTATAACTTTTTTATTCCCCTCAACAAATTATTTAGAATGTTATATTTTTGTAACTTTCTTTATTCAATACAATAACTAAGGAGAAATCTGAAAAAGCAACAGGTGACCCATAGTCTGCCATATCACCAAGATTTCACCAACTTTTGATCATTGACCTATTTTATTTGCCTAGTTTACTTTTGTTAATCAATGTACAGTTTTAAAACTTGGTTTTGGGACTGTCATATCTAGGGATATGCAATAATATTGATATTCGGGTATATTGCGATTCGTTAACAAAAAATATCGAATTGCGGTACGTTTTTCCAGTACTGGTATATCGGTAAAATGCTTGGGCTTGGGATTTCTAAAGTAAAATGTGAAATTTAAGATGCCAGAAATGCTTTCAATCGTCAAACAAGAAGGTTGCTGTTGTATGGTTGTATTTCGTTGCAAAACTGAGGTGAAATCGACAAGAACTTTTTTTTTGCTACAACATATTTATAATACACATGTAGTTTTATTCATCCTGATTATGGAATGGAAGTTAATAAAATAAGAAAAGAGCATTTTAACTGTTAGTAAAAATATTGCAATGCATATCGCAATACAGTTTAAAACATCGCAATATATCACAATACGAAATTCCCAGTCGATACCCAGCCCTAGTCATGTCTGTTAATGGCAATATTGATGCTGAGAAGCATCGGGAAATCCTCCATGAGAACTTATAGTCAATTATAGTCTGCAATTTCCCTACCAAAAATTACATATTTCAGCACAACAATGCTCCGGTGCATCCGGCTAGAAGCTTCACAGAAGTAATATTATTATCATCAGTTGACCAGCACTGAGCCTCGATCTTAATATTACATGTATTGAAATCCTGTGGCTGTTAAATTAAAAGGAAGCTTCAGGCACAAGTTGGGTGGATCTGGAATAGGGATGATGAGATTCAGGACATCTGGACTGGGATCACAACAGACTATGTCAGAAGTCTTTACTGATTGATTCCTCACAGATAACATACTAATTAGACTGAAAGGACATTTGACAAAGAGTTAGGTAAGTTCAAATTGTTTTATTAATTTTGAAAACATAATATATACATTTTTATACTGACGTACTTTCATTGCAAATGTAAAAACGCCACCAATTTTTACAAATATTTATTGCATCATACTCTATTATTATACAATTATGGACTCTTTCGGTGGCGAATATGGTTTGTTATTCACCAGAAAAATATCAATATTGACCGAGGCTTCGCCTCGGTCAATACTGATATTTTTCTGCTGAATAACAAACCATATTCACCACCGAAAGAGTCCATAATTGTTTTATTATATAGTCAGGATTTGAATGAATAAGACATTGAAGGCTCTATGATTGCATTTTCATTAGCGAACTTCTGTCGTAGAAAAATAAAAAAAAAAATGTCCAAAATACAACTTTTAACTTCCGTGTTTTCCTTTCGCTGTGTGTTAGACATCGAAATGTTTGGAAAATAATCCTGCAATAGACTTGCCCAACAATTTTCCTGCTCAGACATACCACTGGCTCCGGCCATTGCAACCATTGTTTTTGTGTTAGGTAATGATTGTGATGTCACAATGCCGCTGCACGCACACTGACCCTCTGGTGAATATGGCTTCAAATCCAGTGAATATGTAATACTATGAACTGCTTGCGCTTGTATAGTTTATATAGGGACTATTTATAAACTATATAATAAAATAATATATTTTATGTATCAAGATATGTATCGTATTGTGAACTAAATATCCTAATACATATCATGAAGTTGGTGCATCCTTGCATCCCTATGAAATTCTGTTCCTATAATCATGATAATTTCAGCCCTGCCATTAAATATAAACATTTTTGATACATTGTGAAACACTGTTGGTGGATCATGAAGATTTTTCATACTTGTAAACCCTGTTAATCACTGTTTATTATAGACCAATAATTCTAAATTCTTGTTTTTTGCTGCAAAGATTTCAGGAACTCCGTGGTAAGTATATATATATATATATATATATATATATATATATATATATATATATTATATATTATATATATATATATATATATATATATATATATATATATATATATATATATATATATATATATATAAAATATATATATATATATATATATTTATCCCATGTTTACCCCTTTATCCCTTGGATATGACTCATTGGATATTTTTTCATATCCCACAGTTAAGTGCAGTTGTGACATCACAATGGTTTTTGCATTAGTGTGATAAAGTAAAATAAAGTGGAATCCTATATAAAACAGTGTAAAACATTGTTTGTGAAGTATTAAACATGGGATAAAAAGAATCTCCCATGATCTGTAGTTGGATATGATTTTTATCCAACTCGTTGTGTGTTTTTATCCTCTCGCCAAGGCTCAGGGATTAAAAACACACAACTCGTTGGATAAAAATCATATCCAACTACAAATCATTGGAGATCCTATATAGGGTAGAGTGGGGTAATTTCGACCACTTTTGCTGATTTGTGGCTTTCAATCCACAAAACAAGACTGTTTTCAAATGTACTAGTTTAAAAAAAGATTCAAAGTAATTGAGATTGATTTTTTCTTCATATTTTTCTGCTTTAGGAGTTAAAAATGCATAAAAAATAATGAATTGGTTAAAAAATAAGTAAGCATGTTGCATGGGTTAATTTCGACCGGCCTCGGGGTAATTTCGACCACAACAAACATCAAAAAGAAAGATAACTCTTGCAATGCAAGTAAACTGTACCTGTCGCATTTTATTCAAAAGTTGTGGTCCAAGAAACTATATTGCCTTATTTAGAAAATACGTGCATCTATCTCTATCAATAAAAAGATTAAAATGGATATAAGTACTAGTATCCATACAGTAAAGAAATGGGTTCGGTTACTTAAGCTTTTCAATGCTGTCTTATGGATATCTAAATTCATATTCTTTATTCTAAATTCTGCTTTTAATTTGTGAACTCTATATTTTAAAATTGTGATATATATAGTTATGCAAATAGATAAAATCTTTTCAGATTCCACAAATAATTTCTTTGATATGATTTTTAATATGTCCAACCCAAAAGAGATTTTATCTAATATCTTCTTTACACAACAGAATCATTCAGGTTGTATATATATGTATAAGGTTTGAGCATAGCATTAGAATTGCGTATAATTTTCTTCACTAATTTTTACCATTTACACATTAATTTGGAATGCGTTGTATTACGTATTTTACGTGTTTTTTAATTCTTAAAAGAGATAGGTCCTGAAAAATTCGATCAAGTCAATTAAATAAAGATTTACAGAAGCAAAGTCCTCTGATATCCCCCCCCCTCCCGAAAAAAAAAAACAAACTCAAACAAATCATTAATAACGTGAAACATCATAATGTTGTTTTGTTTTTTTGTTTCAAGATTGTTGTGGTTCTTTTGGTGTGTTGTTCTGATATTTTGGGTACTATTTGGATTTGTGTACCTGGACTGTGTGATACGATCTTAATACAACCGGATCGTTGGTTTTCGATAGCCTCAGTCTTATCCGTCAAAGTTTAGGCATTCGTAATAAGAAAAATTACAAAAACCTGATTTTTTTTAACATACATTTAATTTTGCCTGCATTCTCTCTTTTGTTAATTTGACGGGTTTGGAAACTTGGATTGCTCACGTCATGTGTTATTTCATAGCCAGTGCCGACTCCGTGTTCTCTCGCACGTCGATCAGTGATGCACCCTTGTGAACAGCCCAGAAAATATAATTATATAGCTAGGCATGTATATGTTAATTAATCTGACATATTTATTTTAATAAAAGGTTATATGTAGATAATATTGTACAAATACAGTATAATCATTTTTTTGGAAGATCTAACTCTGCATTGCATTAAACAGCTGTTAAAGACAACTTACACATACTTCAGAAAAAGTGGTCGAATTTACCCCACGTGTTTAAAATCAGTAGGGGTAATTTCGACCAAAATCAAATGGACGTTTCTTGTGCATTTTGAGAGAAATCCAAGATAAATTGGTAAAATTCTGCAACTTAAAGATATTCCAAGAAAAAATAAAACAATTTTAATTTAATTCGTGCTGTACACTGTTGAACAAGGTTAAACTTAAAAAGAGGTTGTACGAGTTGTCTCTCTTGCATTTCCTTGATAAAATCAAGCGCACTGCAGACAGTAGCACTGGTTCTCTGCCCTTGATTCCAGTCGCTGCCGCTAGGAATTACAAGGACAGGTAACCACCGCAGCCATGACAGTGGAAAAACTCACTGCTTTGTCGCGCATAACAATTGCGCATTCTAAAAATAAATAGTATCCATGCTTGCGGCAAGAATGTTAGGTGGATCCAGTGATCTAAATAACAGAGATAACAAAACGTAGAATATCTAAATTGAAGAATAAAACAATGAAAAACGTGGGAAATATATTTAAATAACATAACAGTGACTGTATTGACTGAGCATATAGTTTACAAATGTCACAATGAACCCGAGAATGTTCCAATAGTGGTTAACATTGCGATCCTGACGCATAACACATAATGTACAGTGATTTATGGAGTATGGAGTGGCGAGTTAAACGCTATCATTCCGTGTAAACTTGAAAACATAAATAAAGGTAAAGAACATCTTGTGTCGTAGTGGAATCAATGATTTACCATACCAATGGGTGCATGGCAAATATGCAAGTTAATAATCATAGATTTGAGTTATTTAAATAAGGCCTATGATATCGCTTGCCAATGATTTTTAAGGCAGCACTTCGTAACGGTTTTAGATGGTTAAAATCCGTCTACTTTCTTTGTTAACAGCAGTGCAGAAAGAAGGTTTGTTTATAACAGCACTTTGGATTTACGCTAGTTTAAATATAGAATTTTTTCATCATTGTTGTTTCCTGTGACGCGATAAAATGGCAGTGGTTACCTGTCGTTGGTTTTTTAGGGCGCTTGCGCCCGTTAACCAATGTCAGGGTACCAGTCTATGCAGACAGGGACTTCGGACGTCAAACTGGAGACATAAATAATAGTAAAAATATTTTTTATATCACTGATCAAGCCATATTTGCGATGAATAATTACACTAGGACACACAATTTGAAGAATAGTTTTCTATAATTCCGAATAAATTAAACTTGTCTCAACACTTCCGTAGATCTTTGTGTAGTGTTGTTTTCCTGTGGTCGAAATTAAACGGTGGTCGAAATTACCCCGACTTACCCTATATATCTTGTAAAATTCAATAAATATACAAGAATAGCGTTATCATTTATGCTTATTCTTTCGTAACTGTAAAATTGCAATGATCTATTTAAAGTATGACATTTGGCGCCATAAAATTACCATACAGGTATTGAACGTCAGTTTTGTGTCTAAATGTAAAAAATACACAAACTGTAAACACCTTTGGAATCGTATGCATCGCCACTTTAAAACTTTAAAAGAAAATGAATATGACTATAACAAGATGCATTCCATTTCACATATCGCCCGAGATTCCTCGGTTCCTACTCAGAGATTGAACCTTTTTTCACTTCTCTAGATAGTTAAATTAAACAAAATCTATAGAAAAATTGTGCAATATCATTTCAAGTTGAAAATAAAGCTACCTTGCTTTAAATCTGGAGTCATTTGTTGTAATATTACGTGATAGAAGACATCAAACAATCTTCCTCGATATCTAAAAACGCCATTTTAATTTCTAATCTCCAATCACAGAAGAGTTTTTAAAGGGGCGCCAACGGGGAAATATATTAAATTTAGAACCCATATAGTAAACAGTAAAAGGATCGAGTGTCGTTCAGGCAGCGACATTTGTCAAATTAATATTTTTTATCTCATTGTCAAATTGAAATTTATTTCAAATTATTTCAAATTTGATGAGCAGATATAACATAATGTTACTCTACTTAGATATTTAACAAGAGGCCCAAATGTTTACCGAGTCACTTAAAAAAAATCATTCCCTTGAACATTTTAACCCCATATTGTGACCTGACCCAAGCCCCAAGGGTTAATGTTTTTAGAAGGGGGGGGGGAGAAAATTGAGAAGCTACATCTAAAGCTATATCTGTACATCCATGGGTGACTTGAAAAACTTTGACAGGAAAAAAATTATGAACTGACTTAACCACAGAAAAAAAACAAACAAACAAACAAACAAAAAAAATGAGGGGGGGGGGGGATATGTATCAACTCTCTTTTCGACAAAAAAGGATTATTATACATGTATCAATCTAACGTGAGGAAGGTTAATTTATTTGACAATACCAAATGTACAACAAAAAGGGGATATGAGCTAGGACAACCAGACTTTCCATTGAACTTTAACTAACAGCAAAAAACCTATTTCCATAACAAGAGCCCAACGGCCTAAACGATCACCTGAGTATAATCCAAAGAAGTATGAAATACAACAAACTGATAGATGAAGCTATATTCCCAAAAGCAAGAGAAATACAATGATTATGGATCAACAAATTAACTAGTATAGTACTCCTTGATAAATCTCAAACTAGATCTATTTACTCATCTGTACCTGCTTCTATTTGTCACTATTATTTTGTAAACTTAAGAAAACAGAAGTGCTTGAGCACAATTGGTAAACCCATCTCATTCCATCTCATATTGGCCTCTCTTGGTCTATGAAGAACATTTAATGTATAAAGATAAGGTATTCCTGTTTCATTTTAATTTATCTATAATTAATTAGTCTACCTGACCATTAATAACTATGAAAGTACTATTTGTATTATATAATATACCCCTTTATTAAATTTGACCTTTCAGTTATATCATTTACAGTGATTAATTATCATAGGTGAATACTTAAGGGGAATAACTTCTCTCAGTATACAAAGTAATAGAGCCATAGCTTCCCAGCATCAGAACACTTTGCCAAGTGGTTCACTTGACCCGGCACTGACTCTGGGGCTACAAATTTCAAAATTTTGGAGGATGCACCCTTTCTCACCATAATTTTGCATTTAGTTTGTCTGCTAAATATCCCGGAATAGAAGATCAACAAAATTTTTAAAGAATTAATGCATTTTCACTTTATAATCAAGAATTAATGCATTTTCACTATATAATCAATAGAGGCCCCAACACCAGAAAACCTGTCACAGGGGTCATCACGAAATTCACAATTTTGAAAGAGGCACCCTTGCTCATCATAACCATGTACTTAGTTTATCTGCTAAAAATCCAGGAGAACAAGATATTCAGAGAATTCACATATTTTTACTATATAAATAAATAGACCCCGCCCAAACACTAGAACCCCTGACTGAAGGGTCATGAAATTCATTTGGAAGGGGTGCCCTTGCTTACCATAACCATGCACATATTTTAACTGCTTAATACCCAGGAGCAGATGAGAGATTTTCAATGAATTTAGGCAATTTCGCTATATAATCAATAGCCCCCCCCCTCCCAACACAAGAATCCCGTATCCAGGAGCCATTTTTAAAAAAAAATTGAAATAGGCTTTAATGCTTTAACTCTTTGAAAATCTTCTCTGCTCCTGGGTATTATTTTTTAAAAAAATATGTGCAAGGGTATGATAAGCAAGGATGCCTCTTCTAAAATTGTGAAATTAATGGCCCACAGGGTTGAGGGTTCTGGTGAAAAGGGGGGGGGGTCTCTATTAATTATATAGTGAAAATTCTTTGAAAATATTCTTTTCTGCTCCCGGGTAAAAAGCAAAGAAACAATAAGTGTATAGTTATGATGAGCATGAGTGCTTTATCCAGAATTATGAGTGTCATGGCCCTGGATCAGGGATTCCGGTGTTAGGACGGAGCTCCAATGATTGTATAGTGAAAATCCATTAATTCTTTGAAGATCTTCTCCTCTGCTCTTGGGTATTAAGCCGATAAATTAAAAGTACATAATTTTGATGAGGAAGGGTGTCTCTTCCAAAATAGTGAATTTCATGACTCCTGGGTCAGGGGTTCTGGTGTTGGGGGGGGGGGGGAGGGGCTCTATTGTTTATATAGTGAAAATGCTTTAATTCTTTGAAAATCTTCATTTGTGCTGCTGGTTATTATTTAAACAAGTTCAAGTGCATGGTTATGATAAGCAAGGATGCCTCTTTCAGAATTATAAAGTTCATGGCCTCAGGGTTGTGAGTTCTGGTGGAAGAGGCGGCTCTATTGATTATATAGTGAACAAACATAATTTCTTTGAAAATATTCTTTTCTGCTCCTGATTAAATAACAAAGAAACAATAAGTTGATGATCATAATATTATGAAATAGTTATGAAGAGCAAGATTTCCTCTTCCAGAATTGTGAGTTTTATGGCCCTGGGACAGATGATCTGGTGTAAGGGTGGGGCTCTATTGATAATATAGTGAAATGAATTAATTCTGTTAAATAGTCCTGTCTGCTCCTGGGTATTAAGCCGATAAATAAAGTTCATAATTATGATGAACAAGAGTGCTTCTTACAAATTTTTTTAAACTTGTGGTCTCAGAGTCAGGGGGATTTGGTGGTGGGATGGTGGTGGGGGTCTATTGATGATATAGTAAAAATGTGTTAATTCTTTGAAAATCTTCAACTAAGTGCATAGTTACGATGATGAGAGTACCTCTTCCAAATTAGTGAAATTCATGACCCTGGGTCATGGTATTTGGTGTTAGGGTAGGGTAGGGCTGTGTTGAATCTGTAGTGAAAATTAATGCATTTAATTTATTTCTTTGAAAATGTTCTCTGCTCCTTGGCATATCGAAGGCAAACAGAGTAAAAGTTTTCATAAGCAAGGATATTTTTATCAGATTTACCAGATACCTGGACCATTTGGTCAAGTGTTGGGGTTCTGACCAGGGCTCTATTAATTTGTATTCTACTGAGAGAAGTTATCCCCCCCTTGCCATTTACTTTTGATAATTAATCACTGTAAATAATTTATCTAAAAAGTTAATATAATAAAGGAATTATGCAAGATATTTTATTGTATAATACAAAAAGTATTTTTATATTTTTAATGATCAGATAGACTTGTAAATAATAGATAAATAAATATGAGACAAAAATAACGTACATGTATCTTATTAAATGTTCTTCAAAGACAAGAGAGACTAATGAAAGGTTTTAATGTGGAATCAAAAACAGTACAGAAGCACTGTGGCAACGCACTTTGAAAAATTACACACTTTGAAAATATTTTTTCAAAGTGCGTTAAAATTGGATCAAAATCACCGGACTTTGAAAAAAAAATTTCAAAGTGCGTTAAATTTTGGACAAAATCAACGCACTTTGAAAATTTTTTTCAAAGTGCGTTAAGAGTGTACACCAACTTTTTTTTTACCATGGAGACACAACGCACTTTGAAAAAATGCGTATAAAACAAAATTTCTGGACTTAGATTTTAATAATAGACAGCATTAATTTGTTATATTTCTTCCGGAAAACTGATGAATTGATCTACTCTCATCGAGAACGAGGAGAAGACAGGTAGAAAGTCCCTCAGCCCAACTCTCTATCTTTCCTACACAAATATATGTATTTACATAACTGTTTTGACATTGATATTATTTCTCTCAATAAATTTGAGTTAACGTAAAATAGATGAAAAAATTGAGATAAGCTTTCCTGAAAAAAAAAACGCACCCTATTATATTAACGAAGAGAGCCGCATAACCTTTATTCAAAATGTATCCACAATGATTCCTCAGAAAAAAAAATGCATTTACATGGTAGTTAAAACATGCTATTTGACATGTCTAGCGTTTTATATGATATCAAATTACAGATTTTAGAAGTAATCTGACTTCATAACTTTTTTGAGAAAAAGTTATTAGGGAACGAGGTAAAAATTTCAGTCGAGTGAGTAATGTGGCTATGGTTTATTTTCTTACTATCAAATAAATGAGTCAACCATTGTTTCATATATGTTCACAATAGATAGATAGATGAATATGATAAAAAAAATAGAGAGAGAGAGAGAGAATTTTCATGGTATGGAAAAATCATAATTGCTCCCTTTTCCCTAAGAAAAATGCGATGCTTTAAGACACCGACATCTACCTAACTTATTAGAGACTGGATAAAATTTAAAAAAGAAAAGAAAGGAAACTGTGCTATCAAACAATCATTCCTCCATTATATCTAAGACCTATTTCCCTTTTATAAGAGTTACGAGAACCTTTGGAAAAAAGACAACTCCTAAAAATTTTTAAAACGTCTATATCTCAGATCCTGACGTCATCACCGAAAAGTTATCCAACCAGATTCAAATAATTATTTATGGTCGATATTAATGCACTTTGAAAAAAAATTTTTTTTTTTCAAAGTGCGTTAACGTGGTCCCAAAATTAACGCACTTTGAAAAATTTTTCAAAGTGAGTAATTTTTCAAAGTGCGTTGTAACAAAGCACTTAGTCTAATAGATTGTTAACATTCTGCATGGTGATAGTGATAGTGATAATGGGGGACAGATTATAACTTAATTTATGAGTTGCTACTGAATTCTACACTAATTATTTCATATTGATCCTGATCATCCTATTTCTCTTGGTATTGGGCAACAAAGCTTCATCTATCAGTTTATCTTATACCCTATGGATCCTCTAAATTGTTATATTATACTCAGGTGACCGTTAAGACCCTGGGGCTTTTTGTTTTAATATACAGGGGGAGAGAAGCTTTTTTAAGAATTTATGCAATTTCACTATATGAACAATAGAGCCCCACCC